AACTCCACACCTCAATTATCAAGTAATTTTACTTTATTTGTAATCAGGTCAAACATTTCAGCTCCGCAAAGGCCTTTGTTAAATCTATCTATTGAACTGTTGCAACAGCAAATTCCGAACACGGGTAGGTCGAAATATTCGTATACAGACTGAATGCCTGCAAACAACTGAAACGCAACGCGAACATGAACTGAGCACAGTTCCACGACTGTGCTTACCCGTAATTATCGGTGAAAATCTCCGCCCCCTAGAACACAGAATGGCGATATCATCAGTGCAGCGTGGTGAGCCGAGCTGTGAAAATTGGACATTGCAATCATCACACGTGCCTCGTTTGGTTTGAAGTACACGGAACTATAGGCCCGTACAAGGTGGCCCAAAATGGGGATTGGCACAGGAGCATGGATCCCGTCGCTCGAGGCTTAGGCCCAGTCCCGGTCCCCCCCCCCCCAACATGTGAACCCCCCCCCCCCCCCCCCACACACACACCCATACACACACAGTTCAGAATTTGGTGAAGAAAATGCCTTTTACAATTTGAAACAAATGTTAGTGTATGACCAAACCCACCAGCCCTTTTTGAGAAAGTGGCGGACACAATAAGGGGCGGTAGTGGTTTGTGGTGTAAAAATACTTGCATTTGGCGAAACATTTAACAAAGCACCCTCCTCTGTCTGCCATATCTCGAAAAGGCTTTGAAAGTGGCCCCAATTTTCCAGAAAAAGGACACTCAAGAGCACCCACAAACTGGACCCGTAGCTTCGAATAGGTTCGTTCGTAACTTGACAGATCACTTGCTACCCCATGTGATCTCAGCTGCAGTATACAGATTGGCTACGTGATATAGGACCCATCAGGACTGAAAGCGAGACTGATTGGGCAGGTCTGTATGACCCGGATACACGATGCAACAGTTTGCAGGTACAACCTTGGATCCAATACAATACAGCTTTTAATTCTTTATTTAGTACTGTAACTTGTACTTTTAGTTTAATATTCGTGCACATTCAAACATGATGCAATTGTATGTACAAAATTACACTATACATAAAAACCTCTGCTTACATCAAAACTGGCACTGAACTGAACAGTCCGCCAGAAAGCGTTTTCATCAATATTTACAAGCGCACACATTACTACAACTTATTGGCTTTAGGTTTGTCCTCTTTGGATCACCATCAATGAAAGTGACCCTACAACATGCATACAAGCCTAAAATTAAAATATTTAAAGACATCAATTATAGAAACTGCATCCAATGAATAAAATACCCACAGTATACAACCTCTTATTTGAAATTTGATAATAAAATGAAAGTTGACAATTCAACAGCAATTCATTTAGGTTTAAGTGGGAGAAAACAAACATTTTTAAAACTAACTATTGCGTGATTTATATTAGTTAGTTGTAGCTAGCGCTAAGACAGGTATTGCAATTTTACAAGATACAGCACGCCTGTATTTCGTACGTAACTCTGAAAAAAAAGGAAATCTAAAAAGTTATGCTCTGATTTTACCACAGGGCGAGTCAAATAGAAAGTGACCAAATTGGAAAAAAAATATTTTTAAAAATACCCATGTATGTGGCTCGCTCCATTTTATAAAAATAACATTGGGATAAAGTACATGTTATTGACTAGTAACTGTGAACATTTCACGTAATTTGCATACTCTTTTCCCAAGTTATGTCAAGTAATAATAAAAAGATCACAAAATTCAACTGTCCACCACTGGTCATTTACGTTTTACGAACTGATGAATACCCATTGAATACAATGAAACGTGGACGTTTTCCAACCGCCATAAACGAACGAAAAGTTGCAAAGGAAAACAGACAAAACTCGCCATCAATATTTCAGAAAACAAAGATTTGTTTTGTTCCTCATATTCAAAACACAAAATCTCGAATGCCCGTGTGTAATCTGTAATTCTCACTAAGCTCCATAGCTTCAATGGCATTCCATGGACAGCTATAAAATAGGTTCTTTTGATAAAACATGCATAACTTCTGATAGCATGGATCAATATCAGTCATTCTTTCTTTTTTTCCAAAGAGTGGAAGAACATGCTCTTTGAATTAAGAGATACTTCATTGGTGTATCAAATGTGATTGCTTTATCAGGAAATGATTAATCCAGGTCACTTTCTTTTTGACTAACCCTGTAGTGTGAATAATAACAGCACAATTTCCACTCCTAATATGAATTTTAATACAAGCGACAGTCACTGTACAGCCGTTAGGTGCCAAGAAAATATATGGGGTTTTTTCAGCCCTTTGCAGCAGTATTGGTGTTAAGCGAGCAACAAGAGTTTGTGTCAGCACACTACCTTCTGTTCACATCAAAAACAAACAAAATGCTTAATACCAAATATACAAATGTGATGAACTTTTTTTTAATTTTTTTTTTTACATAAAGGTGATGTTTGATAAAGTTCTTTTGATATGTGCCGATACATATACAGAAGGGTATGTGGACGGAGTTTCAAAACGAAATCTCAGTATTTGTTCTTTTTGTGTGTGAATATACAGGCATATAACTCTATGTATTTACATTGATTTCATATCCATTGCAAACAAAAATAATTTAATAAAAAAATAATAACGATGAATGTACATGGAGCAAGGTGGTATTGTAGAATCATGACTTTCTGGGATTTAGTTGACCTCTGAGGTTGACCTCTGTATTAAATAATGGTGTCTGCTGTAGAAATCTAAGTACACTACAGGGTGACCGCCAAAAAGTTGTGCAAGCAGATATCGTTACATTTCTCAGAAAGTACTTAACATGAGTATTTCATTTTGATGGAGCATATTAATTATATTATTGTGTATTACATGTATCAGTGAAAATGTCATGGAAACCCATTCATGCAAACCAGAGCTGTAACAGATTATAAAAGGATGTGTGATTTCCAATCATTCCAATGGGAATTACATATGCATTAGAATTTTCATTAACTGTGTAAATCACATTGGAACTGGTGAAAAACACATTGCCATTTATAATCTGTTGTATCTCTGGTTTGCATGAATGGAGTTTCATCCAATTTTCGCTGGGATTATACACAGGAGTACAAAACAATGTACTCCATCAACACGAAATGCTGATGTTGGATATTTTTTTGAGAAATTTAAAGGTGTCTGCTTGCACAACTTTTTGGGGGTCACCCTGTATTGTACGTCAAACTGAACCAAAAATAAACCTGAAAAATCTGGCCCTTTAAGTAACAATGCTTTGAATACAAGTCTAGAACTGAATGATTATCGCAATCTTAATTACTTTGGTCCCATTAATTGGGCTGTCGAGCACGACTTGGAGGGACGAGTAGAATGCTCTGAAAATTTGCCAAATTCTAACATTAAATTCCGATAACTGATGGTTGCTCAAATATTAACAACTTAAAACTCTGGTCTGAAAAATTCCTTGTGCAGGTTACTGACAATGTCTATCATGGTATTTCAAGCTGAAAATTGTACACAATTTTAAGAATATGGGGACTCTTTTAATAAGCACACACACACGCAACAAGTAAGACGGGAAGAACAATGACAAAGGAACCTCTTTGTCGCAACTCATTTCAAATATCTCGTCGGTTCAAGGGAATATATAACATTTACTTTTGCTGTAATTGTCCAGAAATAGATGGATTTGGGGGATTAGTATTTTATAGCAAATATTGTTACAACTGACTTGTTTCAAGTTTTGTTTTGTTCCCTGACCCCACTTAAGATGAAACGGAGCAATTTATAGACATCGAGAATGGTAAGGTCAGGGAACCAGTCTAGCTGACTTGTACCCATTCATAGGTGTGTAAATCAATTGCAAACAAAATGCAAACTAACTAAATATGGTAAATTGGGGGCAGTATTTGAATAAAAGCCACTTTTTTCCAACACTGGTCGGTGACTAACATTGGTACAAAAATACCTCTATTCTTGAAAATGACAGCACACCAGATGCCGTGATTTTACAGGATGCTTAAGATTGTAATTCACTAACGGTCCAGTAAGGTATTTCATAATAATTTGATAGCTTTGTTTTTTTATGCTTGCAAATGTTGTATATTCCCTTTAACTTGAGACTGCATAACTTGTGCTACGGCACTGTTCTTGTAAATATGTATCAACTTGAATAACTCCACAAGCTAAATGCACCAGTCCTTTCTTGTATTCCGGTTAAGCTTTTCATCTACTGCTTCAAATTAAGCTTTAAGAAATCCAACTGAAAAGGATTTCCGACAAAATGTGCATTCTTTTTCCTAGGCACTGTGGTGTGTTCATAAAACAAAGTATTTGACTTGTGCCAGAGCCAGACTTCTAACCAGATAAACTCTGCAAAAAAACAAAAACAAACTTGAGTGCCGTGCACTGTTTGCATAACGTTGCGCTCAGAATGTTTCCATCATGAAAAATATAAAAAAATAAAAATGTGTATAAATCCATTTTTCCATGTGCACGTTTTTTTTCTGGCCGTTTTATGTTATTTGCATAGGTAGGCCTACCGTTTAGAATGGGCTTTACTATGTAACGGACTGAAACCAGACAACAAGCGCAAGTGCACACTAAGATCTGGTCGTCTTGCGTGAAAGTCTTGCATGAATCTATCCAAATGCGACGCCCAAAAATGCGATGCCGATGCCACATATGGAACGCCATACCTAGATTTATTGCGATTTGTAAAAATACCACATGACTATAACATTACTGCACATATTTTGCCTCCATTTACAAACTTAACATCTTTCTGAATTTACACAAGACCCCTTGTGGTTTGCCATCTCCCTTTGTTTCTTTGCTCTCTCATCCACCCTCCCCTGCATCTTTCCACACCTAATCCTCCTTTTGTGTTTCTTCTTCCAGCCCTGCATGTTTGTGTGCACCCCCATGTTAATGTATGTACCTCTGTCATTTCTGTTTTAGCCTCTGAAGAAGAACTTGCTAAGTTCGCAACGTCAGGCCACATTAATTTTAAGATCTTTCTGAATTGTTACAAACAATTTTCATTAAGTATTTAATTTATTTTGTTGGCTTTTTAAGTTTTGAAAATTAAAATTTGGCAGATATTTTGTGGAAAACTTATCGGGCTTATTTTGGTCAATTTTCGAAATAGACAAACCTGCCAGAGCTTAAAAACGTGAACATGGAAAGGCTGTTCAAGGCGGTACTTTTAGTACAAACTAACAAAGGCCCTATGATTGGATGAAGCAAGCAAACCAAATTTCAGATAAAGCTTATCTTGTATTAACACACGTGTTGCTTATCAGTCTAATAGAAACACAAAGGCAATCACTCTTTTCAGCTTAACAAATTCTCAACTGGCTTCGAAGGAAAACATTGTATCATTACAAATTTGATTCTGTTTTGTTTGTAGAGGTAGTCAATAAAGTAAGTTGATTGTAAAGGTGAATGAAACAACAACGTAACTAAGTTGAATACTTAAAGGAACACAATAGCTTCTCATCACATCAACACTTTCAAATATTTCAAGAAAATTTTTAAAATTTATAATATATTGCAATATATAAATATATTTTGCTTTTGTTTGCCTGTTTATCTACATATGTACGTTTGGTAACACTGGTGTCATACACCGAGAATCTCCATCAAGGTGTTGCGTTGCCTAGGGGGCAGGCTACCAGCGTGCTGGACCAGCGCCTCACCCATGACGCTGTGTAACTCCTTAGCCAGTTTGACGACAGATGCCCGTAGGTTACCAGTTCCGCTTGGTACCTTGCCACTGCCCGTCAGGCTGCCCAGAAGATGCCAGAGGACTGGGAGAACGTTGCGGACCACCGTCTGCTGCTTGCGGGGGTACACCTGGGTTGAAAGATCTGTGGAGAAGGGAGGGGGAAATTGTTGGAAATATTGATTATACCAAACAATAAGCAGCTTCTCATAAGAGGGTAATTTTGCAGTAACCAAATAGGATTTCACAGTCTCCTGACAAAGGGCTGAGCACACTGTCTGAAAACAATTTCACAGGTTCCACTTTTGAAAACTTTTTGGAATTAAATTTGAAACTTACATGCCAGCTTTTCGACCATCTTGGGCTTGACTCTGGCATTGCCGTACTGTGTGGCGGAGGAGAACGGCTGAATCAAGACTATCTTGTCTGCAACAAAAACAGAAGACAAGAGTAGAGATCATGAAGGGGAAACTTTAAAAAGAAATTAAAAAAAAGTATATATATTGCAGGTCTATTTTCGTAGGAAAAATCCTACTGCATTGGCTCTTTTGTCAAACATTTTTTTGGGTGTACATTGTAATCAAGAAATTGAAACTTAAAAAAGCAATTCTTTTTATTTTATGCTGAAGCATGAGTCACATCTTATATCCACATGGTCATGTACAGGTTTTCTATAACTAAAATAAGAAAGACTTTCATACTTTGTTTTTAAATGCTACAATCTTCCAAATGTATTTTAACCTTAACTGGTTAACCTGTAAGAAATTAAACTTAATATTTTATAAAATATCAAAATTAATCACTCACAATTATTTTAATGGAGGGAGGAACATAAAAAATGAAAGAACTCGTCTTTTATTTATCACAAACTACATCTATAGAATAAAAAAAAAAAAGCATTTCAATGCACGAGACCAAAAATTAAACATACATTTGACAACAAAAAGATTGCTTTCTGATAGTACATACCAACGTGCTCTATAATGCTGTCCAGTATATCCTCACTCGTTTTGCATATAACCGCATTCTTAGAAGCTAGGTTACCAGACACAACAGGCACCACTCCCGTGACTACAGCGCCGAGGTATTCGCCGAGTCTGGGTACCATACTCAGCATGGTTTGAAGTGCTGCCTGGTTCACTTTGCTGTTGGAGTCGGTCAGTCGGGAGGTGTAGTTGTCAAAGATCTGCAAGGAAAAATAGAGATGGAAGGATTAAATGAAACACACACAAAAATGCATCACTTCATTCTCACACTCAGAGAAGTAGAGAAAATCAGTTAACCCAACAGAGCGTGTAAGTCTTACCAGTCCACTTTTGCTGTGAACGCCTTGGTACCAAACACTGACTAGTCTAGTCACAGACTCCTCAATCTCGTCCCCAATGCTTACTTTATTTGCAACCTCGTTTCCAATAGTAAGCCCTGGATAGGAAACTTTCTTCCTGTATCCTGATTCAATACCGCAATTGGCTAGTAATGGATTTTTATCGTGTACTTGGTGTTATTATTCAAAACGTGCAGTACGTATTTTCGTGATCATTCGTCCACACCTTCTTGAAAAAAACTAATTTCCTTTTCAATTTGTTCATATTAATATGAAATATGATACTGCATGTTGTCTCAATAAGATCGTAACAGTTTAATTTAAAAAAATCGTGTTTTCGTAACTCACGCCGTGCTTGCACTGCGACGATACGACTCTGTTTTTACCCCAGACACCGCATACAAAACCAAATGCTAATGTAATGCATATCCAGGCACCAGACTATTCGTCATTTGCACATGCAAATGATCCAATACCAGGGTGAGAGAGCAGGAAGTGATGGGCGCATACTGTTTGACACCCTGGGGACGAGGTTGCAGACTCCTGTGTTTGAATCTAACCACTTGTCATCCTTGTGATAAACCGAACGGAACTTGGGGTCAATAATTTTTTTTTTTTACAACAGTCATCAATTCGCAATATTTTAAATAAGATGAAAATTTGGAATGTTTTTGTTTTCTTTTTGAAATTCAGTTATTGCCCTTGATTGGATGGGCCTGGTCAAGACACAAAATTAATGCAAAAAAAAGAAGATGTTACACATGTTGTAGATCCTATACATGGTGCCTGGATTTGCTGTATTGTCGTAAAATCTCGCAGGTTTTTGAGGTCAGCTTGCACGCTCTATTGGGAGCTGGGGTTATTTGACCATCTTAATAGGGACACCCCTGCTTAGAAAAAATGCAAAGTTGTAGCTCAATTGGATAAAGCATTTCCTAATTATGATCTTTAATATTTCACACTTCCATCCTTAAATGTGTGAGTTTTTCAACACATGGTAGATTTTTGGTACTTGAAACAAAAATATTATAATCTTGTGGACACGCTTCCTCCAACATAATGAAAGTGGTGTCAAAATATTTGCAAGACATCAGTCTATAAACTCATAAAAGCTCTGTTAAAAAAACCAATAAATTTGAAATACAAAATTTTCAGCTGTAATTTAGTAGTTTCATATTACTTTGATTGATTCATAATACATTTGTAATATTTGGCGGCTGTATAGAAATACTTGATAGGGGACAAACCTTGACAATATTGGCAGTGATGAGTTCCGCGTTGGTCTCGGCTATCTCTTGCACTTGGGTGATTCCCTGAAGTCTCTCGGTCCAATCAGCAGCCGACAGCAATTTGCATAGGTCCTTGACCGTCTCCTGATTGGCCTCTGAGCTGCGGGATGAGATTCGATTGGTCCGTCGCATGGAGCTGGACAGGGCATGATCACTGAGGGGGGCAGACAAATAGGACCAATGAAAAAATGCCAATGTTTTTAAGAAGACTAAAACAACGTAATATATGTATTATACACTGTTGTAGTAGAGTCTTTTGCTGGGTTCAACAAATACGCCAAAATACAAGGTATGGGGTTAATGGTACAATAAACTCTCGTTAAGTCAAATATCAAGGGAATGGATAAAAAAATTTGAGGTATCCAGAGTTAAGCAAAGGTTCCCGATTTTTCTACAGTCACATCTACATGAACACTTATGATGTATGTACCTGTACATGAATGGCTTCCACAGTAACTCACCTATGAAATGGAAACATTGTTTGGTACACTTTCCTTCTTTGTTTTCATTCTAATGATGTAATTTTTTGGTCGCAAATCATTTTATTCAGATTTCTTATTGTTTTCACCTAAAAGTATCAAGATAAACATAATATTCAAATTGTGTAACTGCATGTAGCAATTTTTTGTTTCATGTCAGTTGTTTATTGGTTATCAATGCACCACGCTCAGAGTTTTCCAATGTGCAGTCACATGGCCGGTCTTATTTAATCGCTAGAGGGCACACCAGCTGCAACTGAGCCAGTGGCATCAATCAGGCTATAATTCAAGCGCATCCTCATAGGGTTCCAATGCTGTCACATGGCCACTGCAAAGAGCCAGCAATTGGACTGACAGACTACAATTGGGCTAGCGGTAGTGATCGGGCTAACTCAAAAACCAGGATGTGTTGCAATTATAGGCTGGAGTCCGATCACAATGGCATCGTGTGCGCTGCATCCCCACGTGAAAAGACGAAGTGTGTTGGGCAGTAATGACTCATGAAAAAAGTTTCACCATCTTTTTATGCTTCTTTGTGACTGTTTTGGCAGCGTTTTCTATGGACTGGCCAAACAAAAGTTCAAGATAAACGGAGGTACCGGTGCAGGCATTTTGAGTTACGGGGGTATTCATGTTACGGGGGTATCCCATTCTCTTGACGGGAATGGAGTATTACTTGAGATACAGAGTTTTGAGTTATCAGAATTTGACTTAATGAGAGTTTACTGTACTTGGGAGAATGGCGGAAACCCTGACGCAGGAAAGCCTTTGAAAGGCTGAGCTTGGCCAAGGCCTCTAGGCCACCTAATCCTCCCTTTGTGTGTCTAAATCATCCAATAAAAGGTAGCCTGGCAATCATAAAAGCCGGGTGTCTGGCCGTCCTGGCCAAGCCCCAGCCCATCCAAGCGTAGCTCATTATCTCAGGACCTTTGCTGGAGGTGTATTGTTCACTAAATGGGATTTAACAGATGGGAATTTCTTTGAGGGGCCGACAGAGTCCTATCTTGAAGGAGACAAGGAATGCAGATCAATAAAGCTGAGCTTTCTGAAGGCCTGGCCGAACACAGTACATGTAGGTAATGTGGGTAAGAAACTGAGTATTTGGGGAGACTGTCTGCTGAAATTGTTTGTGAAAGAAGTTGTAGTACAGAGGTAGTCCTACTCTCTTTTAATAAGTCTATGGTCTAAATCAATAAAAAAATGACCTGTAATGCCCCATAACATGCCTAAAGTCGATACCTACCTGCCTGCAGAGTCTACCTTCTCCCTAGAGGCTGGGCTGGAGCCGGAATTGTTGCGTGTGTTGGAGTGGCTCCGTCGGACGCGAGCCGAGGAGCTGTCTTGAGGCAAATCCCCAGTGCCCTGGTCAACACAAGCATAAAGGAATTCAATAATATTCAACACATTTACCTATAAGTGATCAAAGTTTGTCAAATTGTTTTGACTTTTTGACTCAAAGGCATTTATGAATGGGAATAAGTTTGTGCTTGGCAGGTCTTACACAAGTACGTTTAAAACTGGTTAGAAGCCTGCACCCGATTTCATCAAACTCGTCGTAACTTACGATGCATCGCAGCGATGCGACGTGTCGTATCTCAACGACGCGTCGCAGCTGCGACGCGTCCTGCGATCCATTTCACAAAACACGTAGTAAGTGCGACGCGTCGTAGGTGTATTTATAGCACAACTCTATGATGTACAGTAAATAGTCGTCTGATATTCAACAAAGAGTTGTCTGATCTCAGCTCGAAATTTGTTAAAACGTAAAACAAAATGGCGGTCATGCGATGCAATTTTGAAGGAAAACAAGCTCTCAGTGGACTGTATAGCTACTTTGAAATTTCAACTGCAATATTCCAGTCTAATTCATAATTATTCAATGAATTTTCTATTTACAACTTTACACACATTGCCTCGGTATTATAATCTCATTTATGTAATGTTTATGGCAATAAACTGGCTAAGAAAGGGACTCTTCTTATTTTGCGATGACCACTAGACACGTCGTAACTTGCGACGTGTTTTAAGCTGTTGTCAAGGAACTTTCGACGCGTTTCACACATCGCAACTTTCGTGAAATGGATGATACGACGCGTCGCGAGTTGCGACGTTCGGCTTGGGACATCATCGGCGTCCAGGCCCCTGAGCCGGTGCCAAGCACATATTTATTCCCTTACTAAAACAATGCGGCAGGAACAGCCCTGAAATTGAAAAGAGAGGATAATGTCTTCGAATGAGTTCACCTTTAGTCTGAGGTTGTCCAGCACTTCTCTCAGGCCCCTCAGGTCCTTTGCTGGCACGTACTTCTCTATCAGCTTGTTGAACGACTCGTGATGCATCATGGAGAACAGCATCTTGCGGGCATAAAACCTAAAAGCACCAGCAAGACAAAATAACAGTTGTTAAAACCCTCCCTTTCTCAGCGACAACATGGAGAGAGATACCCTGTCCGTCAAAATCTATCAGGTGACAGGTTTGAACAGTTCTGTAAACTGGCCTCATAGTGGTACAATTGACAGGCTGGGGTAGGTATGTTAACTGAGGGGACCATGCCTTGAGTGACATTGATAGATGTGGTGGGTCAGCGCTGGTGAGTGCCTGTCAATGATGGATTTAGTTCAGTAATAAGCCTTCATCATAAAGAGATAAGCCTTCATCATAAAAGACTCTCCGGGTAGTTTTTCTGTTAAAAAAAAAAATCATTTGAATATTTCTTGAACTTTCAATATCTGCTTGCCCCCCCCCCCCCCCCAATTCAGGTGATGTGCTACTGCTAAGATGACAAAATTTTGCCTAAAATTTTAAATAAATACGCTTGCACTGCAATGCCCCAAATGCTGCGTAGGCATTACGGAAATTTCTCTACCTGGAATTGACTGATATTTAAACTCAGGTTGAAGTTAGCCCAGCTTTGGAAATGTCAAGTACTGCCTTCAACTGACTAGCAGGGAAATAATATTAGTTACTATTCAGAGCCGATTCCTAAAATTTGGAGCCATAGTGCTTAATCAAAGTGTGGATCAATTCTTTTAATTCAGGCATGCAACTGTATAGCCACCAAAGAAAAAAAAACACCGAAAGAAATTCCAAGACTTCAGAAGACTTTGTACAGAGTTAAAAAAAAATTAATTAAAAAGGGGAAAAGTTGCATGCTTAATCCAGGCACAGAGTCACCCGCGGCACCCTGATAGACACACTGGTTGTGAATGGCAGTATGCTACTCCGACCAACATAAAAATACTGCTCAATTTAAAATCAGTTAGCGCTTTGTTTTGTATCTACAATTGTTAAAAATAAGGTCTTCCATGTCCTGCAGTTGTTTAGGGCTGAAATTCCTGCTGAATCCATGCCACCATACCTGGTTTCCTGGCCGTTGTCGAGTGCCAAGCGAGCGGCAGTTGGTAGTATCTTGTCCGTGATGTCCTTGACTCCGCTGAGCAACCGCCCCGGTCCCATCCTGTCTACCAATGTGTTAAGGTGCATGGCTGCAGTCTTACGTATCACTTGGCTCTTGTGGCTGTGGTTACACAAAGGTATGTAGCAAGAGACAGTAAGACAGAGGTTAAGATTTGTGAATGTCTCTTGTCACTTGACTTAGGCTGGACGACATGTGATTGACTTGTGATTGACTTGTGATTGCCTTGCGATTGCCTTGCGATTAACTTGTAATTGCTTTGCGATTGACTTGTGATTAACTTGTGATTGCCTTGTGATTAAGTTGTGATTAACTTATGATTAACTTGTGATTGCCTTGTGATTGCCTTGTGATTAACTTGTGATTGCCTTGTGATTGCCTTGTGATTGCCTTGTGATTAACTTGTGATTGACTTGTGATTGACTTGTGATTAACTTGGGATTGACTTGTGATTGCCTTGTGATTGCCTTGTGATTAACTTGTGATTGCGTTGTGATTAACTTGGGATTGACTTGTGATTGACTTGTGATTAACTTGGGATTGACTTGTGATTGACTTGTGATTAACTTGCAACAGACTTGGGATTGATTTGTGATTGAGTCAAGACCGATTTGTCATTGACTTGCGTCTGACTTGTGACGTCTTGTGATTGACTTAAGATGTCTTGTAATTGACTTGTGACATGTGATCGACTTATTGTGGACTTGTGATTGACCTGGGATTCATTTTCTGATGGGCTTGTGATAACTCAATATCAAATCTGTTGAGCCAAATAATATTTTGCCAATGAATGACAAGCTACCACATCACATGGCCCTGCCTGCTGCATTTCAATGCCACAAGAGGTAACAACAATATATCATACCAAAACAGTGCAGCAACCACTATTTTGTACAATAGACAACCTAGAAGCTTTACCTGACACCGGCACTGATGATCGCTCCTAGCGCCCTCTGTGGGCTGACATTCTGCACCATGGAGTCCAGGGCCTTGTCTACGTCTTCCCGGATGAAGGCGCTGCTCTCCCCTGCCTTAGGGATCAAGATCTTGCAGATCTGCTCTAGCTCCTGCAACCAGACAAGTTAAAGAGTCCATGAAATGAGTTTTACACTGGAGCATATTTGTAGCAAATATCGATTCCGTTTAAATGTATATAAACTGTGACACATCCCTTTTTTGGTTTAAGTTTTTGCAAAGTGCCCTTTCTTGAACATTTAAAATGTTTCACACTTTTCCTGAGGGCACCGTTACTGTGATGTTACTTAGGAACACACTCCCTGGACTGGTTTTTGTCACACTGAAGTTTCTACCTTGAATGACATCACAGTTTCACTCATGAAAAGAGAAATTTGTATTACCATGAGAAAAAATTCACCGTAACACCCTTGAAATGGAAATATGAAAATTAATAATAACGTTGAATGGTACACAAAGGTACATTTCAAGGATTGCGTATTTAAAAACATTCCATTGCAAGGGTGACTTTCATCTTGTCCCTAAATTACTTGATTTTTTAGCTGCGGGATAGTAGCTCAACAAGTCGTCATGTCTTTCAATTTAGTAAGTAAGTAACAAACGATAATTTGTTAGTGACAAACATTGTAATTGTCCATTGCTCCTACATATTTTGACCGATTTCAACCAACTTTGTCAAAGGTATCAGTAGCCCAGCCCCAACGTGTCACGTGACCAAATTGGTGTCAAAGGTCATCATGGGGTCACTGGGGTAAAAAAGCTGATTTTTACTCAAAACACTACTTCCAGAAATCACATGGCACAATCATGTGACTCATGCATGAACACAACTTCATTGGCTCGCAGCTTTTTAGATCCGATCGTGCTTGTTGTTTACACAAGACAATGACTTGGGGATAGGCTACGATGTAAGACATTTCTCTTCAACAGAAGCCTTACAAGACAGGCGAATACATGTGCAAAAAAAGCATTTCTAGTGTTGAAATCGAGGTACTTCTGAGATGAATAACAAGTGCATAACACGTGACTACAACCCACATTCTCCTTCACAGTGGGACATCTTGATTCAATTCATCCCAATTTGATTCAGCTTCGCTGTTACTGCCATACGCTTATGACAAGTATGAACGCATAACAAATGGGACCATAATGGCAACATTGTAATAAAGGATAGTGAAGTGATTAATTAGCTTGAAAATTGAGCTTTAATGCCAAGGCCAGTTTTGCAATTTTGATTCAATTTAGGGACAGATCCCATAATCAATCAATTTGTTTTAGGAAGCCACAACAGAATCAACTTAAATATGAAATAAATCTTCACAAATTTTCTGAAAAACAGAGAAGACTCGGCGCTGAAATCGTATACAAAATATTGGACTTCAAAAAAATTGCATTCTAGACATCACAGTGAATCTTAAAATAGGATCAAGTTGAACAAGACAAGTTTCACTAGCATCTTTGAAGGTCACAAATGTACTGAAATTTACAGGAATCCTCGGGAAGAACAAAGTACTTATTTAAATTAGGTTTTGCCCTTCACCGACGTTTGAACACTGTATACTCAGTGCGTTACCTCCCGAGTGAAAGTTTGAAAAAATCACTCGGGTGGGACTCGAACCCACGACCTCCTGCTTTCTAGTGCAGATGTCTTACCACTCGACCACCGAGCTAACGGGATCGGTTGGCTGGTGCGAATCTGATGTACATAGCAGCGGGTACCGCATAAACTATTATAAGATGGAATTTTGCGTCGGGGTGATATAAATCAAATTAGGTTTTGCCCTTCACCGACGTTTGAACACTGTATACTCAGTTTTTTTTTTCAAACTTTCACTCGGGAGGTAACGCACTGAGTATACAGTGTTCAAACGTCGGTGAAGGGCAAAACCTAATTTGATTTATATCACCCCGACGCAAAATTCCATCTTATAAAAGTACTTATTTGTGACAATTTTAAAAATTCTTCTGAAATTTACACAAAATAGAAAGATTGCTTGTCATTATGTTCTTGGAGATTGCCTAAAACCATTCACTTTTGTAAATCGCCTTGCATGACACGGCTCTAAAGTTCCCATGTCATTGATTCTTTAATAATTAACTGAAGTTCAAAAAGATTTTTTTTCTGGAGGGTCTTACCTTATCCAAAGCCTGCTGTAGATCTTGGAACATATCCCCAATTAACGCGATAGCCATCTTGGAGACGGAAGACCGAAGGTTCTTCACTTCGCTCAGTACGGCCACAACCACCGTGTGCATTTGAGCTATGACCTCCTCCTGATGGAAGGACGAAAGCCTGCGCACCATATGCAGCCCGTCTAGCTTGGTCTCCCTGTAACAACAAACAACGTCCACAATGGAGTACCAAAGTGAACACCTCACGCCCACAAAATGTGTACGAAAGACATAAGCGCGTGATTCAGCCCGTGAACCAACACGCGCGCATACTCCATTCGTTTGCACTACACTTTCTGGTTCTTAATGACGTCACACTTCGGTACTCCATTTGAACTGACGACAAGTCATTCTCAATAACATCTGCAGGCATTTGTCAAGCCACGGCTGTGTCCCCAGGTTTTAGGGAACATCTAAAGGACTTGGGGATCTTGTAGGAGTTAAGCGGCAGGACACTGAGCTGATATCTCCTAAAGTCAGGGACCTGAAGTCACATGTGCGTCGGTAACTCAAATCAGAAGTATGGAGCTCGAAGGCACAGCCAGGGACAACAGCCAAAGTTTGAGAAATGCCCGATGACAATTTTCAGAGAATTATATTTTACAAGACTATGGACTCTTCGGGCTCAACTTTATTTGCTTCATGAAACTCAGCTAAGAACCAGACACATGCAATCACCATGACAAGCATATACAGTGTATGTAAGGCGTTCTGGAACTGGGTACAGGCCATAGTGGAGAAAAATGCAAAAAAAAAAAAAATGTAGGTGATTTTCTTATTTCCAGATTTATTGATACTGTAAAGTTTGATATGTCTACTACACATTTTTGTTTAAAGAAATGGTATTAAAACTGTGGAATAAAAGACTAATCAGGAAAAAAAAATTGGCATCTTGCATTTTCACGAATACAAAACTTGAAACTTTAATGGCCATTTTTCTCAGCATTTCACTTTTTTGACAAGTGGATAAATGTGAACTTTAAACAGCCATAACTTGTCGACAGAATGTCCAATTGAAGTGCGACGAACAGTATCGTAAGGAGAATTTAACTCTCTCTCCTAATACCCGCAAAGGCAGCTGTGAACCCGTGGCAATGGATGTAAACAATATGGCATTTTAGCTGGTCACCTGTCAAAGCTAACCAAATACACTCCGTGCTTAGCCCATTTCTGTGACTCAACAAAGCACACAGTCTTTATTCCTGCTTACCAGTCTTCATTGCTAAGCAGTTTCAAGGCATCCTGTAGTGCCTTGTCCGGGTGATTGAACGGTCTCATCTCCGCAACGTCTCCGTTACTGGCTTCATGGAGGGATGAGTTCAGCGTGCTGGACTGTGAGCCTCCAGAGATACTCCGTCCCAGTGGGTGGTGCTTGGGCGACTTAGGCTCCGTTGGACTAAGGACAAGAATCGTTCAATTGATACAAACACATGTGAATTCAAGGATACTGACGTAATTTTGCATTTTGCTTTAATAAATAAAATGCATTTTTACAATGTTCAATTTCTAAGATTGAAGTAAAAAAAATAATTGTAATGCTTGTATGGTGCTTCCCATCGTATCAACAATCTCAAAGCGCTTTACAATTATTCCCCAATTCATCAGGCCACGAGACCACGCGGCAGCCGATATCAGCGCACATTCGGTCCTCTACCCTCACAGGTACCCATTCATACTCCGGGTGGAGAGAGGCAATTGTAGTTAAGTGTCTTGCCCAAGGGCACAAACACCATGTTCCTGGCAGGGTTCGAACCCACGCACCATCGTGCATGAGTCAAACACTGTAACCACTGGACCTTGGCATTGTACGGACCATGGCATCCTACGTAAATACTAAATCCGAGAATTTGCTTCAATGAATGAGATATATTTTACTTGTTGTACCCCTTATATTGATAACAAGTGAATCCTTGTCATTTTTTGTGGTTTACTTGATTTGTAATACAAAGCCGTGTCCTTTCACGATTTTCATGTCCTGTGTTTGTTAATAACTATTGCTGGCATTGGGTGTGATCCCTGATTAAATGAGACATACAAGGCTTCAGACTAGCGCGCAATGAACAATGATGATGGTAAATTAGGAGACTGCCAATCTAAGGTTGGATAACTCAAGATGGTAGAGCGCTGGTACGGCTACCCACGGGACATAGTTCAAATCCTACTCCAGTTGGTTTTATTCTTCAACCATATAATCAAATGTGAGCCTTCATATACATTGTACATGTAAATGTAGGATCCCATGGTGCAGAAAAAAAAAATGCACCACACTGCAGCACAAAACAATTGCAAGTTGTTCCCTGAAATCTTACGATTTGGGTTTCTTCTTCTTGGGGGTGACCCCAGCCACTGGAGGTTTGCCAACAACCTTGGTGGGACTGGAGGGGGCTTCAGCCCCTGTCTCCATCTCAGTAACTGACTCAAGGTCAATGGGGCTGGCCGCAGAGTTGGATGGGTTGGATCCAGATATCTGTAGACCTAGACAAGGTAAAATAAAAAATAAAGCAAAGATTGTTCACATTCAGGGGACTCAATGCTTACATGTAAGTACAGTTACATTTTAACAGCAGGATGAACACATGTCATTGCTGCTGTGACTATTCCGAGCAGGCCTTCACTGTACATGTACACTCACGAAGCCCCTTCAATGGCTAAAGATTGTAACAGCTACTGTTCAAAACAATTGTTCAAAGCAACCGTTCCACCTGCAGCCTGTACATCCCATAATGGGAGTTTTCTTGCAGTAAAGACCATTATCATGTTGCGGCCATCTTGATTCTTTCCCATTCAAATCAACGTAACCAAAGCGAGGCTGGAGGGAAAAATAGTCTGGTTCCTTTTTGCACAAAAACATTATCATTCAGTACTGTTATTGGATACAGGGAACATGACTGAAATGGTGGTAGCGTGATTAAGGTCTATTGATCCATGCTTGATCCATTGTCTAATGCTTTCACCATTGAATGGGGCCTCGGACTGGTTTTTACGAATTTTTTTTACTATGTATAGATTTTGCACACAGAAACAACTTGATGAAACAGTGATGCATACTTTGGCGTACAATATAATTGGTGTGTTCCTGTACCCTACAACTCTGTAAATAGTGGTCACACAGTATCAAATACTTTTTCAGCATGGAGAAACTGGATCTGATGAATATAATATACCAACCAATCCAAGATACGTAGTGAGTTCAAGGGGAATTGACAAAATACAGACCCTTTGGTTTTATGGTTAGTTTGTCCGTTGTCAGGACGAGAATTCTTTTGATTTGATACACACAACTGAAATTAATTCAATCTAAAATGTCCACGACAAAAGGACTCTCAACAAAAGAGACCTCGACGAATGGGCTTTCAAGGAGTAAAGAATACAACAAAAATTCCCGGGATGTTTTCACAGTGTAATTACTCACCAGATACATCTGTGGCCGTGTTGTTATTTTCCAACTCTAGATGTCTGAGCTTATCTCTCTGTCTCTGCTCTGCCTTCTGTCTGGCCCTCTCTCTCTCCTCCTCCTTGGCCTTCCGGAACGCCTCCTTGCGTTCCTCCTCCAAAGCTCGCTGCCTTGCCTCCCGCTTCTCCTCGGCCTCTTTCCTCTTCTTCGCCTTCTCTTCCAAGACCCGTCTCCTCTCTTGCCGCTCTGCTTCTAGCTCCCGTCGCTTTGCCTCGCGTTCCTCCTCAGCTCGGCGCTGGGCTTCCCGTTCTTCTTCCATGGCTTGTCGGCGTTCGGCCTCCATGGCTTTGCGTCGTTCCTCCCGCTCCTGCTGGGCTTTCTCCCTGAGGGCCTGGGCCTCCGCTTGTCGCTGTTCCGCCTCCTTCTTCTGAGCCAGTTGCCTCTCAGCCATCTTGTCTTGGAGTGCTCTGGACATGGCAATGTTGTATGCGTCCTGTAATGGAAAAAAGTTGTTCTTTCAAGGTGTGATTCTCTACTTGTAACCGAACTTGGCAGTAGCAATGTTGGACACGTCAAGTAACAATGGGAGGGGGGAGGGAGTAACTCTAACTAAACTCTGTGCTTTAAGCCAAACCTTTTATTGGCCACACTTTTCTCAATGCTCAATGCAATTCTCAATGCAACTTGCAAGCACACTTAGCAGCAGCAGTGCTGTTCACATCACGTCACAGGAAAAACCAGTCACTTTCACTTAGAGCTGTCATTCTAAACTCACAACCACACCTAGCAACAGCAATATAGCACGCATCCTGTCACCGGAAAATTATAGCCACTTTCACTAAAAGCTGTGATTTTTAAATTGTAACCACCTTTTAAGATGTAGCAATGCTGTTCATGTCCTGTCACAGGGGAAAAAGGCCAATTTGACTAAAAGCTGTGGTTTTTAACTGGTTACCACACTTAAAACGTGTAAAAAAAATGTTGTACGCGTCCTGTCAAGGGAAACCAGTCTTTCTGAAGGTGCTTTGCTTCTTGACTCAACCTATTAGCAACCAGCCCATTACCTACATGTACGTATAGTGCTGTATGCCCAAAGTGTTTCCTGAATGAGTTAAATTCTGTGACCTTTTCTAAACCAGAAGCTAAAACATGTATGCTTCTGACTCACACTTTTGACAAAAATGCTGTATTCCCAAAATCACTTCCTAAAAAGAGGAAATTTTTGTGACCTTTTTTCACTAGAACTTTGCTTGTTAACCTCAACCACAAGTCTTTTTTTATTAAGTGGACAACGCTGCAAGAGTATTTCTAGATTGTTCTGACATTTTTTTGAAGTAGAAATATCATACAAAACTAAATATTTACATGAGTTAGAATCTTTTTCTTCTTTTCTGAAGGCTTTTTGACTGATTTCTTACATTAGATTTAAAAACCGGCACCTTTCTGGTGTTTCTTATTAAACAAAAAGATGTTTTTAAATGTTGGCTGTCAGGCAGTTCTAGGGATTTCAGTTTTTGCCGTTTCTGGCCTCACTGGTCAATAAAAAACAATATTTGAGTTTTACAGACACTTCTGCAAAAGATGCTTTTTCAATTGCATTATTTCTTACAGTCACCAGATCCCATGAGCGTATAGGTCCCTTTGGTATAATTTGGGTTTTGTTTAAACTTTTTGGAAAATTTGTTGAAATGCGTAAATGTCACATCCTTAACATAATGGGATCAACTGGAGAAGTACCGGTAGGTATAGTTGAAAAAAGGTACTTTAACTTATACTACCAGTAGGAGTATTTATCACTTCCAAAATCATTTCCACGTTATAAATAAAATTTAAAAAAACAACAATCAAGAACAAAACAATTTTTAAAAAATGAACTCTGTGCATACATTTTTCTTGGGGGGGGGGGGGTGTGTTCGGTTTGGTTGACGGAAACATGCCGCATTATTTTTTTTTGGCTTTTGCATCAGGTAATCATAGCATCCAATCATCCAAAATTGTACAAAAGTAAGTCAAACCACCAGTCAAATCGTTTTGACAATTCTAAGATTACTTAGAATTCATCACACTGAACATCACTGACAGGATATAAGCCCCACAGAAAATGACAGTAGATAAATTTAATGGTGCAAATATAATATGCAATGTACTACTCCAGCTGGTATGCTGCCGACACTTGGCTTGTTTAAGAATTCATGATGAAAAATCAATACGGGTGATAAATTGCTAATATCTGGCTGCCCGAGGCCAGCGCTTTGCCAAGGTTATTAATGACTTTGGCTTTATGAAGGTTATTAATGACATTGGCGCTGTAACTCAAACAATATCACCCCGTGTGGACAGCTAACATGTCTCATGTTTCTCTGGCTATTTCTGGAGGCAGACTCAAGCATTCTGTCTTGTTTTGACATCTTACTGGTGTTTATTACGGTTGTCATTACCATTTCATCAACTTGACATTCTTGGAACATACCCATAATTTGATCGTATGGATTATGCAATTACACTGCAGCATGCACAACTTGGTGTGAATACATACACATGTATCTGGCCATTTGTTTCCAAGAATATAGACAATACTTTCTTTTGTTTCTCCTGAGCTAGTTGAACAGTGGCCTTTTTAAAACAAACGTGGAGTACAGATTAAACTCGGTGATCAAAGAGTGCCCCCTTCAAACAAATTTTTGAAGCACACATAAAGCTCCTTCTTTCTTGCTTTTTATCTAGTTTTTGCCTGTCAGGCTTTGAAAGTTCTGTTTCTTTGTCATTTGTTAAACATGTTAAAGCAACTCCCCAGCCTGCGATTCCCCCCCCCCCCCAAACGACATGCAAATGGGGCGTACGCTATGAGGTTTTGGACTTTACCTCCCTAAAAACATGAGAAAAAAAAATATAAAAAAAGAAAAGAAATGAATTCGAACCTAATAAGATTCGGACTATTCTTCCCTTTTTAAAAAAAAATCCTCCAAAGCTGCAAATTAGTTAGGAAAAAAAAATTGAAAAATGTGGTTTCAAACTCACACCCTCCGATCTCAAAACCATGGCATTATCCAGCTGAGCCATTGGAGAGCTAGACAGCCAACCGTAATTCATGGCATTATATTATACCTGAGTGCGTATAATCAAGTATCGTAGAGAGCACTCAACAACCATCCATACGATGTTGTTTGGCAAAAAATAATTCACCCCCAGCCCAGCATAACAGATGCATTTCTCTAGTCAAGAACAATATCACCAGAGAAATCATACCACAATCATCAGGCATGCAACTGGGAATTTATAAAATAAAAAAAAATAAAAAAACGAGGCAATTTCAAATCAAACAGGACTTTGTACAGGGTTTTTCAATTTGTAATGGCATTCATGAAAAGTTTTTAAAAAAACGAGGAAATCAGCAGATCCCACATAAAATTGCATGCCCGAGTCATACCATGGATAGTCTGTACAAGTGAGATTTGTCTGTAAAATGCAGAAAAGGGTTTCAAAACATTTTTGATCTATTAACTACTTGTGTGACAAGTTTTCCAAAAATAAACAGACAGACAAACAAACAAACTCACCTCTTCCTCATTCCCTTCTTGGCTGTCGCTGTCTCCCGAGCTGGACTCCAGTCGGTAATGATGGTGACCTTTGACCCCGCCCACAGGTTGTCTAGCTGGCCCCGGCTCACTCTTCTTCCTCTGATTGGCTACCGGTGAGGCGTCTGTGCCGGCGTTCTTCCCGTTGAAAACATCTGACGGCAAGTGAGAATTTGCGTGATTCTTCATACCAAACTACTGTACTTGAAGTCGTACGTTCCTTTCTTTTGAATATCGGGTCCACACAAAACTGACCAATCAGACTAATCTGTTTGGCCCCATTTCATGATCATGCTATGACCAATCACAGCCATGAATGCAAAACCCACTTTCATGCACTTCGTGGTGCACTCCACTGGAAAATGCAGTGTGACATTCGAGAGATACACGTGTTGTTGCCCATGTACAAAATGGGTTTTGCTTGCTTATGGCCAAATTCAGAATGGGCTATGGTTATAGCGGACCAGAAACATTGTTGGGACTCAAACAGTCCCTAACAAATATTCCAATAACGCAGCGAGGGTACATGTACAGCATGAGCAATTCTGCACACTAAAAATTTCAACTTCTGCGACGTGTTCCGCGACCATCACACGATTTCTCAGTTTTGTGACCTGAGCATTGTTTTTATGCTTGATGCCGATGGTTCCGTCGGGCGCATGCAGATCGTGGGTCAACCTGAGGCCGGCTAATAAGTACAGGTGTAGTTCTTACAGGTTACAGGTATCACAGCATGTGACTCAGGGTAATTTCTGTGGAATTGTCTTTATATTTCAGTGCTCCAACTGGCTTAAGACTAGGGGAAGGGCAAACATTGTGGGGCACATATATTCAAAGGAAAAAAAAACAGAACATGTATCAACTTTGATGACAAAATACATGTATGTAGGAATGAACCTGAACTGACAGTAAACCAGTGGCTCGACTAACAGCATTTTGCAGAAAACGTAGCTACATAATGTTGACTCGTCAGTTGATGACTTTTATCATTGCAAGAAATATGTACGTGTAAACAGGCCTCCTGATTATGTCACAGCAAATTCGATTGTAAATAATAGACCTATCGCGGAAGAATCACGTTAGAATTGCGTCAACGCAGCTTGTGAGATATTGTCCAATTACATGATATACAAATGGAATCGGAACGCACAACATCTGAGACAAACAAAACTTAGCGTACAAAAACTCCATAAGGTTGTCTAAGGGGCGTGGCCAACTCGCAAACGGCGATAGGTCAATTATGCGTAATGAAAGACCTTTTTTCCTGCAATCTATTTTTTATTTTTGTCTTTTTTTTTAATTTGATTGTGATCATTAGTTCTGTTATTTCTTGACTTCCAAATCGTCTATTTATTTTTGTCTACAACCAGCCTAACATATCTAATGAATATTAATACATGTAGATCTCAATAAAATCAATTCACATGAAATCCAGTCTTTCGATGAACAACTACATATAAATCATGAAATGATTAAATACTTCATCAATTGTTCATTGCAAATATTTAATTGTGTAGCCGTACTTGTTCCAATATTGATTATTATATTTTTTTTTTAAAGATTTCCTCTCTTCATGGTTTAATCCCCTCAGGAAGAAGCCGCTTTTGTCCATATATAGGGACGGTTCTGCCACTTAGAAAGTGGCCAACACTGGCCTGTGGTGTTGCCATGACAACCGCAAATTAATATGTACGTATTTGCCTATCGGTTGTGTAAACAGCACTTCCACAAGGATAAATATACATTGTATGACATGAAAAACCAAAGAGAAGCGTATTATTGCTATTTCTTGCAAGATATATGTACATGTACACCCGGTACACATCAAACTGTACAATGTATGTTCCAACAGGAATGTACATGTATTTTGAAGGGTAGTTTCATTGGAAAAATCTGCAAACAATTCTTGCATACTTGGTCACTGCACTTTCAAATTCTACTGTCCTGATGAATTATTAAATACAAAACACAAAAATGTATACTCCAACAACTTTCTTTGTGAAGGTATGTTTTTAAAGGTAAAGTCTATAAATGTAATTTGACATGCACAATGTTTGTGCTTGGAATATTAATGATTCATGCAAAATCTAATTTTTTTTGACGTCATGGATGTCAACACTAAAATTTCACGTGTACTTCATGCACATTTGTACATGTACATGTAGTCAATGTACATGTACACACATATACCGATACATACTTGTACATGTATACATGTACATACATTTTTGTATGTGCACTTTCTGCTGATGTACACGTACATTGAACACCACTTTTTACAATAAACGAGGTTCATAAGGCACGTTCGGTTAAATGTATTTGATCAATTAGTGCTACCGTTTCATTGTCTCAAAGATGTGTATACATAATATCATCATCTACCGGTATGAGTCTAGTGTAAACATTGCACACTATGGCACTCCAGCCATACTGTGTGCATTCACTGTTTATCTTGGCTTATTAATGAAATATTAATAAACACAGGGTATTTCTAAAAGGTATGTAAACAAAAACTAGACCTGCTTGTTTAGGTTGATGTATTGATGTAAATAAATCAAGGGTAAATTGTGATGATACAGCGTGGATGTTGTTAAATATGGAAATCCTAAAATACATAATTACGGTAATATCATAACATTTTAAAGAAAATATTCAAATAGAATTTATATCAAATCTATGAAGACAAATAATTTTTTTTTTACTTTTCCACTGTACTCATCTACTGTGAATAATCATTGATACAGTGCACATTACGACTGCCATGACTTGTGAGTTTTTAAGTGTTATCAATATTTTGACTGACTGATGAGGGGGAAACAAAGCTTGATTTTTTTTTGTAAAAAAGATTGATATCAATTATTTAAATATCATTGGAAACAAATCCAGAAACTTCTGTCCCTGAATAATTCCCAACAGATTTTGAGAATTTCGGTTCACTGCCTAAGGCCTTCAAATGGCTGCTTTACATACTTGTTGACTTCAATACGGCTGCTTCTCTATGAACAATCCTGGATCCTCCACAAAGTTTATCATTTTTACTAGATACATCAAGGCAAATAGATTTCAATGCCCTTTGAAATCCCAGATAAAATGAAATTCTAACGAGGGTTTAAATTTTTTATTATGAACGTATCAAATATTCTGCCTTTCATAACTACGCCATCAGTACATGCACATAATTCAGCAGGGTAAATTGCTCCGCAAAAGGTTCACCGAATGATAAAGTATCCTTGAAAAACGCTTTAAATGTCACTCTGCTGTGACATTGTGTTCCGCGCCCACTCTCAAAGGCAAGTGACAGCTGGATTAACATTTATTACATGAACGAAAACTTTAATGAGTTTGAACCCGGTGCCGAGTCGACAAGCCTTTTAAAAAACGTTGGCTACTAATATAAAACTGTGCGTCGGAAATTAGTTGGCCCAGACTGCTTGTCATAAAAATACCCTGGCAATTATCTCACTTATTGAACTCAAGGTCGTGTCGTTTACAATGCAGGTGGACATTTTTGTATGTACTGTTTCTTTTAAAAGTCAGACACATTTTTGTCACTGTAAATAGGTGGAAATTTTTGATGTACTGTTTCGTTTAAAAGTCAGACACATTTTTGTCGCTATTAACAGCAACAAAGGGGACTGGTTGTCACTGTACTTTGTTGAGTCTGCCCTTCACAGTATCCTCCTTCCCACTAACCGGCCTACATGTACACTCAACATGACAAAATAGGCTCTTAAGGTCTTTTTGTAAGTTTTAATATAATGATGACCATCACTTGTCACCGGCAAGTACATGTACATGACAACAGGACTTCTGCCTACTGTTAGTGGAAAATCCCCGGTTACTGTAGCAGAAAATTCTGTGCTTAGAGTAAGCGTATTTTACGGGTTGGCAAGGAGTTTTGGCTAATGCACGCATGCGTACATCCCGTAGCTAGGAGTTAGCACAGAATGCGTGGGATGGGCCCTGGCCTTTTACTCAAAACTCTTCACTGAAACTTTGTCGACAGAAGAATGGGACTCGGAGGTTGGGGGAGGGAAAGGTTTGTCAGCATTGCAATGCCTGTATGATCGTAATCAACACTGTTTTTCAGGGACCCAAATTTTACATCCAAAGTCAACCTTTTGCAATTTCACCCAAGAATAATGTTAACAAGCACACCGCTTGACAGGTTTCAGCCATGAGAAATTTCCAGCTCATAGAACACAATTACCAAGCCTGCAGAAATAGTGATCAATGGCTGTTAATTAGGCGTGAAAGAGTACGTGAATGCACGTTTGTGACACCAAGGTAAGTAGTCGTTTCGTGGATATGCAAAACCTTTGCGTATTTCGGTGAATACTGGTGTTTTGTGACATCAAAGACGCTTTGCATACATGTATTTTTTATGAAGTAAGAACAGGCATTCAGGGTAATTTAACCCTAACCCTTCATAGTATTTGGTCAAGACACCCAGTCCAATGTAACAACAGGCAGCATTGTCCGTGAGAAGCCTTCACAGCTCCAACAGGTCAAAGCTGCCTGAGAGTCCTCGGTTTCCAAGTTGCTAATGTTGTGCCCTGTTGGACACAACATTAGCATTGTTCAAATGGCAGTTTATGAATTTGTGTTGTTGGCCCAATGCAACAAGATCCTGCGGATGTTTTAAACCTGTTGCACTGTGTTACATTTGGCAGGGTTAACCCTAACCGCCCTGAATCCTTCAAAATCCTCTTTGCCAAAGTGGAGGAATTTGGAGGATTGAGGTTACATACACAAAGTGTGTTACTGATTACGTAGGATGCACTTTGTCAAGGTCTTGGGCCGGACCTTGTGTTGTTTTTGCTCAGCCATGCATCAATATAGGTCTGGATTATGCTTGAAATCCTCCGTACTGCTCCAGGATGTCACTGGCCACGCCTCAACATATTGACAGTCACTGCCGCAGCATTTTGCAGGATTCAGGCAGTGGTCACCCCTCAACGGACCATATTCAAGAAGTAATGGAGCAATTTGCAGGATCGAGGCTATATATGCTATTGTTCCGTGAGGCCAATTGGAGGATTTTGCAGGATTGAGGTTACATCCTAGCAAAAAGGCCTAGGGAGTTAGGGTTAAGGAGAAAGGGAACACTTACTCTTCCCAATAACCATGGCCAAGTCCTCTCCGACACTGTTGTTCTTATCATCCAGATCTATTGCTCCTGGATGGTGCATTGAGGCCATGGAGAGTGGCGACAGTAGGGGACCTGTAAAGAACGTCACAATCTAGAGTTAGCTTTTGGCCACATATGAACTCATCAGTAGTGTTTTAGTAAAGGTACTTGTCAACTCTATCACAAGTCCCATCGCAAGCTCAGTCACAAGTACATGTATATCACAGCATCATGACTTAACTGGGTGTGGTCCCTGGCAATATGGCACCTTCACGCCCATGGCTTCTGGCTAACGCCCCATAAATAAAGATATTATCAAATTGGGACATTGACAAAGGGCTGGAAAGGTCATTGGTAGAGTACTGGAAAAGGTGTTTAAACAGTGGTTCAACTTGTGCTCTAGGAGTGCAGTACGTGTTTTCTTTTTACACACCATACCACATAAATATGACGAACATTGTAATAATTTCCACTCATATATTCAACACCACTGGCACATGCATGTATTCTACATCATTATCATCAGTGATAGCACATAGTTGATTGTGAAATTTCATATCAATCACCTTTTTGTTGGCGTCTCCTGTCCCGCCCATTCTGTGCCTTGTTGGCGTGCGTCGGGATGGGCGGCGAATCTGTCCTGCTGCTGTTGTTACTGCGGCCGTTGCTGCTGTTGTACCCCTGGCCAACGATGCTGACATCCGACGTGGGCTTGTCGCGGAACGTGACCCCCGATGACGGGCTGTACTCGAAGGGAATAGGGTCCGGAGAGTCCTCGGGATGCTCGAAGGAGTTCTTACGACTTCCTTTGCCAGAGGAGGATCGGGCCATTCGGGGTTTGGTGCTGAAGGGAACGTCGGTGTTGGACTTTCTTCTGCGTGAACAGAGAGAGACAGAAATTGATGTCAAGTGAATCATTCCACAGAGTTACTTAATATTTAAGACATCACAAATTAAAACCCAAACACTCCTCAATCCTCCAAAATCAACCAGGTGATTTTGAAGGATTTTAGAGGATTGACGTTCAATGGCAAAAAAGGGTCAGTTGATTTTGGAGGATGCATGCGATCGAGGGTTGTAGGCTGTACCCTGCGTTGTTTATGCTCAGCCATGCATAATTGAGGCCCACAATAAACTGAAGGGCTGTATGAATTTTGAAGGACTGTATGAGGCAGTGGTCACCCCTAGCACTGAACAAATTCAAGAAATAACGGATGATTTTGGAGGATTGAGGCTGTATGCAATTTTTACATGGCGGCAATTAATTGGAGGATTTTGTGAGGTTGCGGACGGTTCCTAGCTACATGTAAAAGGGCCTAGGTTGTATGTTGTGACCATTTACCATATATATCCAATTAAAAAAACATTTAAGTGCTGCATTCAATGTAAATGAAGGAACTTCACACTCTGCTCCAACTGACTGTGTAATAGTTCATTTGTCTGTTTTATGTTTGTAGTGTGTATATTTATCTTCTGATGTCTTGTCTAGAGACCTTTCTACAATTTCATGCATGGAAATTGCTTAGAAGCCTGGAAAATATTTGCTTAATCTCAAAAATAGGGTTATCAGCCAAATTGTATGCAATACATGTATATATTACTTCTCACTGGTTCACATAAAATTTTTGCTAAGGTAATAAATCTGTTAAGTGACATTTTCTGCTAAAGACATTAATATTAAGTAACTGTCATGAATTGTATTTCAATGTCATTACAAAAGGCTGAATGAAGTGGCATCAGTTGTGACCAACAATTTATAGCCCACAACACTGATATTATAATGTCACACAACACCTTTAAAATCACATATATGTTCCAACAGATGGAAACACACTTTTCATTTTCAACCAACTGGTAAAAGTGATATTCAATCCTTAATGACAAAGACTGGACACATGATAAGACCACTGACATACCGGTAATCAGACCTGTGTTTTATAACGGGATGATCGTACTTCATGTTAATGTTAAGTGAACTTGGACAATCATTCTCAATGTATTTACCAGATTTGTAATCTGTTCAACGTTTGTAAATTTGCCCCACAAACACTTGCCGCATTTGTTCACAACTTCTCATCCATTTTGTTTTTCAAAGCGATTAAACTGGCCTTATTCATGAATTATCACATCTATGCAGGAGTATATTCATGGACAAAATCATCATTAAAGGTAATTAATGATGGAAGGTTACAGATAAACAAAACCCAGCCCATTACATTAGGCCTCGCTATTCAAAGGCCCCTGGTTCCCAGAAGCAATTGAGTTCACCTGTTCTGTTAGGAAATCGACGGAGAGAAAATGCACCGACGGAAATGGACAGAAGACAAGCACTTAAAACACTGACAAAAACGTCAGGAACATTTGTTAAAAGCCCTGGCGAGACTCTTTGCCATTCTCTGCCCTTAACTGGCTTGACAAAAATCCTTCTCCAGATTGCTACTTGATTCTCCTTGAATAAACATCACTTGCCAGGGAGTCAGTGTCTTCTGAAACAGTGTTGTACGTGTCGTTGGGACAAGTGGTGGATCACATGTCGTGCCAACTCCATCGCAAGTCAAGCACATGCATTCCTTTAACCCTAACCCCCTAGGGTGATTCACTTGGAACCTTCCTCATCCTTGCAAATCCCAACAAAATATGATAAACTGTGCACATAAATAGTTGGACTGTATTTATTTGTGGTATGTCTATTGTCTAATCCTATGTTAAGCAGACAGTTTACTAGTGCAGTACTCATCCTAACAGGTTCCAACAAACCCTGGTGTTGGAGTTTGGCTGGTTGGGGATTGTCAGGGTTAATATGGCTGATTCCCATTTACTTGAGACCTGACTTTATAAATGAATTGACGAGTGATCAGACTAGTAGTGTGCTTTTGATAAATCACACTGACTCCAACAGTCCCACACAAATCATTCACGGCACCCGGTAGCAATACCCTGACCACTTATATCACAAAGACTAATAGCTTCTTAATTAACGGCTTTCATTACTGTGAAAGAAAAAACGCCATCAAACCATACAATTTCTGGGAAACAAACCATGACGCAGAAAAATATAAACGCAATTAGCTGCTCTATTCATCACCACACCTTTTGTATGGATGCAAGAATGAATAGTCTCTGACAATGCCTGTGAGCAGAAAAAAAATTACAACAGCAAAACGTTTGGACACGCAGTCACGTACACACGGAGATATTAGGGATGACATTGTGGGGTCAATTAGTATAAATCCTACAAACGCTCCCTTGTGTACCGTGAAGGGCATTCAATTGCTGGGCCTAGTGTGGTTAAATTGATTGGGATGTTCATCAACAATGTGAAGATACCGCTATCCAATTTGTTATCTGCCGAGTGAGTACATGGCGGGATTTGGATAGAAGCACACATGCACGAACAAATAACTGATAGAACTAAACCAGCTGAAGAAAATAGTATTTCAATGACTTTTGGCACGTCTGTGATCATACGAAGCAGGTGATCAGATGCAAGGAGTTACATGTACTGTTCAAGAGGGAGGCGACAGTCTTGAATTGAAAAGGGGATTTAATAAAGAATAATTATTAGTTGGTTGGTTTAAAGAACACAGGCTTGTTTCTTGGAATAGTCTTGACGTTTTTTCCTTGAATGGTGCTTGTCAGTTTGTTTAGCAAAACGTAGTGACATTTTAAAATCATCGATCATAAGTGATTGGTTGCCGAGAGTCACAATTTTAATCCAGTCCATCACAAGTTCTTAAAAAGTCAAATCCAAAATCAGGTCACAAGTCAGGTCTTGTAAGTCAATCACAAGTCAAATCACAAGACACATCACAAGTCAAGTCACAAATAAAGGGGGGCATGGACAAGGTATGTTTTTGTCACAATTCAGTGACTTGACCTGAAACTGGATGACTTGTGATTGCCATAGGATGGCCCGATTAAACCTCCAGCATTAAGGTCACTGACCATCCAATCCCAAACCACTCACCCTTTCCTCTTGGAGACGGGGTACCTGTCCAGTGAGTCCTCCACTTTACTGCTGTTCATGGTGGAGAACATACTGAAGAAGCCGCTCTCATCTAACGGGGAGATCGTGGAGGAGAGGTTGTTGTTGGACAGTGACTGCCTGTCTGGGTCGCGCGATGCCAGTTTCTCCGCACGCTTCTTGGCCGCGCTACTGCGGACACTTTGCAGGGAGCTCATCTGGAAATAAACACAAAACGGAATTTTAAACATTTCAGAAAAGGACGATTTGAATTTCCACCATCCCTGAAGAGCTTAGTATCAAAACATCTGCACTTGCAAGCAGAAGGTTGTGGTTCGAGTCCCACCCAAGCAAGGTGGGGAAACACCTGCACTAGTGAACAGCAGGTCATGGGTTCGAGTCTCAACCAAGCAAGCTTGTGAATTGTTTTTTTTCTCGCAAGCTTTAGGACAGCACTGCGTAGACGGTGTTTATAAAATTACAACAGTGAAGGGTTAAACCTATTACAAGGTTAAACAATAACAAGACGGCCAAATCATCAACGCAACGGCATACACACAAAATAATCATGAATAAAATTGCAAGTTGGTTAAGTGACAGGCACATTTCAAGTGATGCATACCAAAAAATGCCTTCACAGAAAAAAACAATGAATGCCATAATTGAAAGTAGACCAACTTTATGAAGTTTGATTTCACAGACAGGTGTCTGGGCAATATTTTACCTTTGTTATATACATTGTTGTGTTGCTACATGTACAAATGCAATACACCGAAAGAAGTCTCATACATGTACGTGTACATGCACGTGAACAAGATACATTCCAGAAGCAATCAAAGAGTCTTCACACGTTCGAAGCACGCTATTTCCTGAAAGCAACAAATTGCTCTGACACGTCCTGTGGAGTACCCAAGGTGATGCTTCCCAAGTACACTCAAGTGACACGTGCAGCAGAGGAACAGCCAATAGGGAATAATTCCCCCCTCCCCCCCCCCCAAAGCTGCAGAGTATTCATCCTTTTAGTTACAGTGTAACAGCTTTTTCACACTCTGGCCACAAGGCTGGTGACCACATGGCCTTAGATGACGCAACTGTTTCTCCCAAATTTAGTAATCAAATCACAGGCCGGTTAAATTGCCAGAAGATATTCACCCACTAGTACAGTTGATTGGATTTCTTTTGCACAGGCACCTGCGTAGCGATGGCAGGTGACGCGTCTGATGGAAGTTTTGACTTAAAGGCATATAGGATCATTTGCATTTCATGCATTTTGTTCGTTTTCAATAACACCACCACTCAAAATCCAAAGAATGTTCAAACCTATTTGAAGTTTCAGCTCAGTGGATATTACACTTTACAAAAAAAAACAGTGAAGAAGTATGCACAACCTTTTGATCACAAAACAGATTTTGTCTATAACATCTTGATTTCCAAAGATCAGTCAATTGACTGATCACTGGAACTCACCTACATTTCTTGATTTCTTCTAAATGACGACAAGCCAGACGGAATAAGTTCACGCGGTGTTTAGTACCAATACGATTTCTAATCCAAGTATTAGCTATTTGCTAGTATGTGTTATTCCGTAGGTTACTTTTGGGATAAATTCAAATTATCTTACAGGCCTTTAAGCCTAAAAATGCATAAGCAGTGCCAAAATACACGGCAGATGATTACAGACACAGTAAACGATATTATAAATTGGTTTTAATCACAATGTGTATATAACTAGCAGAAAGCACATCTAATTAAAAATTAAATTTACAGTCAAAGGTAATGACCAAATGCTTCAAATAGCTGGATAAATTCATTAAGTTAGTTGTTGACTTTTATTTTTTTAGTTGCTACCAACATATTAAAAAGTGAAAATACAGGTAACTTTTCAAAATAGAAATTCTCTCCTAATAAACTCTTCATGGCAATTTCTCCATGCAGTGTGAAATGATACTTTCAGCAGGGTTTTATAATCTTTCAAAACAAGGAAACATTTTAATTTATCAGTTACATGTAGTGTCGCAAGCCTGTCCATCCTCGGACCAGCCCTACGGACGGCCAGCAGCATAACCGATAATCCTAACGCTGGCTTATTAAACGAGGAGGAGCAGATAATATCTCAACACCTTCGAGCTACAGCCACCCTCTTCCTTCCACTTAGCTCGACGGGTGCCTTCGGTGGCCTTTTCTCCCGATCGCAACATGCATGGCTGCGCAGATCACGTACATGTATAGCTGCAGATACAACGCTGGACATTTTCTTTCCATTGTCGGGATTATTAGATGAAAACGTGCTCTGCACGAAAGGTGAAAAGCCCTAGGGGATCTGGTGCTCAGTAGCGAGGTCATTTGAGATTTGAGATCGTGAGATGAACGTTGTCAAAAAAAAAAAAGAACTTCTGCCTGAGCTACATGGCTCAAAACATGTTCAAATAGGCCACTGATGGGAAAAGAAAATGAGCAATTCTGCAGTTTCACTAAGAATTTCACATGTACAAGAACACATGAAGAAAATATCAAATCTTTCCGTGTTTTATTTCGTTAACTGTGTGAATATTGACTTCCATTTTGACAATGGGAAAGACAACAAATAAATCCTCCCCTTAAAGAGATCCCCCGAAAAATTGTCAACCAACACTGAACTGTTCAGGTGGTCACAATTTATTAATCAGTTAAGGGGTGGAAAGTCAGAACAGGAAAACAACAATGTCTTCTAAATGTTTAACCTTGAATCTACCGCAAAAAGATACTTACATCAGGCTCACTGTCTTCATCAGACAACTCAAAGTCATCAGCATACGTGGTCAGGTCCAGGTCCTCGATATCGTCCACACCCTTGTAGACCTGGTTCCTGTCCAGGGGGTCCAGTATGGTCCTGCCCTGTCCCCTGCGGCCGGCCGACCGGGCCAGTGTGGGCTTGAGTGGGATGGGCGAGGCCATGGCTATGCCTTTGGGCTTCTTAGTTTCATACTCTGGGGACCAGTCTGGGAGATTGGCAGGATCTGGAGTGAGAGAATAAAAGTTATAAGAGAGAGAGATTGAAGAAAATTGATTAATGAATGAATTATCTTCAGTCACTGAGAGTAGTGCCCCCTGCTTTTTAACATGAGAACTGGTCAGCTTACCCCTGATAAGCTCAGTGGTCGAATGGAACCATATACATTGTATCACCAGTAAGTAGGATGTTGAGAGTTCAAGTCCCACCCAACCTTCCACTCTGTAGCTCCACGCTCTAACCGCTTGGCTACGTGGCCCCTCTGCTCGGCCGGGTGGCATTGATAGGCTTGATATTAATACTTCTTGCCATAAGTTTTCATTTTTATTGGTCGTAAACCAATGCAGCTTTTGAAGCAATGAATACTAACTTGAGGTGGGTGTCAATCAAACCACAATCTCCTCCTGTGACCTCCTCTCACAGACTACACCGAGTATTCAGTGCATACAGAGTTATCTTACCAATGAAAGAAATTTCATACCAAATCCTACATTATGTAACATATTGGGGAGTAAGGTTTGGTGCATTGGTACTTTACTTGCCTTCCACCTCTGTGACCTGAGTTCGATTCCTGCTCAGTCTGACACATGGATTTGACTATTAGTCCCTACTTACCTAAATAAAGGTATGTATGTAAGTAGGGGAATCAGGTTGGGGCCGTGGTTTCCCCGCCTTCCACCTCTATGGCCCGGGCTCGATTCCTGCCCTGGTCCACATGTTGATTGGGTTTTCAGTCCCTACCTGATTCCTGAACATTCCTCTGGGGCTTTCCTCCCACCTCTAAAACTCTAAAACTGTAATTCTTCTCACTGTCTTCTCTTCAAATTTCTTCAGGCTTGCGAGCTTACAGAGCCTAGGAGGCTTTAAGGATTCCTTGGTTTCAATACCAGAAATATAATAATAATAATAATAATAATAATAATATACTTGAAATTAGACATAAAGACACTTACCAGCCCGATGGTTGACCTTCTTCTTGCTCTTTGACCCTTCGTCCGGCAGAAAGTGAGACTCAGGCCAGGAGTTGGACAGGCTCTTCCGATAACCCCTGGAGCCCACACCCACCCCGCCCATGGTGCCGTTCTCCCTCAGGTGGCCTGACCCAAACGACGAGACGTACTTGTCTGCTGGCTGCTGCCTGACCTCGGGGTCTTCGGTCTCGTGCCTGAGGCTGGGGCGCTTCTTGAGGATCGTGGCGGTGTTGCCTGCGAAAGGGTCGTGACCACCTGAAACAAACACAACGACAAATTTACAATTAGAATTCCATTATGGTTGAGTTTCTTTTTAAAAGACACTTGTTAGTATATTTTCAAACTCTTTGAATTTCCCAAGGAAGTATTACGATAAGATCCCTGATGATAGATCAGGCATCAAGCATAGCATGGAAGTGTGAATGTGCTTTACTATTTACTGAAAACATGAATATAATAAGAACATGTATCTACAGGTTTTCCCGAATAAAATTTTACAAAATAACCTTGCACTGCCAAACTTGAAAAGTGCTCGTCCCTATTTTTTTAGCTTAATTTTTTTCTGACAAAGTGAAGTTGACATAACTACTTTCAAACAGAATACACTAGTTTTAAGTGCACACTGTGTTGCTGTGTTAAAAGGGACAATGCATCCTAGAGAGTTCTAAATTGGGCTACAAACCGTGTTTTTTTTTCACAAAATGATATTAACTGGAACAAGCACTTGAAAATAAACAAAATTGGGCATTTTTTTGGTTAAATTCTTGCGAGAATGAATTTCAGGGGTCAAAATTTTGGCTTTCTAAAACTGAGCTATTTGAGTGGTAGCTGTGATTTCAGTAGCAGTCGCACATGTTCCTTTGAAAATATTTATTTTGTGTGTGTTTGTTCATCTGTTTGGTAAATATATGGGCTAATTTACATGTACATATTGAAATCATCCGCTATTATTCTAGATTAATCAAATTACCGAAGCATTGTCATTCTTCCTGGGAGTTTACTTGGGAGTAATGGGAACTTTTGTCTACCGTAGCATACACTTCCACCTCTCGACCGCGCTGCCTGATGTATGGCAAGTGCATACATGTCACTGGTGCATCTCATGCATTGTGGGGAAGTGCGGGAAACAGTCAACACTTGTGTATAGGTGCTGTAGTAGTACATGTACATGTACACACATGACGTGTACTGTACCGGTACATTGAATCATCCGACATAATGGACAGAGAAGAAGTTTGGGGAAAACTCTCATTGAAGATGGAGACTCATTTACTGCCGAAAATACATGCATTGGCCACAAAAAATCCGGCGTTTCAGATGTAAACAACTGGGTTTTTTCCCCCATCTTTTCTCCAAATTGGTGAGACATTACTAAGGCTTGTTTCCTTTCAACTAGACCTTTGAAATAGGATAAGTAAACAATCTAAAACATACATTTTTCTGCGATTTCAGGACGATAACTTTATGTATCCCTAAACACATTTGATATAAAATAAGGTTGGACATGTTGATCCACGCACAAGCTTTCCCTGGATGATGATTCTACTAAAATCAAAGCATTAGACCCTCAACCCCAATCACTCAAGTCAATGAGCGATTCGCCGCATGCGTTGTTTTTCAGAAAGTGCATCTGATAGATCGCGGGACATGTGAAAAATCCCCACGGTTTTGAAGCTCAAGTCACAAATAACTAAATGGTAATTTGACCTAGTGTGATTGGACACCAACTGTAATCAGCAGTTTGCCTGCAAGCAAAGCCCAAGAGCCTCAAGCCAAACAAAATGTAAATGTGGTAGGCCAAAATACAAAAACAAAAACAGGAAGGGAAAGAGGGGAAAAAAGGGAGTCACACTTCTGGCAAATTGAAGGAAGTTTCCATGGAAACAGCATCAGGGAAATCAAATTGGAGGTGCAAGTGTTAGTGAAAACTGCAGTTCCTGACAGAAAACACGGCATGTCCGTGTTGTTATGCATCTATCAATTGTATGACGCACACCATGACACCATGAACCCTGAGAATGGTGTGTCATTGTCAAACAGTGGGTCATCCTTTAGTGGTACCTATCTATACACCCCTAAATGTACGTCAGATTAGTGACGCACCAAATGGATAGTTTCGACGCTATTTGGCAACATTTTTGACCCACCTTTTTACAGATTGTGTTGCACCTACTGAGGAAAAGTGACGCACCCTATAAATTGTTTGACACACCAAATCATAACTTCACGCACTCCTGTGTCCTAGCCATGAAGAAAATGACACACTGTTAACACACCATGCTAGGGGGGGGGGGGGGGTGTCATGGGGTTTGTCTTAAAATTGACGTGTACGTGTACATACATGTATGTAGACAGATCCAAATGTAGTTGCTTTTGTTCACTCATACAAGAAACAGAAACTTAAAGATAATTTTCTTATAACATTTGAATAAATTTTTTGCTCTTGCAGGCATCAACAAAATAAAAGCAATTTTTTTTACTTTTTAACCATGTAATGAAACATGATTTAATCTAGGCTGAATCTAAATGTCAAGTTCTTCATGTGTCACATCTCACCGACAAGCATCGGGGGCATCAGCAGAAAGAATTTCATCACCGATACCATTAATCAAATAAAACGGACAAAATATTATTTATGTATGAATTAGCACAACACTTTACAGAGACTGCAAACAGGCGCAGTAAGATTTATGTCCAATTCTGCAGCAATTACGGTACCAGCTGCCATGCTCAATACTATCAACTCCTTGTGCAGTGGGAAAACAACTGGCCGGGTTCATCATTTTTCTCTTAACAACTTCAAATCCAAGAAAATCTAACATCGCGGTCTGATTTCATGGAGCTCCTTAAATTAGAAAAAAATTGTTCAGCAAACTATCCGCGCTTAGCAAAATCTGCGGAGAACCAGCCACAACCAATGTACATCGCATGCCACTTTCACTGGTAACCTGTTCTTCATAAGCAAATGTTTTATGTGCTTAGCATTTTATTCTGCATTTACCAGTAACAGTTCCCTAGTTTGAAGGACAAGGTATTTGAACTCTTAATGCTACACTTTGGGCAAGTTTGCAACAATGCCAAATGACGTTAAAAGGAGATGTCTAAGTTTGCTGTTTCTACACAACCACCGTTTTAAAGTTCTGTCCACGGATCACAAAGAAGGTGTGCGTTCTTTCAGCAAAACGAAACGATTCACACACATCCCTGTGTGATTTGTTTTTCATTTGCTGAAAGAACACTTACCTTCTGTTGATCCGTGAACTATAAAACTTAAAAAGTACACTTGTAAGTGATTTGAATGATTCTTGTACTAAAATAAAGCTCATGAATTGGGCTTTCATATCCTAGATTTTGGAAGTGCTACATGCAAAACTTCACTAAAACAATGGTCCCAACATTTGGGTTTCGTTTTTTTTTTTACTAACCCTGTACAGTACATGAGGAATATTGGTACAAGACAGAACAGTAATGACAATGACGTGCATTAAAAGGGGAAGGGGAAGGGATCAGGGGCAAGGAAGAGGAGGATGGAAAGTGTTAGTATTCAAGGCTCTAGGATGGTCGTGAGTATCCACACTTCACACTCAGGGAAAGGAGAATCAACGGCTATAGATGCCAATTACCAAAGATGTTGTCTTCATCTGGTCTGTTGTCCTCCTTGATCCGCCAGGGACTCCAGTCTGGGAGCCGACCAGAGGGTTCAGGGGGTAAAAGGTAGGGGGCTTGACATGTTAGTCTAAGTTTCGCAGTATTTTTATCCAAAAACTGGTTAATTTCAATGAACGGTTCATTTTTGGCCAGCAGTGTATTAAGCAGATAATTGGTGATTAAGAATATATTCATCTCAAACTGTGAATTTTAAACAAGGATTTCAAAAAGTGCACACTGCATAGACCAAGTTTGATCAATTGTTTACTGACTTTTGCCTTTTTTTTTTACACACATACCAGTAGATAGGGCGCAACAATAGGAAGGCACTCTTTGGTAGGGTAATCTTGGGTTTAGCACAAAAGCTTTAACAAAAACTAAAAAGTGCCCACCTACATGTATTGTGTCCACCATATCTTAAACAAGACTATTTGACAACTTTGCATTTACATGATGTGTAAACATGACATCGAAGAGAAACTACATGTTTGCACCTGAAAATATGCTGAATATGACACATGTGACCTGTCAATCTGTCACCACAAAACGAGCTAAAAAGTCAGACTTTTTAGGAATTGAGATACTTTTTAGGATTCTGCAGAGCAAGAGCTTTCCAATGGTATACATACGCAGTGTTCTAGCCAGGCATCAAATAGCGCTAGCACCCGCTACGCTTTCGGAAATAAGCGCTACGCTTAAATCGCGCCGCTACGCTACCGCTACGCTACCGCTACGCTACCGCTACGCTATAAATTTTGGTTGCGAAAAAAAAATATCTGCCGTTTGTTCGTATACAAGCGCAGCGACTTTGAGCATTGCGCACTGGCCGTACGACACAGCGAAAAATAAACAACGATCCCACCGCACGTACCCCGTACGATACCCCTACCGTGATGCTGCGCCACACGCATTCGCTATGAAAGCAATAAGCACGTGCTGTTTTGTGCTGCGTAGATACAGCGCTCCGTACGGACGTACGTGTCACCAACAGGTCACGTACAGAGCGCTCTATGGACCACACCATTTTGCGGTATCGGGTGTGCTTTCCTAAGGTCAATATTAATTACAAGCATTTCAACTTTTAAATTATAAATAATACTTTTTATCAAGTCCGAAACATGTTACTGTTTGAAAGTAAGTTCTTCAACGTCGGAATATAATTTTTGTAAAGGATTTATTCGAGAAACGATGTCCAAAGAAAGGTTAAGCACCCCTACGATATCAATGGATCCGTCCTCAAAGATGGCCGCACGTGAAGAATTCTTCTCGAAGAATGTCGCTGTCGAAAATTTGGATTTTTGACTACACTTCTCGTTGCTGATAATAACAGTTCAATAAGTTTGGTAGTAAAAACGGATCTGTTTGTTCCTAAGGACAAAACCAATCAGCAAGTATTGCAACAAAGCAAGTTTTTTAGCGCTCCACGAATGCGTAAGCTTTCTCAAATGCTGAGGGAAAATTTGGTCGCGTAGTTCGCCGGCGTAGCCGGTGTGTGGGCTGGCCCGCGCCCGCACGCCGGGCCGGCCGGGGCCGGCCGCGGCCGGGATAGGAAGCAATTCCCGGTGATTATTTCTCATCGTCATTATCTACAATTATATTTTTTAACATAACAAAAATGAGATTTCTCCTTCACATTGTGTTGTAGCATATTGAAACTGCAATTTCCGACGACTTTTTCTGTCTGAGACCTCCAAATTTGAAATGTTCATGCGATTTGTTCTCGCACTTCAAGTTAATATTGACAAAGTAAATCCCAATTTTTTTTATAAAACATTGAGGAACTACTAAAAATTGTTAAACATCAGAAAGCATCGATCTTGGAACAATTTATACATTGTAAACATAATCTAAAATTTCAAAACAGAAGAAACTTTACAGGAGCAAGAGTATCAATCATTGAAACAAATAAAACAAAATTTCTTATAATTTTAAACACTTCTGCTAAAAAAAAATTGGGGGAAAGTGGCAGGGAATCGCCTCAGATTGCACCAAAGAGCATCTAGAGTCCAAAATTTTCCCGGGCCCTTAAGCGGGCCCCGGACCCCACGCCGTAAGGGCTTCGCGCTACACGCTCGCATTAGTCGTCGAACCAAAATTACCCCTACGCTATAATTTCACCCTGACTAGAACACTGTACATACGGTACATGTACAACATTAAGGGGTACTGAGTCCAGTAGCGGAAATATAGACCACCAACTTACGGTACATTGTCTTGCAGTGGTAAAACCGATTCTTGAGAAGTGGCATTTAACCTTAACTCCCTCGCATAACTTACTAGGAACCATACCCATCCTGGCAAATTCCAACACCATATAGGAAACTGCACACACATATTTCTGACTTTGATTCTGGAGGTGTGCCAACCCAATGTAAGAGACAGTCAGTTTAGGGGTACTGTACCCATCCTTACAAATTCCAACAAAACATGCCGTTGGGGTTTGGTGGGTTTTGTTCTGTTAGGGTTAAACAATCTGAATGCACAGTCAACTCATGAAACAGGGATAAAATACGGAAGGTTTGAAAGATGTTTTGATAGAATAACAAGAAATGGAGAAAGGTAGAGCAGGACTCAGAGATTAAGGTTCAACTATGCATTAATCAAATAATGTTTTATCCCACTGTATTGAATTTATTGTATTTGTAATGTATTGTATTTGTATACATGTTTGTAGTCAGTATTTATTGTAAGGCCCCAATGGAAACCAGTTTTAAACTGTTTTGGCATACCGGTACCCTGGGTAAATAAATGTAATAAATAAACTGGAAACAAAAAAACAACCACCCCTTCAAATTTTTGCTTTGCCCCACTGTACTTTAAAATGACAATTCCAACTTTAAGCTCATTTTGTGATGACAGGTCACATACATGTATACATGTAAATTGATGTACATTGTAACCTCCCATAGGCTGTTCACTTTTCACATCTCACTAGCCAGAAAACACCCTTCTGCATGTTGTGGCCTACATGTAAATGCTAAATTAGATTGGTTCTAAAGCTACAAATGAATGCCAACACCTTTTAAAGGTCAAGTGGTAAGCTGCCTCAGAATTAAAAGACCAAGCATGACAAAAGAAGATGAAAATTTCTCTTTATTGAGACTGCCGGATAAGGTCAGGGCTTGTAGAAGCGACCTTGAACAGGTACGAATGATGGACCAAGACAGCAGATACACAATGGAAGGAGAAGTTGCCGACATGTATACATGTACAGTGTATGTCTGTATGCACAAGTATGTGTACATTAACACTCAATGGTGGACCTTGACCAATAGAGGACATTACATGTATGGTCTACAATTGGATGAAGGTCCACAATTGGAATCATGCACAAAACCAATGGAGGTTCTTCCCAAAAAGTGAAGTACATTTGTAAAAACAATGGGCTCCGTGCGCCAACAAAGAGGGCGCGTTTTTACCTCTTTTGAGAGCTCTGTGGACGGGACACACAGCGTGCGGGCACTGTGTACTGGTTCGGGTGCGAAGTACGCACGACTTCCTGAATGTGCAAAAGCTATTAGCCACTGCGCCTTCGCGTGAGCCTCAGGCGTCGTCGGCGCGCGAATACATTCAAATTCAACTTGCAATGGTCTCCGAGACTAATTCCCGCCTCCAATAACTTTGGATACATTTGAAATACGCAGTGGATGGATCGGGAACCAGTGTAGGTCACCCCCAACTCTCCTTTTCTGGCCGTTGATGGGGTACTTGTGCACGGATCCCATAGGACAATAGAAGCTCCACAACTTATTGTTTGCACAATTGCATGGGAGTATATAGTCTACATGTACGCCCTCATGAACGCTGCATATTATCTTTGTCAGCAACTGTATAAACATTTCTTACTTTTTTTTTTTCTTTTACTTATTAGTTGATTTCACATTCCAGAGGCAGATACATTCACATCTGTGTCCATCCACAGTATATTTCTGCCCCTGGCCAAATGTCACTTCCTATCTGCATCACATCAGGAGCCAAGTTTGACCCTCGGTTGGGGAAAGATCAGGATAGCTCACTTACATTAAGCCAGTTCGGTTTACAAAACTGCGCATGTTTAGTTTGTAAACCTCAAAATGTGACAATATTTTCGTACTGTATCTATATATATAAGAGAGAAGTTTACTCGCCCCCGAGACGATGTTTGCTCCTGAAAGGATCCGAGACCGCGGGCTCACGCGGCGCCAAAATCGCTCCACGTCTGTGGAAAAATGCGGAGGGTGTCTTCCGCCGGGTCGGACGCTTCGTGTCGTCCTAATTTTCCCGTACGGACCGGCAATCCGTTTCGTCGATTTTTCGTGACTGTGTTTTGCGCAGGAATTTGCCGTCGTGTGTGCTTTCACGTTGACTGCCTGGCCGCCCCCTGTCCTGGCTTTTCTGCGTGTCTAGACTGTGCGAGGTCAGCGGCTTCGACGTAGGGGTTCCGTTTACGTGTTCTACTCGGCCATTCTGCAAAAGCGTTCACCAAATTGTGGATGGGGTGACCTTGGTAAAATATTTTTTCTCCATGGTGCGTGGCCACCAAGTGCCCCTATTCTTTCATATGCTTCGCTTGCCGCCCCTGCGCCGAGTGCAACGAATACTCAGAAGGACTACACATTAAGTATGCCTTGCGCGGTCTGACCAATCGAAAGTCTACACTGCGTAGTATTTCCGGGCTATGCAAAACTGTCGATGGCAACGCATACTGCAGCCTGCTCCACACCCTGGAAACGAGGTTGGGTCTACGGTGCTCGCTATTTGAAGCGCAAGCATGTGACGTGATAGAGTGCTGTTGCTTCCATAATGTGTTTACAGCTCCATGCTTCCACCACCAAGGCTGAGCGTTGTGAGTTCGCTGCCCGCCACGTATGGAGGAAATTCAGTGTCGTGTTATAATTTCGGGGGCCTGTTTTGGGTCAACGAAGGATCGCCGCGGTTAGTCTCGGATCCTTTCAGAAGCAAACATTTCTCGGAGGCCGAGTAAAACTTGCTGTTATATATAGATGGTTGAACCAACTTGAATAAAAGTTGAATCGCAGACGGTCTCGCAAATTGTAAGAAGTTCAAGTTTACGTTTGTTGAAGCATGGAGGAATATTCCTTGGTTCTTGGTTGGTTCTTCTCCTAAATACTCCACGTGGGAGTTTATACATGGTTTATACATTCCTCCATGGTTGAAGAGTCCAATACTGTACTTGCTCTATGAATACTGAAACTTAATTATGACCTTCCTCCATGATTCAGACCGTTTGTAATTTTTTGGTAACACTCAACATTTTCATTTTAAATGACACCTTCACGTTTTATTGCATTATGATTTATTGTCAAACTGTACAACCAGCCTTCGCCTGTGTACTACAGTAACCTTTTCACTACGTTTTCCAAATGCGACTGCCTCACAAAAAGCCAATTTAACAGACCAACGGCAACATTTACAGACAGTTGCCATGGTACATAATTATCATGTGCGTAAATCGACGGGGGACAGGGACCCCCCCCCCCCCCACACACACACACATTTTGAGGGGGGACATTGTTTGGTCTCCCCCCCCCCCCCACACACACTTTTTCTTCCCCGAATAAAAATATTGTAGCCTACAATAATGATTCTATTGCTCGGAATACATGTAGCTGATTCAATTACTCAAAACTCAAAACTTTCACAGATGATCTTTTGCTCAAATTGGTTTTAGTGATCAGAAATTGCCTCAGATCACACCACAGAAATTGCTATTCTTTAACTGCATGTCTCACCAACTATATCCCCCATTTACATTTAACTCTCCACATTTTCATCCCCAACACTACGCCCTACCCGATCTATGATCGGGTAAACCAGCTTGTGTGGGATAAGTGCATTAGATGAATGTTTGTGGGGCAATTAAATCCAAACCTGCAATCTGCAGAACTTCATGTGCAACCAAAGAAGAGATCTTAGAGATAGTTGTAGTGTGCAAAAAAAATGTATGAAAATAATGCTGCCCAAAGTTTTCATAATTTTGTAAATATTTCAGAACAAAGCCTTTTCTTCAATTTCATTGGTACCCTCGATGATTTTGCACGCAGAGCTTTCAGAATTTACTCCAAGAGGACAATCATCAAATTGTAATTAGGCCAAATAAAAAAAACCACATGTTTAGCGTCCCCGCCCACTTTCTTTTTGGAGGCTGCCTCTTTTTCTTCTTCTTTTTTTTAACCAAAAAAAGGATACATTTTAACGGTGACATCATTGTGGCCTCTTTGTCTGTTGCATCTAGCCCATATAAAGCTGCTATGTCATTTCCTGAGTCCAAGTGGCGGCCATTTAAAAAAAAGCTGGCGGCCATCTTGAAAGAAGCCCGGTTGGGTGGCCATTTTGGAGGGGAAAAAAAAAGGGCCTCCTGCTTCCTTTTTTTCAAAAAGGCAGGACGCTAAACATATTTTTTTTATTTGGCCTTAGCACACACGGTAAAAATACCAAACTGGCACAATATCTTTGACTTCACACTTCAGTCAGGATAAACAGATTTAAAAAGTAACTCTACCTCTCTCGGTGGCTGGCGCACTCATGCTGCCTTGTTGCTCGTCACTGGGGCTCCCTCTTGAGCCCGGGTAGGCCGCGAGGGACTGGCGCTTCAATTTGTCAAGATGGATCTGACGATAAGAGCCGGCCATCCCGTAGTCTGGAGAGACAAGAATCAACAAATGTCAGACAGTGTAATGATCGGACGCGATGAGACGTATCCCTCAGTATCTAGTGTGACTGGTGAGGTACATGTAGCAATCTGACAGACTAAAGCCTGATGTGTGATGTACATGTAAATTTAATATCTCGAGGAGCACATGTCTATACCGGTACATGTTCACATACGTACATAATTTATGTACACAATTTACACCTGGGCAATTGCACACTAATGAGCCAAAAAGTGTGAAATTGGAGGAGACCTTGGAGTTTTAATAATAAAACTAAAGAACTTGGTCTTTCAATGTTTGCTGAAAACATTGCAAGCCTTAGTAAAAAACATCCTCACCTGCACATAATATAACTGGTTTTGTATTTAAGGAAATTTTAAGAAAGTTTTAAACTTTTTATTGTACTGCGCCTACGAGCAATTTTGTTTGGATATGGCTCTTTATAATGTTATTATTATTATTCTATTGATTTAAAAAGTGTTATGTTCGAATGGAGGACACACGTTTTGTAACAAGTCACATGGGAGGCATACATGTACAATTTAATGGTCCTTCAATGTTGTGTAATCATTTACAACAATGTACCCTGGAGGAATAGTATCAGTCAAAACCAAGAAAACTCAGAGTCCGTGTGAAGAATTATTTGATATTTTATAATCAGGATTTATGTGTATGAACAGACTGGACATCTGTCACACAAAGTCTGTCCCTGTTGGCACATACAATGGAACTCTAATCACATCTAGACTTTGTAGCCAGCACGAAAACCGCTATATTTTCATTTGATAGTAATGTAAAATGGGTTAATTAATGTCAATGAAAGTCCCTATTTACAAATGTATGTATACATGTATGTAGCCTTTTCCTTGCAGTGTGTCTGTCAATGTTTATGTACCTTCATATAACACAAAAGAGATACTCTTATTTTTTAGAATAAAAAAGACATCTTTTTTCTTTTCTTGGCCTCTAGTCATTTTCAACTTACATGTAGCAAGGTATAGGAAAATACTCACGAAAAAATAGTAGCTCATCTGTTACCATTTATACGTATGTATGCAACACCCATAAACTATGTAATTCATGCATTAGTATGGAATTGGCCACCTACCGGCATTATTGAAGACTGAGCTGTTTCCCCCCCCCCCAAAAAAATCTCATTTATTGCTTTTCATAACTACACACGTGTACATGTACATGTACATACACATTGCACTTTTCAAAGTTCAAGAGAAAAGATCATGGCAACCAAGTTATTTCTGGTGTATATCACTATAAACACAATTAAAGTATACATCAACTTTCTGTTTCAAATGTCTCATTATTTTCAAATTCAATTTCATACACAATACGTGTATACAGAACATAAAGAATATCCGTTCATACAATGAATTTTAGCATTTTTTTTGCATTTCTCGAGAACGGAACTGTCAAGTTATTAGGTTAGTTCCCTATCAACCAGACCTTTGAAATAGGATTAAGTGAACAAAACATAATATTTTCAGGGATTTCAGGCCACAATGCCCCCGCTTTAATTGGATGATTTTATTAACAACATGTGCATTTGTAATTTCACCTGTATTATCAGAGATCTACATTGTACATGTCCATTTATGTAACCAAAACTTCTCCATTAGAGAAATTGGCTTCGTTCTAATTGCCAGAAAACGAGACAATCCACTTTCATCCCCTGCCTATCCAACCCCTCTCCCATTATGATGAAAAGGCCCACATTGTAAACACACAGAATATTCCAAAAATGTAAGCTGTCTTGAGAAAATGACGAAAAAACGTATTTTTTTTCTTCAAATGCCACATTATTGTGGACTGCCACTTTACGCATTATGATTTGAGAATTTCCATGAGGATTAAATATTAGCCCAAATGAATATATTTCAATTTCAGTTATTACATCCTTTTGCCATTTATAATTTCAAGAATATCGACTGAAAAGGTGGAACTAAGTTTTATCTGGAAATTTGCAACAAAACATAATAACTAAGCTGTATGTACACAATGTACATGTATGTACAGTGTATGAAAAGATTTGAAAATATGCCTAGATTGTAAAAAGTTTCAATACACATCACTTGATTTCTAAGGACAGTTTTAAGGGCTTGCTACAATGTATATAGGGACATTACGTACTGGAATGTGCCCAATTGGGCTACACAACAACTTTTGAATGAAAAGTTAATTGGAAAGAGTATTTAAAAGTAGGATAAACATCCACACAACCATCCTTTGAAAACTGGGCGTTTCTGTGTTATTCTTGCGAGAACCATGTGAGAACGAATTTCAGGGGTCCAAATTTTGACTCTCCAAAATCCAGCTGTTGATTGCTACTGTAGTTGTCAATCCTGCCGCACAGTGTTTCTCATTCTACGGGCGTGCGAGAGACAACATTTTGTGTCTTGTTGCTGTGTGTATTATTTGACACACACACAATATGTACCGTACATTGAATGGACTGCCTGGAATTTATATGCCTATGCCAAAAAATGTCCGTTGGTCCGATGCATGTACATGTTCTTCTTTCATCTTTTCTCGAGAACGGTACTGTCAAGTTATTAGGTTAGTTTCCTTTCAACCAGACCTTTGAAATAGGATTAAGTGAACAAAACATAATATTTTCAGGGATTTCAGGCCACAATGCCCACGCTTTAATTGGATGATTTTATTAACAACATGTGCATTTGTAATTTCACCTGTATTATCAGAGCATAGCTGCCAACTTTTCAAAATCCCAATTAGTAATCAACCCGCGCGGTCATTTTCAACTGCTCGTTTTATCAAAAGCTTTACCAACATCGAGTACAGGTACATGGTTTACAATGTACATGTACACATACATGTGCATACCCTTCTTGTTGTGAATAATAATGTACTGTAGGCCAAAAGATAATTAAAAAAACAAACAAACAAACAATTCGTTTGTTGAAGTCAAATAAATAATAACAATAATAACGTGCGCATATTTTTTTTGAGATGCATGCTATCGATGTGGAGTTTCGAGTTTGCATCAATGTTTTTACACACAATGATTTAGGGCCACCGTATGCAATAGAAATATCCCGCCAACATACCTTGCAAACGCATGCTGATTTATCTTTTCTGGACGTTGTGACAAACTCAAACTCTATTACCAATGATTTCAACCATACTCTTATTAAATTCCATGATTAAAATCTCACACTGATGGGTCTCATCCCGGCAATAAGCAACCAAATGTGCTCACGATCGTCACTGAAAAGTACTCACATACAGTATACACAACCACACATCCACGAGATGCACACAAATGACACACCATTGAAAAATAGTTTTAGTCTGGTCCTCAAGTACTCCACTGCGCGCACTGCATTGATGCCTACCAGGTGCTTGACTGCATTCTTATTAGACTTGTCACCAGTCCATCCATTATCAAGACATTTCGCCAGAAGTTTTCGGTCAAAAACGATACTTTACAAGTATTTTTTTTTTTCGTTAGGTAGAAAATGGGATATTCCTAATGTTTTAGTGGCAAATCGTATTTTCGTAATTTAACAAACAATTCGTAATAATTACGAAAAATTAGTAACAGTTGGCAGCTATGTCAGAGATCCACAGTGTACTGTACATGTCCATTTATGAACCAAAACTTCTCCATTAGAGAAATTGGCTTCGTTCTAATGGCCAGAAAACGAGAAAATGCACTTTCAGGTTCTGCCTATCCAACCCCCTCTCCCATTATGATGAAAAGGCCCACATTGTAAATTAAAGGGAAAATACAACATTTGCAAACATCAAAAAATAAAACTACCAAATCATTTTGAATACCTTGCTGGACTGGTAGTGAATGACAGTGTAAAGCATCCTGTAAAATCATGGCACCTGGTATACTGTCATTTTCAAGAAAAGTGGTATTTTTGTATCAATTTCCAACGCTGATCGGCCGACCAGCGTTGGGAAAAACTGGCTTTTTTTCCAATACTGGCCCCAATTGACCATCGCACTTGTTTGCAATCGATTACACACCTATGAACGGGTACAAGCCAGCTAGACTAGTTCCCTGACCTTACAAATCCCCAATGTATGTAAACTGCTCTGTGTCTTCTTAAATGGAGTCAGGGAACCAGACTACAGGAAAATGATTGTTTTTCTTGGTTTTTATAGCATTTTTGAACCCAAAACCTCAAAAAAGTCAGTGTAACTATATTTGCTATATATTTCCAACCCCCCAATTCCATCCATTTCTGAAAATTACAGCAAAAGCAAATGATGTATATTCCCTTTAAGGATAATACTAGTTCTGGGTTGGAAAAAAAAGTAATTGAGCAAATTGCCCTGTCAATTTCTTTTCCAGAGAAATACTCAAGCGTATTTTGATTTGCATCATGTCATGAGATCCATTACAGGTATACCGGTAGATGAGATTTGAGGGTGCCTTTCGTAACACAAATTAATAATTGAGCTTTAGGATTTGGTCATAGAACCACCCTCCCTCTATTACACAAACTTTCATATTTTGACAAAAATGCAGTATGTAGAGTTCTTTTTTCTACAACCACAATGGAATTAGTTACTTCATACATGTAGAGATGCCAACATCTCTGTGCTTTAGAGAAACATGAAAAAGCTGTAGCATTGAGGTTTCTGCCTGAAATGACATCACACTTTTGCTCACAAATTTGCATTAGCAGGACAAAAGCAAGAAGGCACCAAAATGCCCTTAAAAAATGTCAAAATGAAAATTGAAAATTAGAGTTAAATGGGACACAAAGGTGAATTTACAAAGACAGCATTTACAAAATACATTTACATGTACATTATACATGAGCCCTTTAAGGTCATCGAATAGGCTTCATCTTCTGCATGTACATGTACTCAGATGTAATCTTATCAGTTTTGAGGGCAACTTGTACTTTTGTTGTTAGGGACTGAAATCATGTCAGTCATTGCCAGAGAAGAACCCAAAGTTTCCAGACAAAAATACCCAGATTTGGTTTGAGGAACCTACTTGTGTCAGGGGATGTATCTGTAGGTGCTAGCTGTAAGGTGAGAGGTCGACGCCGGTCCTGGGCCACGTCTTGTGTCTCCTCGGCTCCATCCCACGTGTTACGCGCTCGGATTGGTGGCGGCTTCTCTTCATCGCGCTTCTTCTATAAAGAAAGAAAATAAAAAAATGAAATGAGTTACGAAAAAAATTCAAAAATGAAAATTTTTGGTGATTATCAGTTGATGAGCCCAATGCTTTTACTGTATGGTTTGATATAGGGAGGGGGGACGACTACTTTTCTGTGTAGTCTGCAGGGGAAACCATGATTTTTCCATTCATAAGCAAGTTTCTGAAGCACATTTTTCTGAAGACAGTTTTTAGAGGCAGATGGCATTATTACTACTGCTACAAGGGCTCGCAGTGCAGGCCTCTCAGCATTCTACCAAAAAAATGTAGTTAAGTGGACTTTGATAAGACTTAACTTTTTTATGTTTGTCTGTCAGTCTGTACTTTGTTTACTTTAGGGTACATGTACCTTTCATGTTATTCTGTTTAATTAAACTGCTTGATTAATTGTTCAATTAACTAATAACACACTTAAAAGTCCCACAGGGAAGGTTTTTATATACTGTACACATTTGTTTCCTTTTTTTTGGCCAAATGTGGCAATTACAAGTTTGAGGTCTACAATTTCGGCGCAAAAAAATCCATGTAGCAAACACATATTTTTATTCAGCCTTCTGTGTGCATGAAAAACCGAACAAGAGTTGCCAAAAAACAACTGACTGTTTTATCCCATTCCAGAAAATGGTTTCTGATTTCACCAACAAGTACTCACAATATCCCAGTTCCAATTTACACCTATGTAAACTGTACATGTACAAATGTACCTCACTGAACAAAAGTGCCTGAACTTTGGTCAACACATCTCAAGAAAACAAGTAGGAAATCCCATGTTACCACACACACCACACATACTACACAGTACATCATGAACAACTGTGCACATACATAAATTACGTGACAAGTGTGTAAACAAGGGTAGGGTTGTTATGTTCACAGCCCTTGCCCATTGTTTAGGATGAGTAGGGTCCATGTTCTTATACTGCACCAGTGTACATGTACATGTCATTTTCATGTAATTGCCAATGATGTAACAATTTGTTCAGTAACATTTGAAAGGGGTTACCAAGTAACAAAGCACTTATTTGACCCACGAGTGTTTCCCTGACAATATACTGTATGTACTGTAAGTGTGAGTGCAGTAAATAATGTCAATAGTCACAATGTGTAGGTGTTTATGTACCGGTACATGTATGTAGTCACAAAAGGTGAGCATTTTCTTTCAGAATGTGTAACAAATGACAGGTTTCTGACACTTTACAGCCTACTTCTGTTTATAAACTTTAAAATCTGAACTACATTTTGTAAAACTACCCCTTTTCTACTAGGCTCTGCCAAGTTTCACGTACATTGTACATACACAATGTACGCACATGAGGCAATTCAAAGCAAACTGCAAGGGAAGCCCATGAGCAAATTTTGATTCCAAGTCATGTTCTGAGGAATTCCCACAAAAATTCCTTTTAACATGTTTAATACCTTGTAGTGCATTTGGCTGCCTCCAAGATGCCTGTGAAAATTTCCTCGAGTGTCTTGGCCCAGTGCATGTTAGAACTTTTTATATCAAAAGTAAAAGTTATCAACAAAGAATTATGTTGACAGTGTACAATATTTTTTTAAAATACACATGTACAATCCTTACAGGTACACAGTATGCGTTTTACATTTTGTTTCAGTTCATTTCTGGTAAATTTGTACATGTACCTGTATACATGTGAATTTGAAAATAAATATTCTCAAAAGTACTTTGCCACCGTACAGTTCCCAAGACTGAAGAGCTTGTGGATAAAAGTATTTTTATTTTTTTAATTTAGTATTTGGGAACCAAACCAGAGTCACACAAATGGAAGCAAAGGAAAGTTCAACAGTTCCAACTTGACTCCCCCCCCCCCCCCCCCCCACCCACACACACACACACACACGCAGAGAATGAATTAAAATGCCAACTCCCAGGCCGTATACAGTACTTTCCAATGGAAATCAATTCGGTATTCACCTTGCCTTGCAAGTCCCTTCATTGACACCCCCCTCCCTCCTCCCTCCCTAATGTAAGAATGAAAATGCTGTACACGTACAAGTGTGCAAGTTACCGGCGCAGTCCGAGACTAATCTGTATTGATTTGTATTGTGTCGGAAGTGGAACCGGACTATTCAACGCTGCTACTGACTGTTTGGGCTGAAACTACAATTTGATCAAACAGCTTCGATCAGTAAGCCTTTACAAGAATATTCTATTCACTAAAACTAGACTAAAAGCATCTTAGTGAATGACTGAATCATTTTACCCCAGAAACTTTTGGAAGCCTGGATGACAGAAACTGTATACAAATGTACTTCAATTGTTCTTTGTGTATAAAAAAAAATACCTAAGTGCTTCCCCCATGTAGCATTTTAATTTTTTAGACAACAAATTTGATCTGCCAAGCCGTTTGATTCATCCTGATAAAAACCCTGCAAAGGTTTTACTTGACTCTGCAGAAGCACAGTTCAAGGCCTCGATTCATGAACAAATGTTCAGTCTACATTTTAATGTATATTGCCAAATGGAACTGGGATAATGACATGTCGTGCATCTGTGTCCCATTTGTCAACAGACCGATGGCAGAGTGGAAAAGAGCACAGATGCACTCAAAACATCTTTCCCTCTTCCATGTTTTGTCTGGTATAAAACCTGATGATAGGAGGCCTAATTTTCAGACAGTCTGTCTTTCTTCAGGTAGCAGTAATTTCCTCGCCTCCCACCACTGTGACCCGGGTTCAAATCCCAACCCGGTTTTTCCCAGAATATTTTTCTGGGCTTTTCCTCCCACCTCAAAAACTGTATTTTTTTCTCATTGTCTTCTCTCTACAGGTTTCTTCAGGCTTGTGAGCTACAGTGCCTAAGACGCTTTTGAGGAATTCTTGGTTTCATTACCAGAAATCAATAATAATAATAATAATATTAATAATAATTAATGACGTGCATGTATAACTAACACTTTTAGAATCGTACAACATTCATAGAAATATGTGGATAAAAGCAACTTCTACTTAAACAGAAAGAAGACAGAACATCTACATCTTCATGGTGCAGTCTTAAGGCCAAAAGCAACTACAAACTGTAAATGCTGTGTTTCCGGTAACATTGCCAAAACAAATTTAGGACAACTTTATTACAAGTACATGTACATTGTACATGTACATGTAGGCCTACAAGTTTGTATTTGGGAGATTTTTCTCACAAAAAATCCTATGTACATGCAAATGTATGGTACAAACTTAAAAAAAAAAAATCTGCTGACCCTACATGTACGTTCACCAAGCACAGCATTGGTTTTTTTTTGGGGGGGGGGGGGGGGTTTAACCTAACTTCACTTTGACGAAGGATTCACAGTATGCAGTTTCTACATATTTACAAAGTGAGTGAGTTATTTTCAAGTGATACCAACAGTGCATGATGGCTTTCAATAGTCCATACATGTAGATCTTGAACTGATTGACCCACACATTGGAGTGGATTCCAGCCCTTGTCTGCACGGACTACCCCACTTGAGTACCACTGGAGCCATACAGTTATCGCTGTCCTTTCTCTTTGCATCAAAACATGCTGTATCCTAGTGATCAGCAACAGATACATTGCTACACTCTGCAGGTCCAAAGGGTGCATTAACTTAGGCTCTATCCTGGACAAAAATGGCTCAAAGCTATTGTGAACATTTGAAATAGTGCTGCAACTGATCCTCTTAAGTTCGGTTCGGTTCGGTTGCGGTTCAATTTTTTTTTCTCCGGACTTCGTTTGGGTTCGGCTTCGGAAGTGCATACATAATGTACATGTACAAACATGTCCATGATACAATGTTTTGGGCTACAGGCCGTTCCCCTGTTGGAACAAACATGTACCGCGCACGTCTGACAGAAATAGGCATCGCAATTTCCACATGCTATACAACACAAGTTGAAGGATGAATCTTATTTTGTTGTGTAAACAAAATACCGTTATAATTTGACTTGATTGCGTTGAGAAATGAACATCGTACATGTAAATTGCTACCGTGTTACCGATCGCAGCCCTAACAAATACTTCCGAACCGACATTTGGGTTCGGTTCGGGTTCGGTTCGGAAGGCCTAGTTCGGCTATTTTTAGATCAGTTTGGCGGTTCGGCTGCAGCACAACTTTGCAACTTACAAAATATACAAGGTTTGGGACAATACTAGAAAAACTTCCCTCACACAATCTGAGAAACAAATCTCCATGCACAAATTTCAAGTTAAAGGTACAAATGTATAGGCCCTACTGTAATGTACAACATTTGCATTTTTTAATTTATTTTATACCAATATTGTTACACTGACTGTTCACAGATGCTGGAAAATCCAAGAAAAAAAAAGAGTTGTTTTTGTAGTCTGGTTATCTAACCCTACTGCAGACGAAACAGAGAAATTTATAGATGTCATGGAATTGTCAGGCAAGGGAACCAGACTAGCTGGCTTGCAACCGTTCATGGATGTGTAACTGATTGCAAACAAAATTTGGTAAATGTTGGGTAGTAGGCCTATTTGAAAAAAAAAGTCAGTTTTTTTCAAACGGTGTTTGGCCGAACATCGTTGGACAATGATACAAAAATGCCACCTTTTTTAAAATGACAGCACACCAGGTGCCATGATTTCACAGGATGCTTGGGACTATTAAGTTACTTACAGTCAAGTAAGGTACCGGGTATTCCATTTAAATAATTTGTAGCTAGTTGTTTTTTTTTATGTTTGCACATGATGTTATATAAATTTAATACCTTTAACCCTTTAGAACACTCCATCCTTCTAACACCGCGTTCCCACTTGAATTGGGAAAAGGTGGATCAAGATCCAGCATTTTGGTGTGATCGTTATCTTACCGCAACGAAACCGCAAGTCGCGTTTCCACTTATGCTTGATCCACCTTTTCGTACGGAAATGTTGGGTCCGAAAGGTCACTGAGTTCGGAATTACGCGCGCTCTGTGGGAGTGCCATTGTTGCATGGTTGCATGCTAGGCCAGGATGGGTCAGTTTTCAAATAGCACTATCAGAATTCACCGACAAAAATTACGCGAATTCACCAACATAAATCACGGATCCGTAGAGGATCCTACGTGCATAAATTAACAGGCATGACAGGTGAAATCCAACAGAACCGCTCATTGTGTGACATCACGGCAGAAACCAATGCATCGATAAGGGATTCCCTGGTTCTGAAGCTTCTCATTGGTTAGAAACGGTCACAAGATGTACTACGACATCAATTTCCAATTTTCTATAATCAATACTTCAGATTTGTCACCTCCGTACGTACCGCGTTATCCGCACTATTCTCATCGCATACTCGTAAGCTTTTCCATGATACTGTGCCAAAGTGAAGTCTTTAGGTGAGTGCAGACTCAGAGTCATTTATGGATGGAAAAATAAGTAAAATTTCAGGAATGAAACAGGTTTAGTAATGGACGAACACGCAACAAAAATAAGGCCTATATAGTGTAGTTTAGGATACCACGTGCGCTTTTGCATGCGCGGTGCTAGCCCGTAGTTCAGCGGTTGTTTATTGTGCATGTTGTATACGCTGGAAATGTTCACATGAGCTACACGCCTGTAAACGTGTTTCTTCGTCCATGAGACCGCAACATTTTCGCGCCACTCGTGCACCGGGCGGATGTTAACAGGTCAAATTGCCGGATCAGATCCACCTTTTGCGTTCCCATCTGATCGTGATCCGGCAATTGCCGGATCTGATCCACCAATTGGGGGATCTGTATCCTGGTCCAGAGGTGGATCAGAAAAGGTGGATCTGATCCTGATCCACCTTATAACGGTTAGCGTTCCCACTACACACAATTGCCGGATCTGATCCACCAATTGGGGATCTGATCCGGCAATTTGGCAAAAGGTGGATCAGATCCCCCAATTGGTGGATCAAGTGGGAACGGGGTCCAAATCCTCCAGGTTTTGAAAGACATTATATGATTTGGAAAGGTGTACATATACAAAAGCCCTGCTCTTTGAAAGCTTTAGTGCAAAGAACGTGGAATTGGGTTTCTGTGCAGTAGTGGATTTGTGAAGAATAAAGGTCGGTTCATACTTCATGCGAAGCGAATTTGACGTCACAAAGCATTTGCTGCGAAACTCGCCGGAGTTGAAATGGGTTCAACTTTTGCAAATTCGCAGTGAAAAACTTGCCCTGGAGTCACAAATTCGCATTTGCGTTCGCTTTCGCGTCAACTATCAACCGGCCTTAAGGAAGGTTCTTAGTAAAAATGTACCAAGTGTTGATGTTTTATGCAATTTTTTTTCAATCTTTCAGAGGTTAATTCACTGCACAACTTGAAGTTGAGAGTGTGGCCATGGCCATCGCTGCAGAACGTGACTGCACCAATATATCCCTTCCCCACCTTCATGTATTTTGCAATTGTTCCAGCGCAAAAAAAAAATATCGATTCGGTTCGGCTCCCGCTCCCCTCCAAGGTCAACTCTGTATCAATTTTGTTGGCCGTTGCCATGGTTACCTCTGCAGCATGCGTGCGGGTTGCAACTTCCAATATTACACGCATACCTGAGCGGAGGCATATGCCTACTGCACTTATTCATCATGGCAATTTGTACAATATTTCATACATGTACATCACCAAGTTAGATTCCTAAATATGTAATAAACGCATGCAAATATCGATTCATAAATCATCATCCCTCTATCATAGTGCATGAAGTAGGCCATGCGAACATGATACGTGTTAAAGAAAGAGACCGTGAAATGTGTAACATTAAAGCATAATATCGTAACGTCCACGGCTCTTAACTAAAAAAAAAATTAAGGAACACCGTTTTGGAATTTGTTTTTAGTCTGTCACACACTAAATGTATTACAATGTCAATGTCATGTACAAAATGTATGCTCACACCCAAGGGTGTTGTTGCAATTAAGTCAACTACATGTATGCACTATTTGTACATTATACATGTACAAGGAAATCTACATTCAAATTGTCTTGGTTTTTACGGCGAATTGGTAACAATGCTGCAGAAATACATTTATGAAAATATAACTTTCTATAAAAATTAACCATAACCTTCCCAAAATCCTCCAAAATTTTCTTTGCAAAATGGAGGAGTTTGCAGTAGTGTGGTTATGGCAAAAGTGTATGGCTGATTTGGGAGTATACAAGCACTTTGTCAAGGTCTTGGGCTGGAACTTGTGTTGTTTATGCTCAGCCGTGCATACATTTTGGCCTCTGTGCATCTTTTGACCAGCAAGGGCTGCTGGAGGTGGCGTGTGTAAAATTTGATTGGCAAGTTTTGAATATTTGAATACATGTATTCGGTGGGGTGCAGTTTCGAATAATCGAATACTAAATTATTGGAAAAAGGACAGCCCTACTTAGCACTCTGCATGCAGTATAGCTCTTTCAATCCTTTGTAAATTGAGAGTACTTTGCTTTGACAGTGTGAAGTGTTCACACAACATGCCTGTGGGTGTACTTGAACTACATGTAAGATGAAATGATGATAAGATATTGGGTTTCATAAAATCCCATACATGTGTCATGTACACTTACATATGGAGGGCTGAAGTACATTAATAAGGCCTACACTTGGACTAATGGTTACGGTGTTTGACTCATGCCTAGTGGTAGCCCCATACATGTAAATGTGGCCAATTTACTGGACTACCTCCGTTAATAGACGCCACACTTCGAACATCTACATGTACCCAAAAATGTAGAACTTTGTCAAGTTTTTATATTCATATTTAGACATTGTTTGTAGTTTATTTATGCTTTAGAAGTGCACTCATTCTCTTTAATTTTAAAGCGATAGAAAATGAATCCCCCCTTTTTCAGATGTCTATTTTTCATGTAATTTCGTGTTGGAATTTAGGTGTACGTTAAGGCCAAAAAAAAAAATAGTTCTGCTTCCGATTACATGGCATTTGAAAATAGGGTAGGTAGGTAGGTAGGGAAATAATTTGTTTGTGTGTACGATCATATGGAGGTGTCTGCGTGAAATCAAGGGTAAAAGGTAGAAATTGATAGTTTTGGGTGTTTTTTTCTCATTTTCCAATAAAAAAAAATAGGGTACAGGCTGTCAGAAAAGGGTAGGTAGGAAAACCGGAAGCAAAACTATGAATTTTTTTGGCCTAACGCATACAGAATGAACCTGGAAATTACACGCAATATACATGTAGACGTCTGAAAAAGAGGGGATTAATTTTCTATCGCTTTAAAGAGGGTGAGTGTGCTTCTAAGGCATAAATAAACTACAAAGTTTAAATGTGAAAATCAAAACTTGACAAAGTTCTACATTTTCGGGTACATGTTCCAAGTGTGGCCTTCATTTACGGAGGTAGTCCAGTACATTTAAATTGGCCACATTTATGGGGCTAGCGTAGTGGTACGTGGTACTTAATGTACATGTACGTGGGTTCAAACCCTGACAGGGAACATGGTGCTTGTGTTCTTGGGCAAGACACTTTACTACAATTTCCTCTCTCCACCAAGGAGTATAAATGGGTACCAGTGAGGATAGAGACCACACTGTACTGAACTCAGGCTGCTGCAGAAAAAAAATAAAGATCTCATTGCCTGATGAACAGGGGTAATAATTTTGGAGCATTGGACAAAATCCAAGACTATGCAAGTAGAACAATGATCCTTTTTTTTTTTTTTTTTTTTTTTTTTTTAGGAACCTTGCAAATTTTGGTGTTTTTTTGTTGTTGTTTCCTTGTTATTTATTTTTGGCACGTTTTGGCCTTTTAATCTCATTAAATAGCATACTGGGTAAGGAAAGTTTTAAACATTGATTGCGATGGTATGTTGATTGAAAAAATAATTTTTGCAGGCAGTTCATATTCAAGGTAACTTCGTGAACCTCAAATGTATCACTGCTGTGCTTCTACGCTTTTGTAAATTGAACAGGTTTGAAAACATTTTTAAAATTATGCTATACCTCAGTCAAAGGAAGATTGCGTGAACGTAGGTCCTTTTTTTATACAGTTGTTTTCCTAAATCCGGATTTTTCCTAGTTCCTGATCGCTTGAAATGTCTTTGCACTCATGTGTGCCTGTCTAGTTTTTATGATCTATTTAAATCAATTAAACGTTCTCTGATACAAAAACTTGAAGTCAATTTTTAAAACTTGAAATTAGAAAATTGTCAAACAAGGATGATTGATTGCTCAGGACCTTCATCTTTGCCTCCTTAAGACATTCTTGAACATTTCATTGGCTGAAGAGTAAATAAGCTAGCCTGGCATTTTTTGCATATTTTTCTGAAAACAATGTCTCAGTCTCCTGTTCACCACATGTACATTAAGGATGTGACTTTGCGTAAATTGGAAACGTTTATCAAACATTTTCATAACCGTTTAAAGGTTTAGCCATTTCGTAAAGGAGTACATGTATAAGGTTTCTGGTCTTAATAAACTAATACTTTTTCATCCTTAGAAATTTCTTTCCACACAAACAAGTATTTATAAAAAACCTCCTTTTTTAATTTGAAGAAAAATTACAGATCTTTTTTATATTTGTAGTCCATTTTACTAAAGTAATACCTACCTGCGTTGGAGCACTGCTGATAACATGTGTCCTACTGACACTGTTTGCAGGCGGCATATTCTCCTCTTGCTCAAATGGCAAATCAGTCTCGTCCTCCCAAGGTAGTTTGCCCCGCCCCTTCCCTGCACTGAAGTATCTCTTGGGTGGTGAGGTTTCTTGATTGCCTCCCTGTCCAGGGATGGCACGCGTCGGCGAGGGTTGTGATAGCTCTAGACTCCTAGGATCTACGTGACTTCGCTCCCTGGCACTACCTGTGGTAGTACTCCCAGTTCCTTTCATTATCCATTGAATGTCATTATCTTTGGATACGCCAGGATTGGTTCTGCTTGTTGCTGATGTAGGGACAGCAGTTGCGTATTCTACTAGGCCATCATCATTCAGTCTGGGTAAACGGCGGCGGGCAAGTCTTGCCTGCACCGCTTTCATCACACCCTCTTCATCCATGTGGAGTTCTATTTGGTCAACGGCATGGATGAGCGGTTGTATTCTGCTTGGTCCCATGGCCTGAGCGAGCACTGCGAATGATTCCAAGGCAGCCTGTCGGACCCGACGCTTGGCATCCCCGAGCGTGGGAGCCAGCATCTGGCACAGCTTTGCAAGGTCAAAGTCGTAGCTTGGGAAAGTCAGCAGCGAGGCAATGATGATATTCAGTGCTTCCTCGCGCACGCCTGACTTGCGATGTTTGAGACTGTCACCGATGGCGCTAACCACCGATCGCGGGGTCAGCACGTGCATCAACTGCATGAGGACTTTCATATTGGCCTGCCGGATGACCACTTTGTTGTCACCAAATCGTTTTGTGAGTGCAGCAATTAGCGGTTTCAGAAACTGTTTGATGCCCGTGTTGAGCTTGGTGACCAACACGCCGTAGATTTCCAAGGTCAAGAGGGTCACTTTGAAATTGACATCATCGAGAAGATTGCAGAGAAAGCTTATGAAAGCCAGCATGTGTGGCACAATACGTGAAGCATCATCTAATGAAGAAATTATGGTCTTCAGTTCTTGTACCCCATTCGCTCTTGTTTTCCACTGTGTCTGATCCAATAATTGGTCCATCACGTGCTTTGGTATGACCCCAAATTCATATCGCTCTCCGTTTTCAGTTTCCCCTTGTCTTCTTGAATTTGATCCAAACTTTGGTTCCTTGCTATGGCTGGGACTGGATTCATCCGGTGTAGGTCTGTGTATTTCAGAGTTTCCTGGTCTAACGGCACTAACTACACGTTGGTTGTATGCATTTCTATCCCGTGAAGGCAGCTGCTGAATGTAGGAATCAAACTGCTGTTTACCAACTAAGGTTCTTATTCTTTCCAGTGAAATTCCAGCAGTGTCAATCAGAGTTTCGTCATTATCTTCGCAAAATTTCTTGGCCAGTGCATGAGTGACGCTCGACAGATCTACTGAGGCAAACTCCCGAGTTAACAGCACAGGCAACTGAATCGTCGCTTCCATGCGAACTTTGGGGTCTCTACTCTGTAATCCGTGGGTGACAAGAAAGGTGAAAATTTGTTGCACATTGGTCGTGTGTTTCATGTGAACGTGCAGTGTCTGAATGACTGCTTTTCGAATTGCGACTCTGCTGTCCCCCAGATTGGCCACAATTTGTGGTAATACGATGGCCATACAGGAGTCCAGCTCTGGGCCAAACTGGGGGATTAGTTCACAAATGAACTGGGTGCATTTCAAACGGACTTCCCAGTTCTGGTCCAATAACACAAGTGTCAGTCCCCGGAAAAGTGCATGCCGATTATCGAAGGGCAACCTGCCTCCATCTCGGCGAACTTTCTGGGTGAGATCATCCAAAATGAAAGCCCTCTGTTCAGCATATCCATCGTCTTCTAGCTGAGTAAGAATGTCATCTTCATCCATTCTTTGCGACGCTGACCGTTCAGGATGCTCGCTGTGCTCCCGTTCCCCTTCCCTTTTTTTCACGGATTGGAGGTCAACATGACTAAAATTGTGTACAGGCCGCTTGGCAACCGTTCCAGCCATTCAAGCGAGACCCGATATAAACGGCGTATTTGCACTGTCGATACAGCGAAAATAAAATCCCTTTTTCACTCACAACCCACGGAATGAGTACTTCATATCTCACATGACGAACTTCCGAGACAACTAAGAAAATCAGCCAGATTTTGTCTTCAAACCGAGGGGATTTTGCGCCGAGTTCCCAGTCCGCGAAATCCACTTATTAGCAAGATGGCCGCACGCACTATGTATTGTGTATTGTGATCACGTGACCTATGAAGTCGATTGATCATTGGTTCCCATATCAGCGATCTCTAAAACGCTTGAGTGATAGCGAACGTGAGCGACGTGAACCATGCCGGTGCGTGAAAGAAAAATAATAGTCTTGTGCAAAATAATATTATTTGTGCTGAGAGTGATGACGAAAAAAGCTCATGATTTTAATTTTATCTGAGAATTATTTTAATTTATTCTTAGAATCGCCCCCTTTGAACACGGAAACGCAACTTAACCACGATTGGAATGAAGTAAAAAAAAGAAGTCAAACCCACGTCTATTTACTCATTACTTGGAAACGGTACTCAGACCAAAAAAAATGTGAATCAATTAACAATCAACACTGTAAAGGGAAAGATTATTAAGATGATTTCAAAACGTAAAGATAAGCCTATGTTGTCAAATAACCTGCATTTAAAAACGAATTATGAACGCCAAGAGGATAAGACTGTTATTATTTGATTACAAATTGCTTTCTTGAAAGGTTGGATTTTAAACTTTTGGTTTCAAATATTGTTAAAAAGAAAATGATTGGACTCCACGATTACACGAACATTCAAACAGGTTCGATATGTGAGGACTAACAACAGAGAACATTTCGTATTCAACAAAATTGCCACCAATTATTCAACGAGATCGTGACCGACTGTTCCAAAGCACCAAACTTGGTATTCGTATAGCCATAGAGAATATATTTAGAAGGAGGGGTGACACCTGAAATTCTTTTGGGAAAGGGACCTAATTTGCATAAATCGTTAATACCTTTCATGTAATATATTTGTTCTCATATTTGGGTATATTATTTATTATTATTTTTTTGACGAGTATATTTTGGTGATTCTACTTACACATTCCATACTCCAATAACATTTTCTAAAGCATATAGGCCTAAGTGACTGAATGGCTTCCATTATACCCTGAGTTGCGCTCATATCCCTTGTCTCCAGATAATAATAAATAATAAGCAAAGATTTATATAGCGCCCAATCCATCGAAAAAACAATGCTCCAGGGCGCTTACAAAGTAACATATAAAAAATCCCTTTAAACACAAAGTAATTATTAGAATTAACAAGAAAAATGTAAAAATCAGATATCATCAAATAGTCTTGCCAAACCTCAGTATTGATGAGCTCCAAATTCACCTATGCTCTGGCATAGTAACCCCGTTCAAACTTTATTGGAAAATAATGTGGAAAATGATTACATTTTTATATTTAGCCCAGAAAGCAAAAAACTTAGGGAAAACAAGGTGTGTGTAAATTGGGCTAAAAAGTAGGTGAAGTGTTGCCTTATGTTTGAGACTTGAACAAGTTCAAGGAAATTCCAAAAATTATTGGTAAGAAAACGTTTAGACGTAAACATAATTATTGTTAACAACAAGCCTGTTATTTCAGGGGATTTCCTTAAAGGTCCCCCACATTAGGCTACCGTTCGCCTAATTTTTTAGCCCCATTTACGGACACCTCATTCATCCCCCTTTTTGGTTTTTGGGGACTAAATATCAAGATGTTGTCATTTTGCACATGATTTCCCATTTACTTTTGTTAGGGTAACTGTGCCAGTAAGTAACTTTGTGAATTTGAAGCTCATCAGTACTGCGGTTTGGAAAGACTACTTGATGACAGCTGAGGAAAAGGTGAATACGCGCAACTTTAGGTTATATTTCTGTAATTGCAGCCATTTTGGATCTTTATTATGTCCTCGTATCCATCCAGTCTTTGATATGCTTTAGAAAACGTCATTTAAGTTAGGATATGCAAGTAGAATCCCAAATATATACTTAAAAAAAGTATACCCAAATGTGGGAATACATATTACCCGACAGGTATTAACGATTTATGCAAATTAGGTACCCTTCCCAAAATAATTTCAGGTGTCACCCCTTCTAACTTCTTCTCTAGGACTATACGAATCTATCTGCCCAGTGCTTTGGACCAGTCGGTCACCTGACTCCTTCGACTTTTGATATGTAGTAGTTGCGTGCTTCCCTTCCTTTTTTTTTTTTTTTTTTTTTAATTCCCATTTTAACGGCCCTCAAAATACTGTAATACCAGATAATTTAAAGGCATACAAATCGTGATTTGGCCCGCGTTGGCAATTGAGGACCTTTTTACGGGTCTGCACCCGTACCCGGTACCCCGGGCCCGCACCCGGTACCGTCTTGGCCTTGGACAAGCCAAAAATTAAGCCTGCATAAAAGGCGCCCTCATTTTGTTCAAAGCGGACGATCACGGTCGAACGAGATAGGTGGCGCTATTCAGAATTAACGACAAGTTTGGCCGACGGACCGTACGCGCGCGACTGTGTTTGGTTTTAGAAAGGATCAAAATCTAATAAAGGCCAAACTTGGAAAAAACTTAACTTTCTAACAGTTTAAATAACCAAACTATGTAAATAAATTTAAAATGTTTCGGTTGACGTTACAGCTCGCTACCCATGACATCGATTACTGGCCTACTTCAATTTATGTCTTGTACTTAAATTTCCCCTATTAATTAAGTGGCTTAGATCCAATTTTTGACAAGATCGTGACCGACTGGTCCAAAGCACCAAACTTGGCGGATAGATTCTTAATATAGCCCTAAAAGAAGATTTTTAGAAGGAGTGAAAACTGAAATGCTTTTGAGAGGGGTTCTTTATTTGCATAGACCTATATCGTAATAGCTGCCGTGTAATACGTTAATTCCCACTTTGAGTGATTCTACTTACGCATCCTTTCTTTAGTAACATATGAAGCATACAAGTGACTGGATATTTATGATGAGGACACATGAAAGATTCAAAATGGCTGCCATTATACCGTAAAGTTACACGTATTGATCGTTTCACTATATCATCAAGTAGTCTTGCCAAATAAACCTCAGTATTGATGATCTTCAAATCAAACTTTCTTACTGCTACATACCTATAATAATAATAATCCAATGTGGAAAATCATGTGAACAATGATAACATCATGATATTAAGCCCAGAAAAAAGGGTGAAAATGAGGTGTCCGTAAATTGGGCTACAATTAGGCGAATGGTTGCCTAACGTGGGGGACTTGAACAGGTTCATAGAAATCCTAAAATTTACCCGTAAAAATAATTATTCAGGTACTCATTGATATAGTACTCATACATATAATTATTATAAACGACCATAATTTCTTATTTTGGGGGAACTTCCCAAGTTCAAAGTCATCTCCAAAAATTAAATTTGTTCAGTTCCTCAGCAGGCGCGTAGCCATTGTTTTGTTTGCCCGTTACAAAGTATGATTGTGCAATTTATCATAATGTTCTTTTACCGTCCCAATGTTGCTTCTATCAGCGTCCCCATTTGCTTTTAAAATCTCCATCTTGTTACAATTTGCCACTCTGCACCGTACCCCAACCCTCCAGCTATGCAACTGGGGGGGGGGGGGGACAGAATTACCTGGAGGGGGACAGAATTAACGGGCCGGGGAGGACACTTTTACCCAGGTGATTCTGTCCCCCGGACAGTTTTACCGGGGGACAGAATTACCTTCCACACCTGCAACATGCAGATAAATTATTTCAAATTTATAACAATCACAATTTAACATTGTCATGGGCGAATGGAAAGCAGGACGTCGCAAACTGGTACATTGTGCGCCCCCCCCCCCCCAAAAAAAACCCACACACAACCTCAACCAAAAACGAATCATTCACAGCTCATTATTTTTACACGCGGTGGCGTAGCCGGTTGCGAAGACGGCCACAGCTTTTGCTTAATGGACATCACATTACACTAGGGGGCGCTCTTCAGGATATAGATGTATATCTACATGTATATTCGCGCTTACATCAAAACAGCATTTTAAAAGCTTTTGTGCTTTGTTTTTTTCCACTTTTCAATGCTATTGAATACATTTGGGTTGTTGGGATGTTCGAAAAATACCTCACAATTCGCTTTTTGTTTTTCCCATTACGTAAAAGTGGGGGCATGATTCAACAGCCCATCCCCCTGGGCTAAAGTGTGTGTGTGTGTGTGTGTGGGGGGGGGGGGGGGGGGGCAGTGGCGTAGCCACGGGGGGGGGGGGCGTGTCGCCTTGTCGCCCCCCCCAGTCGCCCCCAACTGAGATTTTGAGTTTCTAAAAAAATTATCATTGATCTACATGACGCCCCCCCCCCCCCCCCCCCAATGAAATGTTCCAGCCCCCCCCCCCCCCGCCCCCCCAGCTTGATGCTTGATGATCTCGATGGCTTCTCTGATGCGTCGGGGGTACCAGCGGTCGATGCTAGTGAGTAGTTCTGCTTGGCTCCAGTTAATCGGGTGGTCCTCTGTGTGGGAGTGTTTGACGATGGAAGATTTTTTTTAAAATCTCCATTCCTGCCATGGGCTTTGTGTTCATTAAGTCTGGTGGGTCTTGAGTCTTGTAAGCATTGAGCACCATTTTGTATGGGATGGCACAAAAGCGTAAATTTAAGCTGCGGTTTGCCTCAGAATTTGCTTTTTAAAATATTCGTATTACCACCACCTTCGTGTATGAAAGAGGCATTTTATTAAGTCTCTGTTAGCGTTTGGTTATCGTGTATTTTCAACAATCCAATGCTATCTGTTTGGAAAAATTAATAATTACTCTTTATTTTTGCAACGTTGACCTTCCATAGTTACACAACAGTACCAACAGTAGGAATATCACGTTTATTGCATTGAAGCAAAGTTACTTAATACATCCAAAAAACTAAAGATAACTTTCTCACGGGTGCTTGGCCAAATACAAGCTTCGGCTTTCTGCCAGCCTCCGCCATTCATGCACGTTTGTTCATTTCAAGTGTTCATTATTATTATTATTATTATGGATGTATGCATGGGAAATAAATCAAATCAAATCAAATAAAAGAACTGTAATTTTCAAATATGAACATGTCAATTTAGGTCGATAAAACCTTGGCTTCGCGTCTAAGATAGTTATAGCGCCCCCGTGCGTTCAGAACTATGATCTGTTTGCCTTGTCGTAATCGTAGAGGGCAGCCATTTCATCCTTGCTTCAAGGTAATCAGCATTAATGCTTAATGACACATTAAGGGTGCAACAGAGCAATAAAATTCCCATAGACTCTAGTGCTAAATGCCCATACTTCAAAATTCTTTTACAAATACTCTGAACTCCCACAGGTATTTTAGCTGCACAGTAAAATTATGATCAACATGCCATCTTTCATTTTCTTTTCATTTTTTGGTGGGTTAGCCATTGACTGTTCGAGGAATTCTCACTCAAAGAAGATGACCCCTATTTTTCCCGAAGTGGAAAAGTAGCCATATTGAAAAAGGATCCCTCCACAACATGGCAAAATAGTGCCACTTTTGAGCCCAATTACCTCCAAAATGCTCAGAATTGGAAGCCCCAGAAGTCCGGGTCGGATGTTCATTGCCATACATCTCTTCAATTCCCCAATTTTATGGCTCTCAGAACTCTCTAATATAGAATATTTTCAGGGTATAACTTTTATTCATGAGCTCGGCGGATGGGTTTAAGCCTATTTACCGGTGTCTACCCTTTATGCTCTATGCCGCGGTTGTCATGGCAACACAGACGCGCGTTCAAGACAGTATTTTTTCAAGGACTTTATTGTTTTATTCAAGGGAAGGTCTTGTAGGACAAACGCATCAAACGATCACACGTCACGATCGCCGTTATCGCTCTACTTACTACATATAAAGTATCATACACCAGTGTCGGCATCAGATCTTACCATACCAGGCCAATTTGCAACAGTTTCATATAGGAAATAGTTTATCTTGTCTTAAAGAAGATATACAATCAATTTTGATCTTGCTTGTAAGATTTACGTTTACTTAGTTTGACGTCGAGGATGTCTGTAGTTCCTATTCTGATGATGGGTCTGGTTGTTGCCTTCTGTATGGCGTGGCGGGCTGCCGCGTCCCAGCAAGGCGGCTCTCTGGCTCTTCGGAGCGCGCACCAGTATTTCTACGGCTCAGGGAACCAGGTCCTGCTCGGTGAAGGCTACCGTAACCTCACGGGGGCTTCGAAGATGCACTGCAGCAAGGAGTGCCTGTCGGACGATCGCTGCTTCTCGTTCAACTACTGGAACGGGAACGTGAGCCGGTGCGAGCTGAACGGGGCTTCAGCCACGCGTTTCCCGCTGGCTGTGAGAGGATGGACTGGTTCCTACTATTGTGGGCCAGAAAAGGTAAGAAATGAATGCAATAACACACTTCCCTCTTACATTCCCTCGACACATTCTCTCCCCCCCCAAAAAAGCTCTGTTCGTCAGAGTTTCTCCGTTGCATTTCGTTTAATACACAACATTAACGTAATCTGCCTGGTCAAGTTTTTTTATACGACGCATCTTCAGTGACTGATCATCATGGATAGCAAGAGGTTTTTTTCACGATTGTGAACAAACACGACGAGATTTGAACGCAGCTTAGGATTTATATACGTATCAAATTTAAAAGAAGCATGACTGTGAATCTATCCAATAGATCGTTTGCACTGCATCCATAATGCAACTCCCCGAACAAAGTACACACAAAGGAAATGGGTCAACTCGTACCCGAGTTAACTCGTACCCGAGTCAACTCGTACCCCAAAATTGACACCCAAGTCAAGTCGTACCCGAGTTAGGTCGTACCCGAGTCAAGTCGTACCCCGGTCTAATCGTACCCGAGTCAAGTCGTACCCGAGTTGACTCGTACCCGAGTCAACTCGTACCCGCAGCTCAAATAGTTGCCTATTTTCGAAAAGAAAATCAGTGAAACCATGTGTTTATAGCTCCATGGAGAAAATACTACACAAATTTTAAAATAACACATCTGATGATCTGGATGAAAAGTGAAATTTACCGTTTATCAGTGAGGGCTCCGTCGACTCGCGAGTACCACACTGATGCCGTTTTGAAAATGTTCTCCGCGCGGTACCCGTCCGTTCGCGATGAAGCCCTTGCCGATGAATGGTACATTTTCCCTTTTCATCCAGATTGTGATCAACATTTTATACCACCGCCTTCAACTAATCCTTGAACTTTATTTGTATTTCTGGCGGCGTTACTACTATTTCTCAGTTGCCGTTTTTGAGGGTAAAATCGGAAGTTTTGTTAACCATCCATCCGTACTTCGAAACTAAAAAAGGAGGGGAGTACGAGTTGACCTGGGTGCGAGTTGACCCGGGTACGAGTTGACTCGGGTACGAGTTAACCTGGGTACGAGTTAACCTGGGTACGAGTTGACTTGGGTACGAGTTGACTCGGGTACGAGTTGACTCGAGTACGAGTTGACTCGGGTACGAGTTAACTCGGGTACGAGTTGACCCAAAATCCACACAAACCCCAGATAGTTGTGTTGAAAATCACCAGCGGGATACTACATTGTTTGGTATGAATTTACTGCCTCTGGTTGGCTGGCCTAGGCCAAGTGCAGAATCACTGAGCACAAAATGATAATGGGCGAACATTTTGACAGACCTAAGTAAAGTCGGAATGACGTCACGATTTGTTTACATGTGCGCTTTCCTATGGGAGCTTGGTAGATCTCGTTCCCTCAGGAGGCCAAATTTCATGGCTCTGCTTACCGTAAGCGCAAAATCCCTGCTTACTGTATATAGCAGACAATTCCGTGCTTACGGTAAGCGTATCATCACGGGTTGGCGAGGAATTTTGGCTGCTGCGCATGCATACATTCCGTAACTAAGAATTATTGTGCAAGATTAGCACAGAATTTGTCTGCGCTGTTGGTGTTCATAAGCGCCGAATTTTGTGGTTAGCAGAGCCATAAAAATGGGCCCAGCGGGAAAGCGCACATGTAAACATCATCAAACCAGAATAGGGGCCACCAACAACAGTTCACACAACAGCAATGTAGAATTCTATCGTACCAGCACAGCTTTTGGAATGCCCTACCAGCCACCGTGGTTTAACAGTCACTGGAGATTTTCCGGACTAGCTTGAAACCACTCACTCTCCGCTAGTTATGCCACAAGGGCATCTTTTCTACTTGCACCGAGTTCTTAATTGGTTTACTGCACTTTTCGTTGATATTTGTTCCAGCGACCGAGCACCTTTTTCACCCAAGTACGAGTATACTCCACTATGGAGGAATGATGTACTTACCGGGTGAAGAAGAAAGGGTGACGTCATTATGACTTAGGTCTATTGTTTGGAACCAGTTGTTGCGCCCGTAGGTTGGTTACCACAATTGCACAGGGGCTAACTAATGCTGTCAACTACGTGCAACAGCTAAATAATGTTCATGGTCCTGTGTTTGTGTTGCTCTTATTACAGCCACTTGATGTTATGAGGCTCCAGTTACTTGTTAAAGGAGACAAGGGTAAGAAAACCTTCATTGTAGGCATACGTTATTCTTCTTTACCGATACAAGTTGCCCGAATTGTGAACACTGGGTTTGCTTTCCACCTAGTCTGGTTCCCAGACCGAAAAAAGTCTTACTATTCTGACATTTGTTAGGTCATGTATATTGGCGTATCCAGCGGCGGGGGAAGGGGGGATAATGGGGGTATTTACCCCCTCCCCAATATTTTGTAAAGGCTGCCATTTTCCATTCAAATTCCTTTTTTTTAACCTGCGCCCCGCCCCCCTTTACTTGGTAAGGATTGCCCTTCTTTTGTTAAGTGCCTTTTTTTCTGAACAAGTGCCCTATTTTGTGCCATCGGCCGTTACGGGTGCTTTTTTGAATAATTTCGGGGGTAGGGAGGGGGAAGGGGGCTGGTACCATTTGCCGATGGTGGCGCTCTTCAAAACTGAACCGGCGATTATGCACACTGGGGGGGGGGGGATTTAAGCCTCTCCCCCTCCCCCCCCCCCAAAAAAATAAACAAACCAAACAAAAATGTGTAAAGTCGGGCCCTTTGTGTGCCAACTGCCATTACGATTGCCTTTTGTTAATTTTGCGTCCTGAAAAGTGCCATACAGGGTGGTTAAAAAAAAAAGGCCACACCCACTTTTGACAGCAATTTTGACCTACTTAATGAACTTATTTTAAATATTTTTTTCCCATAGTAGTCAAGTATAGGCCTTTAACCGTGCATGGTGAAAAAAAGCTTAGTAAAAGTCGCAAAAATAGTGATATTATGCTAATTTGAATACAAGTCGCCAAAATCAGTCTTGTCCACGGGTTATTCTATGTAAGTTTGACGTTTTCGTAGTTCATAAAAATTAAAAAAAAACATTCGCACCAAAATATATTTGCCCTGGTAACTTTTATTGAAGCTGTCCAATTATTCATACCAGTGTTAAGATCATCTACTCAATGAGCTGTCGGCTTAAGTTCATTGTTGCATAACATTACATAACATAATCAAATGTCATGCCCTTTCAAATAAAGCTCCCATAGCTGAGCTCAGTCAAGCGAATGAAATTTACATCCGTGGACAAACAGGTTTTGCACATGAAATGTTCAAATTAGCATAGCTCAACCACAAAATGTGCAAATGCAACGATTTTTTCGTCACATTTGCTTAAAAGCCAGTACTTCAATAGCTACTAATCGACAGTTAAAAATAATTTTTAAATATAGGTGAAAATTGCTGTCAAATGTGGGTGTCCTTTTTTTGAACCACCCTGTATTGTCCGTCAGTGTGCATAATCGTCGGGTTGAGCAGCGCCCCCATCAGCAAACTGTACAAGCCCCCCCCCCCCCCCCCCCCCACACACACACACTATTTGATTTTACGGAGGCCAAGTGTCCGGGGAACAAAATACGTGTCTACATTTCAACACGGATGTGCAAGTGCAAGAAATGTTTAACCCCCAATAAAAAATAACCTTGCTACGCCCCTGAGAGTAGCCAAGAGGGTTTTTTTTCTGGTCACCCTGCCACAGTTAATTCAAAAACAAAAACTGGGGCTGGGAAGGGCCAAGGGTGGATATTATCTGACTAATGATGGCCATGTTCAAAGTAACGCCAGTCCTTACGGCATATTTTTCCGACAGACACATATCTTCATATTACCAACATACCGGTTTTGAAGTGCTTGCGCTTTCCTTTTTTTGTAAACAAATTCACTGGGGGCAATTTTCGTCCCCCTGTTACCTCTTTCCCTCCCCCTATTACAATTTAAATGTTTAGGTAAACAGTTTTTAATGTGCAATTTATGGCTCACTTCGAAGAGATTTTGTAAAATCACCGACGATTTAGAAAAACTGATCCCTGCAGAATTTCGATTTGTTTTAATTGCTTAAATCTGCACGCATATGGAAAATTAGAAAGAGTGCGCTTTTTATTTTTTTCACATCTCATACTCAAATAAGTTATTGAGTTTTCCATAAACAAACAACTTTTTGGATTTTTTTTTTTTAGGACTACCTGGTTTGACTGACCGCACCTATGACACGCAGGCATCGGCCTCTGCCGACTGCCAAACGGCCGACCAGCATCTCTGTGAGTTGTGGGAAGTGGACCGAGCCTACGCGGGTAGGTACGCCGAAATACTACCGGCAGACACCGATATCTGGTACGCTGTGCCGGACAGCCAGGCGTTGGTGAACGGGAGCGAAGTCACTCAACACGGCCTGCCGATGACAACCTCTTCCCCTGGCATCTGTTGCCTCGGGTCGCAGCTCAGCCCCCAAGACCCCTTCATCACCAGTGAGTACTACAGTCTCCAGGATGTCGCCGGGCAAGCACGGGGCTGCTCCGCACTGGCCTCTCACCCGTGCACGCTACCAGAGTTGAAGGCTGCTTACCTCAGAGGTTACCGGCAACCCACTAGCTCCGCTTGGCCCTATTTTGCGGTACGTAACCGCGATGTGCATCTGTTCAGTGACGGATGCGGCGATTATGCGGACGGCCCTGGGTGTTACGAAGGTGTCGTGGCACTCACTCCCAGGCCAAGGGGTTCTTCTCCAGTGTTCTGTTGTCCAAATCTTTACCAGTAGCGTATCCAGGGTTTTTCGGGTCGGGGAGGAGGGGGAGGGGGAAGCGAAAAGTGGGTATTACTTTTCGGAAAAGGCAGGAGGGGGTATCCTGGATCCGCCGTTGGACGCAAACCCCGATATTTCGTTCGTAAAAAGCGGGGATGAGAAGGGGGATGATAGTGCACTATAACGGTTCCAATGTGCTTATTTGTGCAGGCATACATGTGAATTGTTTTCGTTTTGCTAAAAGAACACATGTTTTGCGATCCGTGGACAGAACTTTAAAACGGTGTTTGTGTTTAAAATTCCGTAACTTGAAAAGTACAGTAGTGATTTGAATGATTGTTGTACTGAGAGAAAGCTTATGAATTGGACTTTCATATCCTAGATTTCGAAAGTGCTACATGCAGAACTTCACTTAAAAAATGGTCCCGACATTTCGGTTTCGATTTTTTTTTTTACTCACCCTGTAGCAGGCTAATACCTTACTCATATATTAACTGCTGGAGTGGTTAAGACGAGCCAACAGGTAATTCGCTTAACCTGACTATACCCACGGTCGATTTGGGCTGATGATGCCCACTCTAGCGATAATCATGCTCAATTACTGTTAATCACAAAACAAAGGGTACATCAGGTTTTCCTTTACGACTGAATACTCGCATAGGCGTAGCAAGGTCATGTTTATTGGGGAGGGAGTAATAAATTCTTGATAAGGGCACAATACAGGATGTTTTTTCAGGGAGGCACACGCGTGAATTTCCCAAAAAGGAACTCCATACAGCCGCTAGTTACAAAAAGGCAATCCCTTTTTTGGAAAAAAGGACAAGTCTTGTTAAAGGGCACTCTTTAAAAACATTTGGGGGCGGTGGGTACACTTGCAAACAACGGGCACTTGAATGGAAACGGGCAGTCTTTACAATTTTTGTGAAACTTGAAATTAGGCCAGGGAGAGCAGCTTAAAATCGAGAAAACGGGGTAAGATATCAGCGAAGTATTCAATGCATTAAAATGATATTTTAAAAATACCTGATTTTCTGTACGCCGGAGGACAATGCTTTGTGTTTCCCTTTGTCCCTGTATATAATATAACACTCTCCCATAGAATAAGCACATAACTGTACGATCGAGGACCGTTTTCAACAAAAGACCCAACGCCCGAGGACTGAAAGGATCTTTTGTTCTCCCTTTGCGTGTCTGGGCCCAATTTCACGGGGCGCTGCTTAAAGCTATAGTCCATCATTTGTAATTAGTGCATTTTGTTCGTTTGAAGCAACAAAAGTGTTCAAAATCTAATGAAGGATACTGAGCAACTAACCTGATGAAGTTTCAGCTAAGCTTCAGCTGTACATTCCGAGAAAAGCAGCATTCTAAGATCTCAATTTCAAATCAAAAGTTACTGAATCATGTTTTGAATTGTTTTGAATTGCAGCTATACGCAGCGTCGCGCACTGATCCGACGAATTATAACAACCGCGCGCGCGTGTGCGTCGTTCCAATACTTGTGCGCGCTGCGCTGAATAACAAAACGAACTACTAATTTAAATTGTCCTACGGTGCTTCTTAAAGCCAGAGTCCATCATTTGCAGCCATCCGAAAAGTAACTGGCGTAATTATTGTTGAAAAACAAACTTGGTTGAAAGATAGTAAGGGAACTAAACTCCCTGTGAAATTATTCTTTCTGGAAAGCTGTCATTTTGAAGTAATCAACGAAAGAAGGCATTTCCAACGGTGATTCTTAAGAAGCACCGTAGGGAAATTTAAATTAGTAGTTAGTTTTGTTATTTAGCGCAGCGCGCACAAGTATTGGAACGACGCACACGCGCGCGGTTGCTATAATTCGTCGGATCAGTGTGCGACGTCGCGTATAGCTGCAATTCAAAACAATTCAAAACATGATTCAGTAACTTTTGATTTGAAATTGAGATCTTAGAATGCTGTTTTTCTCGGAATGTACAGCTGAAGCTTAGCTGAAACTTCATCAGGTTAGTTGCTCAGTATTCTTCATTAGATTTTGAACTCTTTTGTTGCTTCAAACGAACAAAATGCACAAATTACAAATGATGGACTGTAGCTTTAAGAATCACCGTTGGAAATGCCTTCTTTCGTTGATTACTTCAAAATGACAGCTTCCCAGAAAGAATAATTTCACAGGGAGTTCCCTTACTATCTTTCAACCAAGTTTGTTTTTCAACAGTAATTACGCCAGTTACTTTTCGGATGGCTGCAAATGATGGACTATAGCTTTAACAGTTAGCAGAAAAGTTGTGTTTAGCATAGCAGAAAAATATGCTAACCTTAAGCACTATTTCACGGCGTGGACGTGCTAACGGTCGCGCGTGCATGGAGATTTCTATTGCTACGTCACTAAGTTAAGCAAATTTTTCCTCTGAAGTAAGCGTGCCTTCAGTTGCTGTGCTTATGCTTACAGTCTCCATGAAATAGACGAAGGCTCTGTTAGCAGCCAATCGTGTGCTTAGCAGCGCCGTGAAATTGGGCCCTGTCCTCTGTATAATCGTAAAGCCATACATGATGTACACATTGTGTTGTCTGTGTGTCCTTTAAATATTTATCTTCTACTGGGTGTTTTCATTGTGCAATTCATCTTTTATGTATAGAGCAAGTGCACGGTCGAAGCAAACAAAATTGACAACTCGTCCCGTTATCTTCTTTACCGATGGTCATTATGTATTAGGGGTCAAGTTTAAAACCCAAACTCATCTATAATTTGGGTCATTTAACAAGGCACTTTAAAGATTAACGACGCGTTCAAAGATAATATATTAGAGGTTAATAATCGACCTGAGAAGGTTAAATAATAAAAGGTGTGCATTAGCAGTCTTCGTTATGGCGCTTAATAGATGTTCACGGCTCACTACACTTCCTTAATTTAAACTGCCTGTCATTTTACAGGCGCCAAGGGCGTATCAAAGACTTTTCTAGACATAGGAAATAACTCTTCTTTTCTTCATTATTCACCTTTTTTTCACAACTTGTTTCACCTCTGTGTGTTTTTATGTCGATAAGGGGACATTATGATCTGTTTTTAAGGGGTGGGATTACCCATCCATCTGTCATTAAAAAGTGGACATATAATCCCCGAGAATTACATCCTTTTGCACTAGATAATAAGTTTCCAAGGAATATTTAATACTTTGCGAATCATGTTATAAAAATATATACGTGTATTCACGGCAGTGCAGTGTATTAAAGTTCATTCTGTTAATTCGCATTCTACTGAATAAAAATTTTCTTTAAAGATATAGTCAATCAATTGTAATTTGTGCATTTTGTTCGTTTGAAGCAACAAAAGTGTTCAAAATCTAATGAAGGATACTGAACAACTAACCTGATGAAGTTTCAGCTCAGCTTCAGCTGTATATTCCGAGAAAAACAGCATTCTAGGATCTCAATTTCAAATCAAAAGTTGCCGAATCATGTTTTGAATTGTTTTGAATTGCAGCTATGCGCGATGTCGCGCACTGATCCGACAAATTATTGAAACCGCGCGCGCCTGTGCGTCGTGCCAATGCTCGCGCGCGCTGCGCCGAATAACAAAACGAACTACTAATTTAAATTTTCCTACGGTGCGTCTTAAGACGCACCGTTGGAAAGGCCTTCTTTCGTTGATTACTTCAAAATGATAGCTTGCCAGAAAGATTAATTTCACAGGGAGTTTAGTCCACTTACTATCTTTCAACCAAGTATGTTTTTCAACAATAATACGCCAGTTACTTTTTCGGATGGCTGCAAATGATGGACTATAGCTTTAAAGGAAAAAAAACACAATTAGCCCTTCGTTTTTATTTAATTTCACACTCTCCCCCTTTTTTTCTTCAAATGTTCAAGTTCGAAAAAATCGTGGATTTTGTCCACCATCGACCCAGTTCATGTACATTAAGATTTTGGTTATGAAGTCACAGGTACAGGTCTAAGGTCCTACTCCTTTGCTGTAATAGTTATTATTTACTTAACCAGATGAATGAATACGACTGTTTTTACATCGACGCTGTAGTCTGTTCATACCCTTTCCCTCTACGTGCTGGTGAGCTATTAATTAAAAAGACAAAGGGAAATGGATCGATCATAAGCGTCAAATGAGGTTCCTGTCCCCCTCCCCCCCCCCTCCCCCCGGGCCGGTCGGCTGGTCGATACCTCACTTGTTGCCCCTCAAAAAAGGGGAGGGGAATTTGGAACTCAAAGTGCCTATTTTATTCCAAAAACAATGAATTTTAAAAATGCATGGGTAACCTTCAAAGTCAGAGGATGATTAACCTCGAAGGGTTAAATAATAAATAGTGTGCATTAGCAGAACTACGTTATAGTGCTTAATAGAAGTTCACGCCTCACTACATCCTTCATTAACTGCCTGCAGACTTTTACAGACGCCAAAGGGCTATCGAAGACTGTTTCTGGATCATCATTTTCTACCGAAGGAAGACGTATATGCGCGGGCAGCGAATTATTTTTGCCCCCAAACAACACCGTATGGATGGTTGTTAAGCGCCCTCTACGATACTTTTATTATACGAGAGCAGGAATTAAGATTTGCTGCCGATACTCGAGCTCTGTCAGCTCTTCGAGGCTCAGCTGGATGGTAGCACCAGTATCACACCCGGCAGAAGGGACACTGGAGCCCTGTTAGCGGTTCATGCTATTGTTTTCAAGAAAGTTAGGTTTCGGATTGCTTTTTCCCTTCAATTAAAAAGATCAAGAAGAAAAACAGTAGATGAAAATGGACATGATTCGAACCTAGGTCTTTCGAACAGAAACTCATCCTACTAACGACTAGGCTGTTGTAGCAACCTGTCGACATCCGTTCTTAAAATTACTTTAATGTAGCTAGTCAACTTAGTAATTATGCTGTGACGTCATTGTTCTGTCCTCATGAATAAACATAATACTCCCGAGGTTACTGATAAAAAAATGGCCCTTCTCCGGGTGTGATACTGGCACTACCCAGCTGGATAATGGCATGGGTTTGAGATCGGAGGGCGTGAGTTCGATTCAACATTTTTGTGAATAGACCCAAGACCTAATGCCGTTTAAATGTGCGCTTTCCTATGAGAGCTACAATCCCGGCCAAAATGGTTGGGACACTTCCTGAGCCTGCCACGGTCACCCACTCCCCCGCTCCCCTGGTCAATGTTGTTCTCTCCAGCTGATGGAGCACACACCGCACAATGAGAGACAACATTGAGTGGGGGCCGGGGGGTTGGGGGCCCAGCGAGATGTGGCCGGGATTGTAGGTGGGACACGCCATAGGAAAGCGCAAAGCGAAACGTCATTATGTCTTAGGTCTGTTGGGACAGGGGGACTTGTGATGGACTTGCAGGCACTTTTAATGGACTTGAATACATCCCTGGCACAGACAAATCTGAAACTGGCACAATGCAGTCCGCCATTACATGAGGCCACTGTGGCTGTGCGACTGTATTGGTGTATAAAGTGGGCAGACCCCTTATAAATTAACAACATTATAATGTCCACAATAACACACCTTCGCAATGATGATGACTCGTGCACAAGTGTGAAACTGAGGCGGGATATCTACAGCTTTTTATTATTTTTTAGTATTTTTTTCCAATACGAGTATACATACATCGAACCCTTTATAGGATTTGTTCAGGGATACAATACGAGATACAAGCACTTCTACTTAGAATTACAAGCCAACTGAAAATAATGCCATATTCTCCCATTGATGCGATAACGAGATACTATGTGCATGGAGCTATAAACACAGCTCCATGCTATGTGGCAAGCAGCATGAATGTCGCATCAGATTTTGGAATTTAACTCATTCAATAAAACTGAATTAATGTTACTCAATTTCTTAAACCAACATATTCCATAGGATGTACACAATGGAACTTTAACCACAGACAGTGGAATAAACCACATCAGGTTGATTGTTATACCCGTTCATGCAGACATTCCATAGCTAAATAGCATCCACCACGCAAGCTGTCTTCAACAATATAAAATCTGATGTGGTTTCTCAATATGTGAAACTAAAAGGGTTTGAATGGAGGACACGATCAATGAATTGGGAGGTTTGTGGTAACACCATGTGAATGATATTTCTTTGTGATTTGTGAGGTTCTGAATAGAACCAGTTGGTTTAACTCAACGTTTCGGACAGTCTGTTCGTCAACAGGCGACACCTGATGAAGAACACAGCATACTGTTCGAAACGTCGAGTATAAACCAACTGGTTCTTTTCAGAACCACACAATTCACAAAGAGATATCACTCACATGGTGGTACCGTAAACCTCCCAACTCATTGCTCAATATTTGTTTTATGCAAGTCCAATAAATAATAAATAGGGAAAAAATACATACAAAGATGTCCGCCCAAAATAATCACAAGAACGGGAGAATCTATAAGAAGTGATACCGAAGTAAATGTCTTGACATTCGTCTTATCTTTCACACCTTTTTTTGGCGGAATTTGGCGCCACCTATACATTTTACTCCAAGATGATGATAACCAAGTTTATCACTGGCATTATTTTCAGTTGACTGCCGTTTGAATTCATGATATTGCAACTTTCCGCGCGCTAAAATGTACACATTTTGTTAGTCTCGTCTGGTATAATAAAACATGTATAGCAGATACCATTCTGCAACACAAAGTGACCCACTATAGAGTTTTGAATAGTTGAAAAGTGCATGCGTTAAAAAAAAACATTTATAGAAGTGGTTATTATTAACAATATCTTAAGAAGCATTTTACTGCATAAATTGGTGACATATGTCACAGTTATACGATATAGGTTTCGTGAGCTCCTGTTGTTGACAAAAAATCACGACCCAAGAAAGTAAACAAGAACATTTACAGATATTTATATAGAAGATTAACATAGCATGAGGAATAATACACAGGCAGATAAAACAATTTTTTGGCACACACACATAAAAAACACAGAACAAAAACTTGCTTTATGTCATAAAGCTTTACAATATAATTTTCCGTTACACCATAAATAGATGCACAAAAATATATAACATACTTAAAACGATCGAAATACGAGGAAGACAATTAGGGAGCCACTTAGGACATGGCAACGTGTTGATGAACACTGGGCATTTAGCAAGCAATCGAACGGTGCTTAATGACTGCATGAACTACACGGGCAAAAGCGCTAAAGACTGTAGGTTTTCATATACTGTCCAAGTGTCATCAATATTTCGGTCCACTTTTACAGTGAATGCAGTACAAAAAAAACCAGTCTTGGAAGCATTGAGAATTGAATAACAAACCTGTACAATTTTAGACTCTTCTCGTGTCTTCGGAATTTCATTGGCCAATGCCCACGCACCAAGTGAAGCATAATTATAATCGCAGTACGTCCACAAAGTAAAAAAAAAAAGCGCCAAATACTGCCTGTGAGGGAGACCACAGCCACAAGAAAGCGCATGCGCTGATTTATACACAACAACACTTTAAACAATATCTAGTATAAGTTCGTAATACTTTTTAAAAGTTAATAATTATATGCGTACTGTTTCACAGATCCAAAATGCGGCATGGTGTTCTCCGCCAGTCCCGTTCGCGCAAAATAGTCCATAATTGCAAAAAGTTCCGTAACACGGTAGAATGTCCTGGCTATGACAGTATGCATAGAATATACAGCAGTTGCCACAATAAAGGTTTATGCATGGCTAAGGATAGGGCTAACTCCAAATATTACGGTATGGGCAGCAGTGCTTGGTATAGTCTGATGCAGCTGAAACGGTTAGTCTCCTCCTCCTGTCGTTGATACGGCTGATAAAATTGAGAACTTAAACTTTTGAAGACGTATATTATAATCCATAAAGTCATTCTATTTACAGCTGCCAAGGCGGTGGTTCTCTTCACGCTAGTCAGTGTATTTGTTCGCTACGGGGTTGATGCTGTCCTAGGTGTTATTCCTTCAAAATCAAGAACGCAAAAGAAAAAAAATGAAACGGTTAATTTTATAAAGAGAGGCAAGTGACTAAGTTGACTTGTGATTCGGCTTGAGATTTGACCTTTGATTGACTTGTGATTGATTGTGATGGTCCTGTGATTGACTCGTAATTGACTCATAATTGGCGTTTATGACTACTGATTGACTTGTGATGACTTTTGAATGACTTATGACTTGCTAGTGACTGACTTGTGATTATTGTTATTGCCCTGTCTGTGATGTGCTTGCGATTGACTTGTACGTGTCTTGTCAATGACTACTGATTGACTTGTGATGACTTTTGAATGACTTACGACATGCTAGTGATTGACTTGTGATGATTGTTATTGACCTGTCCGTGATGTGCTTTTGATTGACTCGTATGCGTCTGTCAATGACTACCGTTGACTTGTGATAACTTTTAAAGTGATTGACCTGTGATGATTGTTATTGACCTGTCTGTGATTTGCTTGCGATTGACTTGTATTTGATTTGTCAATGACACTACTGATGACTTATGATTGATTGTGATTGTCCTGTGCTTGACTCGTAATTGAGTCATAATTGTCCTGAATGACTACTGATTGACTTGTGATGACTTTTGAATGACTTATGACTTGCTAGTGATCGACCTGTGATGATTGTTACTGGTTTGTCTGTCTGCGAGTTGCTTGTGATTGACTTGTCTGTGACAGGCTTCTGATTGTCTTGTGATTGACGTGTGGCTCAACTACAAATTAAGTTAGTCTAGGGGTTTGTAAGTTAAGTGGAGAACTGACCTCAGCCAGACATTTGTACTGGAGATCGGAGAAGAAGACCATCTCTTGTGAGAAGCAGAAAAGACCGATACGTCCGCCTTGTAACGTGAAGTCATAGAGGGCGCCAGAGTCTGCTAGCACCTTGCTGCCCTCGTACATGGTAACTCTATCAACGAGAGGAGTAAAAAAAAAAAAAGAATTACATTTTTTTCTGCTGGGAAATTAGCTTTCTATTCATACGAAAAAGCGTAAAATGAAACTAAATTTGGTGAAGAAAGTTTGTTGTTGAAGGTACACTGTCTGTTTTGGGGGCTTGGCACTGAAAAACGAAATATATATTGATTTGTTTAGCCTTCTCACAGTGGAATTCAAGGGGAAAAATCGGTTCGCGGCAACTTACTGCTTAAATATTTTATAAGTAACCGATTCATTTCGAAGTAGGATATATAATTATTCAAGGTTTTTTGAAGATCAAAGAGGTGGCAATTGGAGGGTGTTTTTTAGTCAAATAAATTTGAAATGTATATGTATTAGCACACATGATACGTGAAAGATTTTTGTTTTGAAAAAAATGCTTGCATTCTATTTGACGCATAAAAAAAGGCTTTGATGAGAAAAAGGGACACATGTGACGAACTATAAATCCACAAGAATCCCAACGTGAGTTTGAAAAATGGAATGCAAAACAGAATTTTAAAAAAATGGTGCAAAGAGTTCAAAAAAGTTCAATACCAAATTTGACTGATATTTTTTCTGTCGAGGAAATGATCCAATGCATTTACATTCCAACATGCTTTATAGGCTTCACCCTGACAATTTTCCAAGTTGATTACCCACCTGATGTAGCCAGTTCTCGGCCTGTGCGTGAGAATCCATCTGTACGCTGTGAAATCTTTCCAGCCGATTTTATTAGCGTCGCTCCAAATTAACTTGACCTGAAAAAAAAAATACAATAACAAAAAATCCAAATGTCAAAGGAAGTTATAAATCACCACATGGTAGCACTTGTTACAAGTGAGACTTAAAAAAATGCCGTCTCGAAATAACACACAAAAATTGCCAACAATTTTCATGTTTAATCTTCCCAACTCTTTTTCTCGGCACGGCCCGGCATCTGTTACCGATTAGACGCCGTCATGGAACGGCTCGTGATAAATCGGAGTGGAAGTGTTGCCGGGTAGGGTCTGGTCCGTACATAAGCCGTTTCGGATGTGTGTGAGGCGGAAAGGAGTGACCTTTGAGGAGCCGTGTATGTTGGCTCGTTGGCTGAATGCGCTGCGTGCCCATGAACCGCGTGGGAGGGTGGTCTATCTCTAGGCCTTATCTGGTAGCCACACTCACGGACGGAGAATGGGCGCGGTCGTACGTGTACGCTGGTTCAAGGGTTCATCAGCGTATAGATCTATTCAACTTAACTGGATAATTAACCGATCCACGCAAACAGGTGTTTATGTAATTAAGCGCAGCTTAATTGGACACTTGACCGTAGCTTCAATGCCGAGCCGTCTCACGATTGATCAGTTCAGACGGCCGATTGATTCGATACCAAAAAGGGGCGGATCCAGGTTTAGCTCAAGAGGGGTAGGATTAGCTGTCCGGGGGAGGGGTGGGGGTTCAACTCCTTGTCACGATCCTTCAAAGCGTGGGTGGATCTATAGAAAAGGGCACAGTTTTAAAGTGGATGCTAGGTAGAAAATACAGCTAATATTTCTTCTTCTTCTTTTTTAGTTCAGAACGCCCCCAAAACAAATCCCTGATATTAAAAGCATTTTGACTGTTGACAATTTTGTAGCGAGTAAATATGAATAGGCCTATGAAATTGGCCCCTTAAGGTTAGATTAGAACATGAACAAGCCCTTTCAACCCTCTTGCACAAATAGGAAATACAATCAATAAAATGGAACTGAAAGATAATTGTGATAGGCACTATACGCTTCGTAAAATCGGCCCGCAAAATCAAGACAGAATGCGTGTTTCATACTAATTTTCTTTAATTGTGATAATCTGAATAATGGAAATTTGGTTTATTTTATGTTATCTGACATTGCGCCAACGCACGTTCAGATGAATTGAATAAATATATATGGCTACCATACCTGATCACTCGTGTCTCCAGTATGCCACAGTGCATTTCTTAAATATTCGCCGGGACCCGTTGTGGAGTTAATCAACTGAAACACAAACAGAAAAATAGGCTCAATCAATTAGACAATCAAACATCGATCATAGGCCAATAGATCGACAGTTGGAGGGAAAAAAGACAAAAAATACAGTACAATAATAAGTATGTTCGTTGTTGACTTTCTTTGTGTGAAATTCAAAAATTAGGCGCAAGATGAATAAAATCTAAGTAAAAAATGATTATAATTATGGCAAAAGGTATTAAAGGGAATATATAACATTTGCAAACATCACAAAACAAAGCTACCAAATTGTTATGAAATACCTTACTGGACTGTTAGTGAATGACGGTCTAAAGCATCCTGTAAAATCATGGCCCCTTTGTGTGCTGACATTTTCAAGAAAAGTGGTACTTTTGTATCAATTTCCAACGCTGGTCGGCCAGCCTTTGAAAAAAAACTGGCTTTTTTTCTAATACCGCCCTCAATTTACCATATTTAGTTAGTCTGAATTTTGTTTGAAATCGAGTACAAATCCGGCACAAGCCGTCTAGACTGGGAACCAGACTGCAAGAACATTATTGTTTTTCTTGGTTTTTCCAGCATCTAGGCCTATATATTTGCTATAAAATGCTAATCCCCAAAATTCATCCATTACTGAAAATTACAGCAAAAGCAAATGTTGTATATTCCCTTTAAAGAGGAGCAATTGTCCAAAGACTTTATATATCTACAGTGTATGGCATAGGACAGAAGTTTTTGGCGTGGTCTCTTAGTACAGGATGACATGGAAAGGACACACGGTCAACTGTTTGGAGGGTGATCGGACAAAACGACCACTTCTTAAAACAGCCCTCGGGTGAAACCGCTAACCAAACATGGACTTGTGATGTCTGGGCATGTGACTATGAGAAAACAAGATAGCGTGCCAGACCAATCCCGGCCAGGTCAAGTTCGGCACGCCTGGCCAAACCTTTTTTCTTATATGTGTGATGTCTGCCCCCCCACCAAAAACCCTTAGGCAATGCTGCTTTAAAGGAAGGAAGTCTGTGAATTCCCGTGCGCAATTCAAACTTCCCCTAGGCGCGGTTCACCTGTTTCTCATTCCGAGACATGTCTGTCATTCTCGGGCAGTTTGTTTTACTGGACCGGGGACTCTCAAGTATCTGTTCAGTTTTTCCTTTGCTTTCTCGTCGGAAATAATCCATTTACGCCAAGCCAAACTGCCCACTGGGGGCCGAATCATACTCGTAAATAGTCTTTGCAAAGTCACGCAAACCGAGAGTGACATAATTATTGTGTGTGTGAGGGGGGGGGGGGTCGTGGTCCCTTCGGGGGCAGAAGTTGAACTACTTTTGGCATTATCGCGAATTTTCTTGCAACAGTGTGAACACTGATACTGAAATTTGTATCCCTGTGGAGACATTTCTTTGTTCTCGTGTATTAAAGTTTTCGAGTTTGAAAGTACAGTTTCAAAATGCATTTGCGACGGATCAACATTCCTTGGAAATTCCTAGTTTTTTTCGTGAAAACGTTGTGGAGACGTTGTATTCATCTATAGAAATTGCCCTGTGGAGACGTTTTTCCCTATTGTGTGCATGTCTCCAGAGGGCGCGGTGTATCAGATCAATGAACATACATTGGAATCGCCTGTCAGGTTACAATCTTTTCCAATCTTCTTTGATCTTGTTTAAAGCAAGTGTTATTTTGTTTGGCCATGTTTTGTCACCGTTCGTGGAATCGTGGAACACAATTTGGCAATGGAAAACAGACACATGAACTTGTTCTCAATTTTTTTCCTAGCCGGTATTGAAAATATATACAAAAAAATTGATTAATTGGTTTAATTCCCGAGCCGAATGGATGTATTTTTGTTAGTTTTAATTGTTCTTTACTTTTCCAATTTGTGTTAAACATATTTCCAGGCAAGCCATATTGATGTATTTTTGAACCTTTTTTTTAAGAATTCAGATGTCATAAAAGTGATGTATCGTTGTCATGGGGTTAAAAATGCTGCAAGACTATTTTTTTTAAATATTTTAACCGATATCTCACCTTGAGTTGGAGACCAGCCGTGGCCTCTGACATGGTTGGCATTGGTTCCCAGTACTTCTGCGTGACCTGCTTCCACATGACAGAGTAGAATCTGTGGTTTGACTGGTACCCGAACACGAAGCCGGCGTAGTCGTCGTCTCGTTCCGTGTTGACGTAGAACGTGCCGCTGAACTCGACCGAATTAAACTCGTCATAGCCTGGCGACAAAGACAACGAAATGATGAGTTAATAAAGATGAAAGTGACAAGAGACAAGAAAATGCAGGACACATGAAGAGGATAAAGAGAAGAGGACAAATGGAAGAGGACAAGATAAATAAAGAGGACAAGGATTTTTTTTAAACGGGACGCCAATTTTTTTTTGGTATTTACTTTGCTTTTGAACGTTCGCCTACCCCGAGCTGTTAAAAAAAAGCAAGGCCCAGGTTCGTGCTATCAGGGCTGGGGTACGCCGAAAAAAAATGTTCAGCATGAGATGAGTTTAAAAAAAATGGTCCATGATAAGTACACTTAAGTTTGAAAATGTTGACGCAAATTTGGCGACATGAAACAATCGATGCGAAATGTATTCAACTTTTGCGAATTCGCAGTGCGAATGCTTGCCATGATATCATAAAAGCGCGTTCGGTCCTTACACTACCCATCCTTACTGCACTGTGTAGCTTAAAAAGCAAATCAAAACAAAAACAAATTGAAAGATCAAGCGGAGATTTCTAAACCTCGGTTACGTCTCCAGTGTCCGAGCACAAACTCTGACTTTAAAATCATTTAAATTTAATAGGATAACGCTTATCTGCAGCAGAAAACGAACCAATATATTCAGACGGAGTCCCTAAAGTTAGCAGCCCAACATTATCTACAACCGAAGTAGTTGAGGGTTTTTTTTCGAACAAAAAATTAATCCTTACCTATGGCTAAGCCGGGATCGCTGTTGATCGTCTGCACCAACTCCTGGCCTCGATTCCGGACGATCCAGTGAGGGTCGATTTGGGCCGAGCCCTCTGGGTCCAGCTTGATGAGCTGGAAGTGGGACAAGTCTGTCCTCTGGATGTTGGCGTTGTCTGGACACGCGTCCTGCAGGTCGGTCACACCGTCGCCGTCATTGTCGTACTCGCATGCGTCACCGCGACCGTTTTCTACACAGGGTAAGATTGGGTGACAAAAATACAATCATTTAAAAAAAATGAAAGTTTAATGCATGCATGTTAGCAGAGGTAAATCGCAATTAGGACACAAGACATCCAGACTCAAGCCAAGTCACAAGCTATTCAAATAAACTGTGAAAAAAAGCATTTCTTTGTCATTGTTCATCTGACGTCACTTGTGACCTGAAAAGTGACTTGTGATTGGAACCTCTTGGAAATAATGTGAAGTAAACATTGTCAGTTTGGTACAGCGAGTTTCCCGGCTTTACCCTCAAAGAGATCTATGTCGAACAACTTGATAATGCTGAACTCTTTCAGATTTTACAGTTCGACTTTGGCTTCTCACAAGATGGAATTTGCGTCAGGTGATGTAAATTCAATATTAGGTTTTGCCCTTCACCGGCGTATATATTTCCTTCCTACGCAAATTCCATCTTATGAATAGTTTCATTGCGGTACCCGCTGCTACATCAGATTCGAACCAGCCAACCGATCCCGCAAGCTTGGTGGTCGAGTGGTGCACTACAAAGCAGGAGGTCGTGGGTTCGAGTCCCCACCCGAGTGATTTTTTTTCCAACTTTCACTCGGGAGGTAACACACTGAGTATACAATGTTTATACGTCGGTGAAGGGCAAAACCTAGTATTGAATTTTGGCTTAACTTTATAACACCATTTACTTTTTTATTCTGATCGAGGCCATTTCTCTTTCCTGTCTCTCAAAGGTACAGCCACTGTTTTGTTTCATTTACATTTCACCAAAATAACGTTTACATGAATAAATAGATTTTTTATAAAGTTGAAATGGGGAAGGGCCATTTTCAGAAAGCCCGATTGATTTGTGTGAAGGAACACACACCATTTGTGTCGTTCTGACTTGGGTTGAATATCAGGCGACAATTGTCATCCACATCTTCAATGCCATCGTTGTCATCGTCAAAGTCGCACGCGTCTCCTGTACAGTGGATATGGAGAAAATGACATTCACAGTCAGTGTTGTTTGTTTAAGTAAACATCCATCGCAAAGACGAAACCGAACACATCAATTTTTTTGTGACGAAAAGAACGAAAAGCAAAGTATGTCACATTGAAATCCATCAAGAAAATATTAAAATGTGAGGCAACTGAAGTTATACACCAAATGCATCAGAAGTACCGACAGGCGCATCGCTGGATAACATTTTTACACAATTATTTGTTTCTGGAAAGGCCCTTTTTCTCATGATTATTTTTCAGCATTACTTAAAATACAAACATTTGAAAAGAACAGATGATTGAAATCCAACCTACCGATTCCGTCCATATCGTGATCTGCCTGGTCACTATTGGCGATGTTCCAACAGTTGTCCAGGTCGTCTTGGTGCCCATCGTTGTCAACGTCCCTGTCGGTGTCGCAAACGTCGCCTACATTATCGTCGTCAATATCCATCTGCAATCAAGTGACACGGGGACTTGTTACGAGACATTATGTCAAGGGCACGTCTGAAACATGTCATTTCTCAATTATCAGAACACTAATTAAATCCATCACAGGTTTTTCACGAGTAAAATCACAAGTAAGGCGGTAAATGAAAAGGATGAAGGAATATCTTTGTCTCAATCGTTTGATTTTGTCGCTTTACTTGAGATTGGGTTGACAAATGGCGTACACTTGTGACGACGTAATTTCTTGTCACTATTACAAACAGTGAACTATTTTTCCAAGTAATCACAACACAAATAATTAAAACTTCCTTAATTATCACTCAATAATCCATTAATAAAAACCAGCCAATATGTATATAAAAGAAAATACACCAAGAACACTGACTCAAAAAGCATTTACACGGGATTAAGTGACAGAAAATATTAGGCAGTCAAACTGTGAATACAGATTTTAATTAAAGCTATAGTCCATCATTTGCAGCTATCCGAAAAGTAGCTGGCGTAATTATTGTTGAATAACAAACTTGGTTGAAAGATAGTAAGGGAACTAAACTCCCTGTGAAATTATTCTTTCTGGCAAGCTGTCATTTTGAAGTAATCAAGGAAAGAAGGCCTTTCCAATGGTGCTTCTTAAGACGCACCGTAGGAAAATTTAAATTAGTAGTTCGTTTTGTTATTCGGCGAAGCGCGCGCAAGCATTGGCACGACGCACACGCACCCCCAGTTGCTATAATTCGTCAGATCAGTGCGCGACATCGCGTAGCTGCATTCGGCTCAGCGAGAACGTGTCTCGGACGCTGAATTCAGGCGCAATTCAAAACATGATTCAGCAACTTTTGATTTGAAATTGAGATCCTAGAATGCTGTTTTTCTCAGAATATACAGCTGAAGCTGAGCTGAAACTTTATCAGGTTAGTTGTACAGTACCCTTCTTTAGATTTTGAGCACTTTTGTTGCTTCAAACGAACAAAATGCACAAATTACAAATGATGGACTATAACTTTAAGTGACAACAGTCGACTTACTTGATCTGGGTTCCCATAGTCTGGACAGTTGTCGCACACATCTCCGTAGCCATCCTCGTCAAAGTCCAGCTGTCTGGCATTAGCCACGTACATACAGTTGTCGTCCTCGTTATATATACCTGAGGGGTTGCCCAATGGAAAAAATGAGACATTCATTAGCATGGAGTCTCGGATCTTGAGAAGTCTCGCATCAAGACATGTACCGCGATAATACGTAAGCCCCTGACTCCTTCAGAGGAAGACCTTCGCCCGAAGGCTAACATGACAGCCAACTGCATGAACGGAGCATTGGGTCACCAAAGAGTAGGATTATGCGAATCACAAGTCTGAACCAAAGTTCACTTGAGATGAGTTGAAGGGTTAAGGATCTACTTTTTTCCAATCTTTTCCTTTTTTATAACCACACCGATTAGTGATTCTCTAAGTTCTCGCCATTTCTGTTTTCTTGAACATTTTTTAATCCACAGAGAAGCGCTTGTAAACATTAGGACAGAAGTTCCACTCCTGCAGATTTCTTTTTCGGCTGATGCGGCCATTGGCTGAATATACTTCGTGTCATTCGCTCATTGGCTGTCTTGTGAATAGCGCGCCTTCCTAAACCGAATACAATGCAGCGGCTGAGAGGTACAGAGAAGTTCCCTAACAAAACTGGTAGCCAGTCATAACGAATGCAAGGTAATACGGCAGAAAGGTGATGGGATTGTGCCTTTGGCGATACAAGCCTGGAATTTGGCACACAGAGTTTGCCATGAGAAAGGTATTGGGCTATAGGGCCATCGCAGATTTGTTCTTTGAAAAAATATAGGTGTATCAAGCAATGGCAGCCGTTTTCAAAATTGTGAAAATTGCTTATTATTCTACCTACAATTTTTTCAAAGGACCAAACCCCCTATAACCAAATATCTTTCTCGTGACATGCTCTGACCGTGTGCCAAATGCCATGCTTGTATCATCAAAGGCACAATTCCCCCAAATATTTCCCCCAAATATAACTTCTAACTTTTTGGCTCGATACACGCATTTGCTATGCCACTAGATCCATACAAGTATGAAAAATCTCATGCCTGTACGACGCTTGGCAGCTTCGTGGACACTAGCCCCTGAACGGAGTCCAGCCTGATACCTACCATCCTCATCGATGTCATAGTCGCACACGTCCCCGTCACCGTCGGAGTCCGTGTCCTCCTGTCGCGTGTTGCTGACGAAAGGACAGTTGTCGCAAACGTCACCCACTCCGTCATCGTCGATGTCGAACTGTTGCCAGTTGGAGATGAACTGGCAGTTGTCCTGTAAAAGTGGAAATGTTTCTATTGAATTAGAGAATTTAAAACACAACACGCCATCAGAAACTCAGACCGGAGACAAGTTTTATGTTTTTTTATGAAGTAATTCTATGAAGAAAAAAATGTTTACAAGTAGACTGCTCAGTTTTCATCGCGCGCACACAGTTTTCAAAAAAAGGACCGAAATTTCAAAGATAATTTTAAAAAGTCGCTTTTTATTTGAAACGAAAGGATGATTTCGATGGACAAAACTCACACTAATATTACTACAAAAAGAGAAATTTTAGGAGATGAAAATAGACCACCACTTGATTTCAAAATAAATGTTTCCGTATCTTCTGTTGTTGGTAAAAAGAGAACCCGCCAGCCAGGCTGTAGGGCTTTTGGTTAGCAGAAACCTTATGCTGACTAAAACAGAACAACCGTGCTATTATCTTTGAGCTCATGCAAATTCCGTCCAAGCAGAGTTATGGATGCTCTTTATGTGCTCAATGCTTTCCCGCTCCGTGAAATGGACGGAGGCCCAGCCAGCAGAAAACCCGTGGGATTAACAGCTCCGTTCAGTTGGGTCGGTGGTCGCCCGCATTCGGATGTCAAAACAGACTTTTCAAATTTCTCAAGCGGAGGACAGGAAATCAATCCGGTCAGTCAGTGATCAACTGCCGTCTCCGCTTGGATTATGGGAGTTAGTCAAACGATTGACCTTGATATTTGGAGCCGCTGTCAATTTGTATTGGGAGTTTAAAAAATAGGGTCAAAGAAAATGCGACATCGGTTATATACTTTTTTTTAAAAGTCAGTCAAGATCCAGGTTTGAAAAAAAACCCGTAGCATTCCATTGTCAATCAGTGAACGGCTTTAGACTGACAACATTGTTAGAAAGTTTTAATAAGACACGCACGCAAACTCGGACGGAGTTGAATGGGGAGTGGGCGGGGTTGTCCACGAGGCCAACTGGTGGGCGATGTGACTTCTCGTTATCATGATCTATTATGACTGATCTAGATCCAGCGCCGCATGACTCAAACAATCGTAATTGACGTCGGAAGAACGACGATCTATAGGCAATTTTCCAGACCAGAAATATTTTAATCAGCAGCCCTCTATAATTCAAGGTCTTCTCTTTGATCTGAGAAAAAATTCTTGTCAATCCAGAAGAAACTGCACGGCTAAAAGACTGCACAAATTCCTTTCATAAACGTTGGTATGTTTGAAGGTGCCTTTCCATGCGCACGTTTTAAGTCCCTTTGTTAAAGATACAATCCAAATATGTAACGATCACAAAAGGTCATAGTGCCTACTTCATGGGTCTGCTAACCATGTAGTTCCGCGGTCAAGATTACCAATCTGTGCTTACAGCATAAGCAAAGTAAAGAAATTATGCGCTCAACATCTAAACACAGAATCCTTAGTTATGAGATTTCTTAAACCGCGTTTATAATTTCTTGCTAATCTGTGAAAAATGCCTATCGTAAGCACACACATTTTTACTGTGGTCAAATAGCGGAGAGTATATCAATAACGGTAAACAGAGCAACGAAATCGGGCCTTTAAATTCAAACAAATTTAGGGAATGGTGGATTTCTGCGACGGAACAGAGGAACCCATCGAGGAGAGTTGCAGACCGGAGCAGCAATGTCTATCACTTGAATTATGTAAACGCCCGGATACTCTATAGTTTTTAACTGGAAAGAGGTTTGCTTTTTCTTACCGCAACATCATCCACAAGATCGTCATCATCGTCGGCGTCACAGGCGTCACCTTTGCCGTCGCCATCGTTATCTTCTTGTCCGCTGTTCGGCAGAGATGCACAGTTATCCTAATTCACCGGACAAAAAAAAGAAGAACGCTCTGGTTTTGTTTTCGGGAATTAACGTTCAAAGGCTAAACCTGTATTCGACCCATTGCGGTTAACTCGACCCAACATGACGAAACCAGGGTCAGTGGAAACTAGTTTTACGGATCGCAAAACCGTATGTACCTTGTCGTATGTGAACTCTAGAATATCAACAGTTATGAAACTCGGATTTTATGCGAATTTATCACAAATTGAAGAGAAGCCCTTAAAAGTACATATTTTAGAATTCATGCTGATTAAAAGTGAACATTATAGTATATATTTACAAAAATAACGGAACAACATAGCGACTGTTTACAAATACACCATGGAGTAACAACATTCTTAAAAACTATTTTTGCGAGACACATTTCAAAGTAATCATAAATAGACCTATTTAGAAAATTAGTTCTTGTGGAAGGGGGCAAAATATGTCAACAAAGTACATTTCATGTAAATTTGTCTTTCGAAAAAAAATGCTTCTTGTGCTTCACGACGGTTCTATTTAATTTTTTTGAATGATGGAAGTAGTTGAAAATTGTTGTCTCCCCACATTTGAATGGAGGGAGCCGGAATCAGTACGTGTATGCATTTGTTTGTGCAACTCGGATTTTTACATTGAGAACATTGGGTGTGAAGGTCCTGCCTACACCGTCTTCTGTTTTTGTTTTGTTTTCACTGCCGAGTCGGGACTCACCCGCGTGCAATGCGTGTAGTCCCCGTGATCCTCGCAATCCAGTTGCTCATCTGGCCAGCCGTCAAGATCGCTATCGTAGCCGCAGTGAACGCCGTCACCAGCAAAACCCGTCTTACACTGCGAGTCAAATATACAATCAGAATAACGCAATGGCACAATTGGAACATGCCAAACATTTTGACAGGTTTGGACAAAGTTTCTCACTTATAAACCACGATTGAAAACTTACTAGGTTAAGTTGCTAGTTGGTAGAGCGCTGGAACGGTGTTCCGTAGGCCGAAGGTTCCAATGCCGCCCCACCCCAAAACGGCCTTTTACTTTGTGATGTCATCGGTATGTGATACATTTGAGTCATTCTATAAATTTGGGGTCCAACTGTGACATTTTTCCGTCCCTGTTACCGTGATATTTAAAAATATCTTAGCCCATTTAAATTTTTATTTTGGGTAGGTAGGTTTCGATGTATTTATAATCTCTCCTTCGGAGGACAACTGCATTCAGCAGTGCATCAGAATTATAAAATCATACATGTCAGATGTAACAGGGACAGGAAAAAAATGGACCCCAAAGTTATAGAACAACCCATATTTAAATTTCACTATAAATCAGAGGAAGCTTAAAACTTGAGAAATATATATATTTCATGGAAATATTTTGAATTTTACGACTTACTTTGCAGCCGTATTGTGGATCTGAGTAGGGTCCGTAGAAAATACATCTGGCGTCAATGTGACAGCTCGATGTCCCTTCGGCGCAAGGGTTGATGGGAATGCATTGCTGTGATGATAAAGTTCAAGCAAGTTAAAACCTTGAGATAATTCTTATGGCAATAACTTACATCATGAATGCGATTGGCTAATTCTCCACGCACTGTGTAATTGAAGGAAACTATTTCCCTTCTCAACACTCCGGGAACTGACGTAAACGCAAGTCAAAATGATTTTTCAGCACAAGTGTGAAGCGATAAAAATCACATTTTTTCAAGAAACCACAACCATTCGCTCCACTCCAAAATAAGCCAAAAAATCCGGCAAGCTTTCAAGTATGACGCACACTACAAGTAGGTCTTGGAATAAATTTCCAAATGTGTTGCAATGACCGGTATGCGAAGGAAATCTTATGGGATTTGAGCGCAGATGTGGGGAAGTCTTTTAGCTTTTGTCTTAAATCTCCTCCCAGGCTCTTTACGTCCGTCACCGGGTGCATTAAGACACCATCGCGTTGCGTGCAACCATTTCAAAGTGGTCGTCCAAGGAAGCTGGAATCTTGACACTTGCGTCATCAGACAAGGAATTCCTGGCCCGATTTGTGCATGATCGTTAATGCTGATTGATCGTGTGTGTGTGCGCTTGTGTCTTTAAAGCCAGAACTTTCTTACTTTCTCGATATCTATTTTATTTTTTACGAAAAACAATAACGTTACGTGCCCGGATTGGTTAAAGTTCTTTAAATTCTTACAGAGCGTATAGAGAGAGTTTATGGGCAAACCCTTGTTTTCCCTGACAAGTTTATTTAGCCATACAGTTACAGGATGTATTGACCGTCATCAAGGAAATATGTAATGGTCATCTTCAAGATTGTTATTAATTCGATATGAATTTGGCCATGATAGCGCACGCTTGCAAACGAGGACCAAATGTTTGGGTAATTAATAACCATGACCCTGCAGAATGGAAGGATTCTTGTCTATTTTCGGAGCACCGGTCTTCAGCGGACGGTCCGGCCCCAATTAGACCGTCATTTCACGCCCAGGATAAGTGGACCCATCCGCCCCACATTTCCCTCGGACCAGGTCAAGGATGGACGGTGGTAGCTGTGGTTCCCCACCGATGGCTGCCGAGCGGATACGGGGTCGGGATGAAGCAGATGCGCGTGATTTGCGGCAAAGAACCCTTTAGTACGTCAAAAGTTGGAGATCCCACGCTTTGATGGAGTAAAGGTTGTCACGGGGGAATAACGTGCCCCTGGGGAACCGCAGGCGCGCTCACGCACGCGTAGGTAAAGTCTTTTATTTAAGTCTTGATTTGTCTGAACAATTTGAAACCCCAAAAGTGACGTGCATTAGTTCTGTCAGTTTCCCGGAGCCAAAATAGCATGGTAAAACTCACGAGTTCCTATACGCATGGCGTGGACTAAACCGTGCAGAGCTTGGTAGAACGTTCAATGAATTTTGATATACTCGTTGGGATTGTTACGCCCTAACTATGGCAAAGGTCCCAACTTATGCTGGGGCTGTCCCGACAGCGTTGGGATAAGTTGGGACAGTCCCAACTAATGTTGGAACTGTCCCAACATTAGTGGGGACAGTCCCAACATTAATTGGGACTATTGCCATAATTGGGGTGTAACAGGACCACTGAGAGGCTAATCATTGGAACCGAGAACTATTTTCTATCTTCTTCATTAAATGTTCATAATTAACATAAATACACACGTTATTTTTGATAAGCTTGGAATATAATTACTTTATAAGTTAATTTACTCAGTTCAGTTTATTGCTATAGGCCTAGTTAAATTATTAATCTTTGGTACCTTACAGTTCGATATCTTATTCAAGCTGCGGCTTTTTTTTTACCTGGGCCCGTCATATTTTTTTTTTGGGGGGGGGAGCCTGAGTATATGTTTGTGTTTAAATTATAAGTGACGATATGAAACAGCATTGAATCAATGAAACAATGTATAACAATCCACTTGCAGGAAATGTTTTAACTCCAGGTGTTGAGCTTGGTTAATTAATGAACGGCTTACCTGCTTATATCGTTTGGCGTGGTAGACGCCCATCCCTGAGGGCTGGTTGCCTCTGTATCCGATGGGGCATTTACGGCAGGTGTAGCCGGGGATGAGGTTGAGGCAGCGGTGCTCGCCGTGGAAGTTGAAGCAAGCATCGGAGACGAGGAGACACTAAGAGTGAAGTGGAAACAAGTGCGAGTTCACAATAAGCTCTGGCCGCGTTGCAAGAAGTCTTACATGAAATTCTTGCACGGAATCGATCAAAGTGATCCCTGTCAGAGCTTAAAAATGTGACGCCGAAAAATGCGACGCCGATGGCAGATATGGAACACCATACTTTTGGTCAATTTTCAGGGACAGACAGACAAACAGACAGACAAACCGACCGACCATCAAGTGACAAGTACCAACATTTTGTTAATCTTAGAAATGGAAAGTAATGAGGAATTGACGCGGTATCGTGTTTAATGTCAGCAAATTGCATATTTTTTTAAACGAATGAGCGATATGAAGCTGGGAAATATTTGCGTTGGTTGTGGCAAATAGGAGCATGGGTGTGGTCATCCGGGAACTTCTCTTATTGTCTTATCTAGTTCCCAGACTTATTTCCCTGAAACTGAATGGTTCTTGAGTCCGGAATGCTGATTGGAAACAAATCGAAACCGATTGAAACTTGTGCGAACGTAAAAAGATGCTTTCATAAGCTACTGTAACTCCGTTCACATCAATTCTAGTACTCATTTTGTTTCATGACCTTACACAAGAACAAAAAAGGTTAAATTTCTTTCTGAAGTTATTTTCATTTATTGTACCTCGTTGATGTCTTGGCATAAGATACCATTCCCGGTATAGCCAACTGGGCAGTCTTTGCACTCATAGCGACCATCGGTGAAACTGACACACTCAACACCATCGAAGCATGGGCTGGACAGGCAAGCATCTAGTGAATCATTACAGAAAAACATAACCAAAATTAGCAAAAGAAAACATAAGAACCCAAAACAACTGGAACAAGATATACCAACATGTAGGGTAGAATAAAACTGATGTAACTGTTTTACCAACTCAGTATCTTCCGTGCCGGAAAATTTCAATCACCGCGAAAAAAACCCAGTTCAATTCTGTTATATCCCTTACATCAAATGTGCAAATTACTCAATGCATATTCATGAGCAGAATGGACTGACTTACCAATGGGACAGGGCCATTCGTTGCACATGCGCCGGTGGGTGTCCGAGCCCACGCAGTCCCTCCCACCGTGGGCAGGGGGCGGGCTGTCGCAGAATCGGTAGCGTTCCTGCCACCCTCCGTCGCACGTCTTGGTACACGGGGTGAATTCTGAAAACTGGCCCCACTGTCCATCCACTGATAAACAAGACAAAAGAAGCGGTAAAACGGTAAAGCAGTAGCAAACTCACTGAGCAGAACAAACATAACTAGTGAAAAAAAATACATTATTAGTTCAGCAAAATCAAAGTCGATGTGTGTGAGCCAGTTGGTATCTTTTCCAAGCTATGGGTGTTTTGTCCCCCAGTTTACTTGCAAGGTTGGGTCTTGTGCTACCAACATATGAGCAATGTTAAACCGATGGAAACAAATATGAAACTTGAGGCTCTGAGATTTGTGAGAGAACAATATTTGCAAAGATTCCAGGCGATATATCAAACAAAGACAAACAAATACAAATAATTTCACTGGAAGGACAAATTTGATCGACGTTTCCACACATTGAAGACTGCTATCAAAACTGAAAAGCAGTTGAATACATCTCGAAAAATGGATGAATGTTTTTCAACTCCCTGCAAAACGTTGGTCAAAATATCAAACGCCTACACTTTTGGGACAATTCGTTTCATAAATCGATATTTTTCCCCAAAAATAAACTACTTGGGTAATTTTAAATTACTTGTACTGCAGAATAAGACTTTTTATAAAAAAATAAATTCTCGTGCACTAATTCACTGCCTTTTTTTGCAGTTCACGATCGTGATTTGTTCGGAGGAATCTTACCAGGACACGGGTCTCTGCCGCACGGTCGTTCCTCCCTGCCTGCCCCGTCTAATTCTCCATCGCACCTCTTGCCACCGTTCTTGGGTCTTGGCGAGTTGCAGGATCGCATCCTGCTCTCCGTACCGTTACCGCACGTCACGCCGCAGGACCACGGGGTGAAATTACTCCAGCCTCCGTCCACAATCTCTGTTTACAGTACAGTCGAATAAAATGTTTCGCTTATCGTCAATCAAAACAATAAATATGCAAAATCATGTTCAAATTATGATCATAAAATATTTCTTGGTGATACCTTTTTTCATAAATCTTACAATGAAGAAAATAGAAGCGGATTTGGAAAGAAAATACACCGAAGTCACGTTAAAAACTATGTATTAAACTATAAGCAGTTGTGTAATTAATACTAAAACAAAAGGAACAGATGGGATTTACCTATGCACGGATCGAGGTAGCAGACCCGTGTTTCAACATCGTTCCCATTGCACTCAAACTGCGTCCGATCGCACGACCGTCCACGCTGTTGGATACCGTTTCCGCAAGTCACTGAGCACGAGGTCCATTCCGCCCAATCGCTCCAACCTAGGTTGTCGTCTAGTATATAAGAAGGTAAGAACAACGGGAAGAATTGCTTTAAATTAACGTCAAACCTCAGCTTACTTTTTCCGAACAGATACACACTTTGCATTACAGCCATTTTTGAGGTACATTGCTGTTGTTCCATAGTTATACGCATTAGGTATAGACCTGTTTTAATAATCACAAAATCTCCGAGATGCTGTATGCGAAATGTCTATTCACAATCGGTTGATTCTGTAAGGTAAGTGAAAAAACAAGATGTCCAAAATAACAAGATTTTTCACAGGCAAAAAAATCACGGGTTTTACGTTTAAAGAAACCCTCATAGCTCAACTCGCTACTGGTTACGTACCAATACGATTTGAGAATATGGAGCCATTACTAAATCTTCATTGTAGTGTGTCAGTTTATGCTCATACTCCCACACGATGATATGTGAACATGCCCCTACAATGAAACGAAATTGTAACTTACTCGGACATGTCGGGCAACAGTCTCCTTCCATGATGATGGGGTTTGCGCATTTCCCTGGCTGGCATTTGATGAGAGAGCATTCCACCGTTGGCAGCTATGACGTTGGACAGAAAACATTAAACAATTCAGTGCATAATTTAGACTTCCATATTAGAAAGTTAAAGAGAGCTGCCTATTTTTACCCAGTTATTTGTGCTCAACATTTGGCCACTCCCCAAAATGGAGAAATCTACTCGAATTAACCAAAAGTGAGGTATATTGTTCACTGATATGGGTAGAAGAACATTACCAACTTCTTTTACACTAACAATCATGTCTATCCTATAGCCACCTGGTTGAGCTATTATGTGTAACATAGAAGTCATGAGCCACTTTATATTAAACCAAGTTTAACAAGTTTTGGCGGGAAGCAAAAAAAACCTGTTTGATGTTTAGATCTTAGTAGGATCTTTTTTTCAGAGTTAACGTACCCCTCCTTCCACCCGACACTCGCAGGACTTGCACTTGTCTACTTTGAAGACGTCTCCATCGTCGTAGAGTGTCTTCATGTACCAGCATCCTTGCTGTGACGGCCACTCTGGCGGCCTCTGGTTCTCCTGAATGGTCGGGGAAAAAGTTACAAGATTCCTCTTTGAAGTTAGAATGGAGTTTGTGGATGATATCAATTGAATATTCATGTCTTAAAGAAGTTTTGTTTCTGAGAGCACCTCATGCATTCCTCTGATAACGGGCGCACTTGTATAGTTGGCTGTCCGAAAAGTCATAAAAACACTCTTACATTCAGTTATTTTAGAGTCACTTTTCAACCAAAGAGAATGATAAACACATGGTGTCTTTCTAAAATGTCCATTTTGTAATCAATTCCGCCACGGAAAGCTTCTGATCTCAATTAAACTATGATCAATAATCGGGAATGTTCAAGTTTGATAAAATGAACATCTCCCTAATTTAGTAGGAATAACATTGAAAGTATCCAAAGTGATCAACTCACGAAGTGCTCCAGTTTATTCCACATGTCGTCATAGCCGTCGGACAGCACCTGCACCTGATTGTTGAGATTACTGATCTGTTCGCAGGTGTAGGCGCACTGGCCCTGCATGGTGTCATCCGTAGGCGCCGCGTTCGGGTGCATGTAGCCCATGTTGGTAGGTAGGTGGGGCGGGGTGCCGGGCACGGGCTGGGGCATGACGTTCCCGCTGGTACCGCCGGTGCTGCTTGGCACCCCCGGGTTGAGATTACTGAAACTTCCACCTGGAGGCACGGGGATCGCGCCACCGAAGCTCATGCTGTCGCTGAGGCCGCTGTTGCCGAAACTCCCGCTGTCGCCGTGGTTGTTGTTGTTGGGTGTGCTCTGCTCGACATTGCCTTCTCCACCAGGCATCGCTGCTAAAAATATTAAACAAAAAAAGCAAAAGTCACAGACCATCGGCATTGGAGAACTGATATAATACAGATCACAGTCAAACGGCTCCCACAAAAATCAAATAAGTTTGATAAGATACACCAAAAAAAATAAGACAACTACTGTTTTCACATTCAATTAGGGCCTACGTATACTTAGAAAAAATATACATTAATCTGAAGACGGTCAGAGCATAGGTCTATACTGACCGAAACGTCGATGTACCTCTGGTTATCACGTGAACCAAATGTCCCTTTTAAGGTTTGTCAAATCACATTGCGCAGGTGCATCTGCACTGCGCAAACCCAGCTTTTCGAAACCCAGGCTTCGTTTCCAGTTTCAGCTTCATCACTGGACTCAAATCGTAAAGGTGCCTTTAAAGTCCAGACCTATTTGAAGTACTCTAACCTTTGGCCTCATAAGAGCTGATATTCCTAAAGCACAATATGGGCCTAAAGTGAGACGGAGTCTTCCAAATGAGAGGCCTTAGAAATCTGATGCAGCCGAAGCATGAAACGAAACCGAGATTTCGGAAAAACCCTCATGGTAAACCAATCTTCAATAAGATAACAATCCATGCTTAAAATTTATTGGCAATCGTTTCCTTCCGTGGGAACCAAATAAGTTGAACGATGTAAAAAAAAAAAAAAAAATAATGATGACAAATCTCGTGAATAATGTGCTCGGGTCAAGGGACACTTGTCTTCACCTGGTGATTTGCATCACTTCACAATGCGAAATCATTACAGCCTACGGCATAAAATTGGATCAAATGTAAAAATAGAAAGAACATGTAAACAGACAGCAGCTGGCTTGAACCAATTTCATGTTTTCACGAGGTGTCAGGAAAGGCCATGCCTGTTTCGTTACAGTTTTCCCTTGTCCATTGTTCTCTGACTTTACCCCGACCCGACACGCACGAATCCATGGAAATTGAGATTAGCGCGGGGTGAACCCCCGGATGAGAGTACATTCTTATGTTACCAAGCAGCGAAGAATGTTTCTCCGGCGTCATGTTTACATTCATGTGACGAGGTCGAGGTTTAATGTAGGCTAGGACTAAAATCATCATTAACCCTCGAAAAGAGTCAAAGATCACTATTAACCCTCGAGTTGCGGCTGACGCCTACATGTACTTAACTACTTTCTTCAACTCCTATACAACCTGGTATTCCTGCAGTGAAACTCAATTGATCAAATTTTATCTTAATCATATTTATCTTAATATGGCAAAGCTGGTATTCAGTTACGTCGCAACAGAAATAAAATGCACACTAACCCCACTTTCAAAAGTCTATAACTTGACCGAACTTCAAAGCAGATGTGAGGGAAAACAAGAGCCGCAAAAAACGGGACGTTTGATTTGTCGAGGCACGAGCTGCTCCAGGTCTCCAGAATTTTCAACCCTAGCTGCACTTTGATTGGTATATAATCGGGTGTTGCAATTCCCACACTATTTACAGATGTCACCCGAGGAACAAGTGCTTAACACACGGTGAGATCGGATGAAAGTTAACTATAACCCAACCCCCTACCAAAAGCTGCATGTCTGGCCGCGCACCGCACTTGGCCGCAGCAGTTGTCCACTTATACAACCAGTATCGAATTAGGCGAACCTCTGTGGCCAAGCATTGAAACTGTAAAAAAAACGCGGCAAATTTCGCGAATGCCTTCACAGTGTGTGGGTCGGAATGCACCAAACCGCAACGTCAAGAAAATTGAATTTGGTGAAGATCAAATACTTTTTTTTCTGGACGCAAATCATCGTATATGGCACCATAGTTAGCTCGTTCTCAAACCCACCCTTTTTCAGTCCAACAAAGTCGCTTATTTGACGAGAACAAAATCTCATTCTATCACACGGGAGGAATTAATCCCTAACACGATTCAGAGGTGACAACTATTACTTCTCATTATCATTGTCAGATACGCGTAAAAATAGTTGGTTGACTCTAGTGCCACGACTGCATGTAAATCTTTGAAAACTAAGTGACCGATTTACTTCCGAACAAATCATGCGACACCAAAAAACTTTGCTGAGTCGTGGAGCCAGCTGGCTTGTGCTTGTGACATAACTACAATCCTGTTTTCTCTCTAGAGTCTCAAATGTATCGTCACCTGCCATGGAATGTATACAGTGCTGTACAGTTGAGGTTCTCTGGATGCATCACAAGCAAAGCGCAAGTCCGGTTGAGAGTAATTAAAATTATGGCAAGTCAATTCACAAGTCTGGTCACGAGTAACAGAAGATGAACAATATCAAAGACATTTCTGTGTCACAGTTCATGAGAATAACTTGTGGGTTGGCTTGTGCTTGAATGACTTGTGATGGACTCGTGATGACTTGTGATCCATCTCAAGTACCTATTTTCGGTCTTACCATCACTGCTTATGTGGCTTGGTTCTGATTCACCGATCGGCAGAGGGAAGCTACTCCCGAAGCTGATCTGGGATGAAGAGAAGACCGGCTCGATTTCACAGCCCTGGCTGATCAGAACATCCGTGGTGCTGGTCTGAAATGCAAACTTGGCTACCGCGAGGGTTCCCTGTAAATAAGAAGAACATAAGTTCGAGTTATGATTTAGAGGTTGGGCTTCGTGACTCGTAATCAGAGGGTCAGGGGTTCGAATCCAGTTGCTGGCCATAGCAAGCCGCTTCACCCCACCTGCCTCTCTCCACCCAGGAGTGTAAATTGGCACCGGCATTAGCTGTGGAGTAACCTGCGATGTCCAGGAGGAATAGAAATATTCGAATTCGTGTCATACCAAGGAAACCACAGATAAACGCCGGCCTCCTGGGCCATAATATTGGCTCGTTACATACTTCACTTTAATACGATGAGCTCAGCAACAAAAGGTTAGAGGTGACACCACGTTCCCTCAGCAATAAGACAAAGTTTGCGTTGACACTGCGCGACAATTAAATGTCTTTGTTATTTGTGGTTCCAATAAGTTTTGTTTCCGTCATTTTGGTTGCAATAGGCTCCGTTTAATCCCGTTCATCTTTACTTATCTTAATATGTGAACAATACATTAGTGCGTTTGTACAGTTTTCAGCACATTATGGGTGTGTTATTTTAGGATCTCAGCACTATGGGAGGGTTAGGCCTAACTAAACATAGTTGTGTATGTTCCAGAACAGAAGTAACCTTGGCGGCATAGAAAGTCCTTAAGAAAAATGAAAAGTCCAATTGAAAAATGAAAAGTCCAATTGAAATTCCTGAAGACAGTACAAGTTCAGACATCCCACTCAAAGGACGTCATTTTATTGGATTTGGAGACATATTTATTGACTAACAGTTCAATCTCGCCTCGGTTCGCTTCATTCTCCGCATACTCCATTTCAAACAACTATACAACATCATTTTGGTCCAGTATGCGAAAGCGAAATGCGAAGAAAATGACCAGTAAAATAACAACAAAGTACACAGCAATTCTCGTTAAATGCAAAATACTACTGAAACAATATTCGTGAGATGTAATTTGCGACGGGTGACGGAAATTCAATATTGTGTTGTGCCCTTCATTGTAAACACTGAGAGTACAGTGTTTATAGAATACGTCGTTGAGCGGTTGAAGCGCATAGCACAGCGTTTCACAACAGACCGTAGAAATAAAATGTTCTAAAAATGCTACCTTGCCGATCTAAAACAGTCCACTCCCAAGCACAAACAGGAAATATCGTGAACTAGCATGCCACAAAGAACATTAAATAAATCATGGCCAAATCATCCCTTCGGAATTCAAAGGCCATAAAACAACATGAAATTCCAACATGCAATGATCCTAATTTCCTGAATATGGCTCCCGAGAAATGACATACACCAGACAGACCAGCCCTCCCACTCCATGCTGATAGGTCTCTGAGGCTGGGGTTCAAACCAGCCTGCTTGAACGCGTTCCGGATCACTCATCGCATGGATAACGAACCCAAAAGGTATGGCAATCATTCACTTTTTTCTTTCTTTTATTGACCTATCCGTCAACTTCCGATACAAAGTTGGACATAAAAAAAAACCTGGGCCATATCCTCTTTGCTAGACCAGATCGGTTGATGGATGTCTCATCCTTCATGAACAACAAATTGGAAATATCTCCTCCGCTGGGGATATCACACAGCCTTTCATTGAAATTAAATGACGCCACGGGTCCGGACGGTTCGCTGGCGATGAAATTACAGCGAATTTGAACCTTTACAGGCACACAAATACAAGGCTGCCAAACCATTGGATTTAACGGACATATTTTCATTCCTTAGTTGGATTATGGGACTGGTTGAGCCATTACGATATGGGTCTACACACTCTTAAGTTGACGTTGATTTCCTACAATTTATTACACAGTACAGTGACAAGTAACGCTATCAAGTGTGACAAGGGATCACATCCAGCACTAACTCCATTTAATTTTACTTTGCATAGTTTAGAGAGGGAGGTGAATTCGATAGGAAAGATTGAGCGTCTTTCTAAATGAAACTTTTATTCTACATTTTTTTTACGCACAGCCCTTTCCACAGTAAACAACCACGTGTTCTTATCACTTGCGTTAAATCAGTTACATTCTGCCGCCAGAAATCAGTCAACAGAGGGCGTACTCATTGTTGGACCACTATAAACATACAACGCACACGAACGACCTTGAAATCTTTTTACAATCGTGAAATCAACAGGGGCGTATAGGACTACTCACCTTAAAATCCAGCACGTTGTTTCTGTCGGGGAGTCCCTTTCCAAGTCGGAGCTTCATGTTATCAGGCTCCATGTTCATGTAAAATGACGAGGGTAAGATCTTTAATCCAATCAGTTGGCAGTCCATGTAGAGAGTCACCAGGTTGCCACGCACGTCCAACACGAACGTGTGCAGTTCTGTGTCGTCTTTGCCGATGTTCAACGGGGAGAAGACTACCTGGCTCTCCTGGGGCTCGCCCGCGCCGAACTCGGCAAACTGCACCACAGCCTCGTCGTTCCGCCGGTCTATGTGGAAGCCGAAGCCCCGGACCTGGCCGTCGGTGCGATCGACGGAGACCAGCGTGCCGCGGTTTTTAGGGTCCTGGTAGGCGACTGTGATGAGGATGAATCCCTCGTCTGCTTTCATGGACCTGAGCAGGCGCTCCAGGCTGCCTTGGTCGGTGCCTAGATCCCGGTCCTTGGGCCTCACCTTGAAGGCTCGCCCACCCTCTGGTGTTTTCGTCTCTCTTACCCCTGGCGTTCTGGCTGAGATGCCAGATGCTAGCATCACGTCTACTTCCTCGTAGGCTGTGAAACACAAAGAAAAATCATCATTATTTGTACCGTTGATAAATGAATGACAACTAACGACTCTTTAAGTTGCAGGGAAAAGACTCAACGATGTGATTCAGTGAAGTTGCCACGCTATCTGAACCACTGTTTCTACTTAACTCACGCTGACAAGTGATAGCATGAACGAACATATCGCGACCACAGTCACCCAGTATTTTGAATTTGAAAACTTTCGCTCGTCACCTTGCATCGTTCGTTAAGTCCCTTTCAACCAAGAAAATATAATGCAGTTCTCATCTGTCACATTCTTACCCCCAGGACATTGAAAATAGCATGTAATTGTTTTGTGAACAGTAGTTGAAATTCGTGTGTTCGTATAGGCTACTTTTGTGATGTGGTGGCCCGGAAAAAAAGTTTTTAAATATATTAATAACAGTACATTATAAAACCTAGTGTTTAATTTTTTTTCACAAGGCATAGGACCTATCTGGGCTTAACAGCAAGAAACATAATTGACTAATAGAGACTGCTGACGGCTTGTCGCCCAGATAGCGATTCACCACCCTACTGAAGCTGGCCAGATTCCTGATAGTGGGTATGTGGGCAGGAAGATTGTTCCATATTTGGGCCGTAGATGTTTTGGACACATTATAAACGTTTGGGGGTTTATTTGCAACAGTTTATAAACATTTTAATGCGTTTATGGGGAGAGACGCAGTAAAAAAAACAAGGCAGGCTCAATTTTGAGTCGCATTCATAATGCAGGTAGGTATGCTATGAGCAACAGATAAAATGAGACGATTGTTTCCCAACATTTAAGGCGGGAAAAGAAAAGAAAAGTCCGTTAAGGCCAAAAAAAAAAAGTCTCCGGTTTCTGGTATGCGCGCGCGTCGCCGTAGCCCTGCGCGTCGGCAAAATGAAAAAGTTTTGTTTTCAATAAAAGATGATGTCTCAAAACCGCCAAACTCACTGGTTTGACTAGAATTCTGCTGCAGCACAGTTTTAACGTGTTTTTAGATGTGGGTATGATCGAGAATAAGCTTTATGTGGACTCACTGGACTCCCGTACATTTTGCACTAAGTTTAGTCGGGCACCATTTGCAGTCATCAGCCGACGTTTGAAGCAAAAAAGTCGGGTAAAAAAAAAAAAAGCCGCGTCGCCGCACCACTTTTTGGGCAAGCTCCATACCAGAAACCGGAGATTTTTTTTTTGGCCTAACAGTTGAGAGCCGCATTTTATTTTTCAGTCTCGACGGACTCCGCCCACCAAGACCTTGGCCGTCTAATGACGGATTTTATTGAAATTTGGTATGTAATTTGGCGAATTCCAACCACAGCTGTGTTAAGGTTAAACAAAGTATTTTGTTTAATATCTGCCTGGCACACCAGGTGTAGCTCCTGGAGTAGAAACTGCTCCGTTCAATATTGGAAGAATATTTGGAAGACATTCGGGCAAAGGTGAAAAGTGATGAATTGGGTGTACTTTATAGACTTTGGGGAAACGATCCTGCTTATTGCGTCAAGCCACATATAAGAAATAAAAAAAATAATTTTTTTTAAACATTTTATACAAAACATTGTGTGCAAACTGTCATTTCTGACACGAGAACTCGTTCCCCTACCGCCACCTTTGCACTGCAATGCACTAGATACATAATACGGTACAGTTGTTAGTTTTTGTCTTCTGGAAATAGAAGATGTCATTTTTTTTACATGCTGTTTATCTTAACACCGATTGGCCACTGACACACTTGTTTTAACGATTGGTTTTTACTACACATGAAGTGAAAACAGGTTGACTGACTGAAACAGTCCGTCGAATTACTCATTTGTGACCTTGCATGTCACTCAAGAATATTACTTTTGGCGAGAGGTTACGCAGCTGTTGCGCGTAGATAGCTGCAAAAATATAATTAAATGTATTAAAACAAAAATTCATCCAGACATCTGCACGGCACGGTGGTGCCTGGTCTTGCGTGCCTTCCACCTGTGCGACCCGGTCCGAATGCCGCCCAGGCACACACACCACGCAGGCGGAACGGGTTTACCTAGAGTATCCTTTTTGATGTTTTCCTTCCCCATCTAAAACTGAACATTTCTTCACTGTCTCCTTTCTTTTGGGTTTCTTAATTCAGACTTACTATTGCCTGCAGGAGCACTTCGCGAAGCCTTGGTTTCATTACCAGAAAGAAACACTGAACGATGATGTTGATTTCATCTAAAATTAATTTCGATTAAGATTGTTCAACTTGTGCGAAGATCTTCCCGTAAAGGGAGGTATTGGCGGTCAAACGTGGAAAACAAGTAGGCTACGGTTTGCAAATTTGCGGGTTCTCATTTCGGTGGCACATTGTAGGGACTAAAATTCTTAAAAGGTTTGTTCCCATCTCCCACAGTGTACAATCAATAGTTTTTAAAGCTTTAAAAAACCAAAGAAGACTGGAATTTAAGTTTTGGCGACACGTCAGTCCTTTCCTGCACTAACACCCTTTAATGACAGCTGGCTGAATGAAGGAATAATAGTCCGGGCAAGATTGTGTAAAAAGTGGCCTTCAGCAGATATCTATGTTTTGATGACGGAGTCCTCTTAGGAACCTTGACCCATTCATTGATAACAATAATTATCTTGATTACGCAGTTTGACCCAACGGTTAGTTTTGCCGCACTTCTTTTTCCCTCAGGGGACACTTTTACTTAGAATGGGAGGAAACGAAGAAATTGCAGTCTTGCACGCAAAAAGAATTCCCAAGATCCACGAGGACAAACAACAACCATGGCTAAGAAAAAGATACAATGCGGTTGTGACGAAAAAGTTGTCATCAAATTACTAATAAACAAAGCATGCCCAATCAATAAGGGAAGAATTCTATTTTTTGGCAAGGCATTATTACTACCATCGTAAAATCGGAAACCTGGCCTAACCACGGATAAAATGTATTTGGGATATTGTCAGGCAAGATGCAATTTCAATTCGTGTATCGACTTCCTCACAATGTAGGCCATGTAAGGTCGCAGCAACCATCAAAATGTGCCACATTTACTTTTGTTCGATTTTTTTTCTATTGGCACAATTTCACACAATGACATTGTTTTTATAGTTTACTTACCCTTTGTTAACTGGCAGTGGAGCGCGGAGCACAAAAAGCCGAAGGCAAAAACGTAGTACGTTAACCTGGCCATGGTGGCGCGAGTTGGCATCAGCAACACGCTGTGTACAAAATATCTCTTGTGTCAATTCTGTAAGAAAAAAAAATGGAAATACAAAAGAAATACTCCATTAACATGGATTCTGAAACGGCATTTCCCTGGTTACACCATGCACACACGCTGGGTAGCACAGGAGACACGCAGCGCCACCTTTTCTGTTCTTTTGAAAATTCTTCACTGCCTGACGTGAGACTCCGTGAAAGTCGATGTTTCGCGTCAAATCACAAAATGAAAGTCTTGGGGAGACGACGAATTTCAGATCACAATGAAGTTTGTAGATGTCAAAATTGGCACACAGATTCATGGACTGGTAAAAGTCAAACAGCTTCACATGCATTAATCCATTATCAATAATTCAACCAATATCTGAATCGACCCTAAAAACAGAAGAAGGAAAAGTAAAAACTTACCTCTGGAGCCAAGGGCTCCTTCAATTTAAGGTTCGACTATATTCCACGGAAATTATCAAAGGCAGACCGGTTAAACCGAGTATTATCCCACAATGATCGAAACACAAGTGAAAAATCCCTTGGATTCTGTCAAGGCTGCTCCGAGTGGGTATTCCTTCGAAGAAGTTCCGCGAAAAGGAATAGAGAAAAGAGTAAATGATCCTTCAGTCGAGAGTGAATCCTTGGACTTGACTCGTGCGGTTCTTATACGCTGAGACAAGAGCGCCGTTTGCTCCTCGCTGATAGGACACTAGAAGATTTGCCTGTCTGGGCCAGCGCCCCGATCTTTTTATAACAATTAGCCAATTCCGCTGTTTGCTGCGTGCCAATCGATGGTTAGGTGCCCCGGAAAAGGTGTTGACTCAATTACAGGCCTCGACTTTGACTTCTAGCTGGCCACCTGCAGTATCGTTTTGGCATGGGGAAACTCTTGTACAAAACTGAGCCCGGAGTACACTGCGTCAGTTACTGAACCGGAGCGTTGTGTCGTGGCGTGTTTTATTAGATCCAAACAGTGAGCGTGTGTACGTAGGGAGAGAGGGGGAGTGCAACGCCAACAGTTTCCCGTGAGTCTTTCCGTGCCAATGCAGCCAGTCTGGTCTCAAGGGAATGGCAATGTCTACCCAATCACAATGCACAGATTGACCCAGTCGCGCCGCATGCTCCGCCCCCAACCTCCCAACGGCCAATGGCTGCCGAGCTGGCGATCTGCGCGTGGTTAACAATCCACCAATCGCAGACGGGCGAAAGTGGGATCTTCCAAATATGGCGGGCTCGGCAGAAAAACACCTTCTGCTATCATACTTTCCACTTTTAGTGCATTAAGATTATGAGACCACCGCCAAGGCAGTTGGCTGACTCGCTATGTTGACAGTCAATATCGCCGACATTGCGGGGAGTGCACGCCAGGAGTTACAGATTTTACTTCTTGTTGTTGGCAATTTTTTTCTCAGTTTTCTTGAGCCCCGGGTCAAGTTCACTCACAGAGGGAGGATCTGGTCGCCGTTTTGGGGACGGCAAACTCCCTTGGGGTCTCCCGTTTTCTCCACAAACAAACTGCCTTTTTCTCGCCCACTAGATAATCTCGTTCTAGATCTACAACGGCTGCTGCACATCCTACGAAAGTTATCACACCTATATCCTCGCTTCAAACGAGATTTCCGAAGAAACATACTTGCTTATTGGCAATCATGCAATGACGTAAATCAAGTACAACTACGTTAAAACAGTATTTTGTTACCCGTTAAATACCAATGTGACCTGCAGATCCTATTAAGATGAGTCTTAAACATTTTTTTTGGGGGGGGGGGGGGATCTATACGTAGTTATTCTCAACATGCATTGGAAAAGACATCATCAAACTGAGAGTAAAATGTGTACTACGTGAAAACAGCTGCAGAAAGCTCCATATGCAGAAATAAAGACCTCTGATTTGTCGAGTTGGGAGTTGAGACTTACAAACTATTCAAAGTTACATAGGTTGATTTTCGTTTATTGGCTTCATCTTTTCATAGAGCACCCCTAAAATATCGAACGCTAATCAGAAAAAAGTGGCAAAATGAATAATCCTATCGGGAAATATTTTTGAGAGTTAGAGGCGGGAAAGCCGAAGATAGACTTGGGCATGTGAGTTTGTTTCTGCATTCAAAGGGGGATGTTGATCAATAGATGGCAATAGGGCCCATTATTACCGAAGGTCCACGATTGACGATGTTCAAAACATATGGAGGTCTTCCAAAAAAGACTTGAGGCGTTCTGGCAAAATGAGACGGAACTGGGCACAGATCGTAGTGGAGAAAATGCAAAAAACCAAAGGGCTTGAATTTTATTCGATTTTTAGATTTATTCATATCTGTAATCTTTGATATGTCCTCTACAAATATTTTAAAGGAATAGTAAAAAAAAATCGTGGAATAATAGTGTTTTTAAGGAAAAACAATTGTCATCTTTCATTTTCATGAATGCAAAATTTAAAACTTTAAAGACCCTTTTTTCAGTATTTTACTTTTTTGACATGTCGATGAGTGCAAACTTTGAACACCCATAACTTGTCAACGGAATGTTCAATTGAAGTGCAACAAACAGTATTTTAAGGAGAATTTTATTCTCTTTCCTAATACCTACAAACCCTCATTTTGACCTCAGCCCAGTTCTGTCTCATTTTGGCAGAACGCCGCACAAGTTAGTGTAGGCCTACAAACAAAATAGGGACAAAAGGGGGTCCACACATGCAGGTAAATACACTCTTGGGTGTGTGTGTCGGTGTGGAATTCCTTCTTTAAAATATTCATGTATTATTCTCGAATTTTTGTAATGACAAATGCTTGTCATCGTCTGACTGGCTAGCACGCTACATGGGATCAGTGTTTATTGAAGGTATTGTGAACCAAACGACACATCATCAATCTTACCATGCAATTTGTTTGTCATAGAAGACAAACCTCGACGCGTTGACCGGGAAGGGGGTTATTGTCACGACCCTTTTTTTCAATACACCGACAAATATTTTCAATATTTTAAAGTATGCGCAGAGTTATTTTGAGGCTTAGAGAACTGAAGGGGACCACCATAAATCACCACACGGTCCATTCAGAAAAATAAGTTGGCATTGGTCGCTCTTTGTCGACGTTTACGGGACTTGCCTGATGGAGTCGGAAATAATGCGGTTGAATATCGATTGAGCGGTACAAATATTGGGACATCTTTCCACCGATTACAACCTATTTGGAACACGTATGTTGATCTCGTATTCAGCATGACCTTGTACAAAATGTACGGTAGGTCTGGACCTATCATCAGCTTTACGTCAACACATGTACTCTCAAAGCAATTTATCCGTCTATTTTCACATCAGTTTTTTTTCTCCAAAATCGTTCATAATCGTTTGGGCAAATGTCTTGAGAATATCTCAATTCTTATGGAGAAACTGACAATTGAGAATAGCTGAATGTTTGCTGTGTATAGCGCTGTGGAGAGGTATCTCTCTTGAGTGATTCGAAGGTGGTTCTGATGAAGAGAAAGGATGGGTGATTTTACACTCGACGTTTCGATGGCTTTACTGGTTGTCTTCAGAAGAAATTATGTAATACTGATGTATCATCTGTGCAAATAGTCAAACGCATACCTGCTTTCTCTTCCAACTCGCGTCCATTGTCAATGAGGTCCCGGCATAGTCCCCCGACCCCCCAGATCAGACCCCGATACGTTTGCCTGTTTTCTTAAAGACGGAACAGCCAGTGTAAACAAGAGGGTGTTATTACTTTCAGTTGTTAGGGCGCTTGAGGTTCAGCCCAAGAAAGCTTCCTTTTGAAAACGAGACAGGATAAGCGTAAAAAAAGAGAAAAACTTCCTTCGGATTGCCGCCCACGTGTATGATAGGATGGCAAAGCGACAAATCTGTTTTCCCCAAAAAATTAAGCGCAATTCCGTCTGTAAAAGTAGGTTTTCCAGCCGTTTAACCGACCCACGCATGCACGGCCTTCAGCAGCGGGATTGGACGGGCCCTGATACGGGGGAAATACGCCCGGACCTCCGTGGCAATAGACGCGTGATGTTGGAAGAGAAAGCGGAACACTGGTTTGTCCACTGAAACTTAGTAGAGCACCGCTAGCTTCCTTGGGATTTTGTTTACGAATATCAATCCAAGTTCCCTAGCCACATCAATATCTGCTCCCCAGCCCCGTAGCATTACTTGGCGGGATTGAAAACAAAACAGCCGAGGAACACATTAGACAACCAAAACCCTTGAAAACGGGGTTTCAATCTGTTTAAATGACAACATTCGTGATACTCATCGGCTGGCATTAAAACAACAATTTAAAAGTTAAAATAGATCATAATTGGACTTTCAATGCGACTGTCCAGCAAAATACAGCAAAGAATACCGAACTTTCCTCTTTGTTTCAGAAGGCCAAACCGAGCAATCATGTTAGGGTTGGTTACTAGCACTGCTTCTGTATCTGTGAAAACGGACGATCAATTACATGTACATGAACAACGTTGCGTCTTTTAAGTTCATTAATAATTTTGTCCACAAGATGTTTTTGCGTGATTTATTATTGTTTGCGTCATAATAAGCGGAACAAAATTTGCATTCAGACTCTCTACATCACTCTGCATTAACCTTAAGTATACACCTACACACGATAATTGTTTTTTCGAAGAATTCATTGACGTGTATAGGTCTCATTGGGAGCGATCAAGCAAGAGAAGATCGGCCAAGATTGGGTGTGAACTACGGGCATGACATGATGGAAAGCGTGGACTCTGTCTCGGTTGCATCGTCCATAATATATCCTGGATATATTGCTAAGACCCCGTGAGCTGAGGGCGTAATCTTGTAGAGCACATAACAGTCAGGAGGGAAGGGGAACGAAACAGGACAGTTGTGGGCGACGTCACCGAGTCATACAAGTCTAAAAATGGTCAACATAGTCGTCAAAAGCGAAGTCAAACTTTACACTTGGACAGCGAGCTGAACACGAATTCATAAAACTTTCCAAACTTGAATCCGAGCTCATACATCTCAGTGGAATTTAACATTCCATTAGTGGGTTTTCTTTTTCATTGAAAAAAATGTCCAGTCAATCACCACTTGCGGCTAGCTGAAACATCTGCGCCTGTAAAAGAAAAATTCCCACTGACCTAGCTCCGAAATCATCATAAAACTAAAACGATGCTGTAAAGACTTACTGTGCTCGCCTATTGACAACATGGTTTACGTAACTTAGTCCACCAAGGCACATTTTTATCAGGGATGCACATCGAGTTAGCATGGCCTTTGGAAAACTGCCCAAAATGTCTATACTTCATTTCCATCTCTATATAGGCGTGGTATTGTGATTGAGAATGAATGCTAAAGTACTTTACGCTTCCAGTAATTTGGACCCGAGGAAGATGCGTCCTACTGGCAATGAAGTAGATAAATGCGTTTTCAAAATGGCAACTTTCTAGTTCAAGTTCGGAAGCAGTTGGAGGGGTGGTCTTACTGCTTGGGTTTAATTATCAGCATGAGCCTTCAGATCACACCGTCGTAGATAGGAAACAAAAACAGGAGTCGCTTTTTTTCCTCAAACGTTCAGCTACTCTAAGCACCGTAGAGAGTTTCGAGTGTCTTCCCTACTTTTTAGAAGTTCAGATATGTATCATTTTTATCGTCATCAGAGATAAGAATAAGACCTTGTTCAATTTACGAGGTATAGTCCATACTGCCCTGAAAAACGATCGGAAAATACCGGAACCAAGCTCGATCGAAAATCTCTGAAAGGAATAGCAATCTCCAGGACATACATATGAAAAAGAAAAACTGCTATTAATTTTATACTGGGACAGCTGTGCCGAGTGCAGACATCCAGAATCCTTTTCTACATTGTCAACTTCCCAGGGTTTTTTTCAAGCTAAATTTCTCATCAAGCCTGCATCACCGAATGGTGTCATAATTATTAGCAACCATTGAAAACTGGCGTGAAAAAAAGGAATAACACGGGGTTGATCATTTCGTCGGATAGGCTCATTATGAATGTGCTTTAGATGAATACGGTAGTATATGTGACTGGGATTTTTTGCTAGTTTGTGCAGGCGTCAGCATCG